TAGAAGTATAATAACTGAATGAGGCCTCTCCACGTTTACTGTACAGAGGGTGTTTGCAGAAGGTCAGTATCAAAAAATCTAAGATCACGTGTTGAAACATACAGGCAGACGTTCTGTGATGGAAGCAGGTGCTTAAGGTCATTTAAGGCCTGAAAGCTAGTAGCAGAACTTCTATTCTAAAAGATACAGGTAGCCAGTGCAGTCCTTCAAACTGGGAGTGATATGATCTCTCTCTTGTGTTTTTGTTAGGATGCGTGCTGCTGCATTTTGTACGAGCTGTAGAGGATGTACTGTATTCTTAGGGAGCCCAGTAAGAAGAGCATTGCAGTAATCAACTCTGCTTGTAACAAATGCATGAACAAGTTTCTAAAATGTCTTGTTTCTTTAGATGTAAAGCATCATGGACGTGGCCTCTCAACGTACTCTTGTTTTGTGTTTTTTTTAATAAGAAAATCAGTTTTTAAATATTGTTCAGCCTTGTGTCGTAGAAGCATGGGCTCATCTGCACATATGTTTGCACGTGTGTGTGTTGGAGCAGACAGCTGTTGCGGAGCTGTCAGCAGGCAGCTGTCTCCGGTGCAGAGTGGAAGGGCTATAGCTGGTTGGCCTTGCTGTGTTACTTCCCCTGCAACCGCACTCACTCTCTTCCTCTCTTCCTCTCTCATTCTTCCACCCCTCTTACACTGCATCTCTCTCCCTCCCTCTGTTCTTATCCTCTTTCCTTCCTTTGTGTTGACCACCACACGCTTATCATCTCTCCCCCCTCTGCTCCTCCCTCAGAGCCCCCATCCTCCCTCTTTATTCCATCCTCCTTTTTTGTCTTTCACATTCAGTCCCTTGTTTCCTCTTGTACTTATTCCCATCTGTCATCCCTTTCTCATGTTACTGGGCAAAAGCAGAAGCTCCTGGCTCTGCTGCTGCCATTTGACAACTAGATTACCGGCGACTGTAAAAACTTGCCTTTGCAAAAGTGCTGAGGTTGAATGTGGCTAATTGGAGCTCCTAAAATAAGCGGATGGGAACAGTAAATCCAGCTGCACGTTGAGTCACATGTAAGACTGAATGGAGATGTTCTGTTTTAATGTTGCCTCGATGCTGAACTGACACCTTTCATCATCAATATATTGTCAGACTTTCCAGAAACCACGATCTAGGTACACTAGTCATCAAAATTACTTTAATATTGTCGCTGATGGGGAAAAAAAAAAAACAAGTAGAGTGGAATGTAATGTAAAGAGATTTTATTCCAAGCACTTCTAGAGCCTTTGCATCAGCCCTTTATCTAGAAATTGTCACACACCATAAAGGGAAGCCTCTGTGCCCAAGTGATACAGAATTGAAAATTGAAAAAGAACAATTTTTATATTTTATATGCTGATAAATGAAGGTCTCTACACTTCTGCTCAAAATGTTCCGTTTTGTCAATCCTGACGTGAAGTAATATGATATGAGTGCTTAGGCATTAGAATGCTCCTAACAAGAGTGGTTTGTGCAGTTCCAGAGAAGCTTACCAAGTCTGAACTGTATACAGTGATGGTGATGGCAGGCAGGGGTTGCAGTGTCTACAGTGCTAATATAGTAATTTTATTTGCTCTTCAAAATGAATTATTTGTGTCATCTGACTTTTTTGAATGTAATGTTGATAATGGTAAAAATAAATGGGGACTGTTTTGCCTTAGAGCACCCTTCCCACCATACATGTATTGAAAATGTTTTCAATGAAACCATCAAAGCTATCATTAACATAATCATCCTATCACTTCCCCCATTTCTGATTCTGCAGGTGTCTCCAGAATGCTGCATTTTAAATCAGTCCACTTGTTACTTCTTAATTTAATTACACAGCAATTATGAAAAATAGGTAGAATTCCCTTTTAAACAGTTTTTACTTACATATGAAATGTGTTCAGGACAGCGTTTGATTTTCTTTCTTCTTTGGCTCGTGTCTAACTTTCCTATATCTAATTACAAGCATATTGTGTTTGTCATGTTGGTTCTCGTTTCTGTTGTTTCATTTAAGTAAAAGGTTTGAAACATGCTCTCGTTCCTTTCAGGCACAGTACCTAAGAACAGTCCTCCAAGTCTAGTATTGTCTTTGAAGTTCTCTGCTTTTCACACTGGATTCTGTCTTGACACACCTCACCTCTCTTTCTGCAGATTCTGATTTGCCTGTCACACTTCAGAATGCATTGACATGCACCTCTCGGACAGTAGTGAGAGTTTTGCTGGACTCTAAAGTGGCTTTATTTTTTTATATATGTGAAATTTGTCTGTGTATATCTGGTCATTGTGCAGCAAGCTCCAAGGACAGGGATGTGGCCTTGAAATGGGTGTTTTGTTTTTCTCCTGTGAGGGACACTCCACATACAAAAAGGGAGTGATTAAGAGCGGCCTCGAATACATCCGCAAGGAAAAAAAATGGTGTGTCCACCTAATGTGAACGAGTGGTAAGGCTACATTTTGGCCATTATGGTACAGATATTATAGTAGAGGCAAACTTCTTCAGCTGAGTAGGAGAATAGTACTTTTCATGGCCTCTGAAAAACAGAAATGGTCACATGCTGGGGGAAAACAAACATTCAGACAGACAGACAGACAGACAGACAGACAAAGGCACACACCCTGCCATTACATCATCCAGCTGCAGGAGAGATCACCTTGTTTGTTCTACTTACCACACACTCACTGGCTCAGTCCGACACACTTTCTCTCAGGGGGAGACTTAGCTCCTGTTTTCTCCACCCACAGTACCGCCCCATACACACACAGACACGCGTGTGCACGCACAACCCTTCCTCTACTCTTCAGTTCATTTACTCACTGTTGTCTTTCCTGATTAGTCTAGAGATTTCAGATTCTAATTTTGGGTTGCCTTTAAAGGGAAATTTAAAGGGGAAATAATCCCACTATGCGTTTTCGTTACCTTTTGCTAAAGTTTTCTTTTAACAGGCCCCTTTTGCGTGCTCTGTTGTTTTTAGTACATGATACCAGTTTAAATGACAAATTACTGCATGTCTGTCAACAGGTAGATTGTAGTGCTGGGCCATATGGCAAAGATCTAATATCACGATATGATACCAAGTTTTTCACAATGCACAATATGTTGTTTTGGACATCTAATACATTGGAACAGGCAACGTAGTGCCGTATTTCAAGAATACTATGAAAAATTATCAATCCACTGATTTTTATTTAAAGTTTGACATACTGCTGCACTAACTCCATTTAAACAGGACTAATTATCCTCTCTTTCTAGTCAAACATGCAGTTGGGAACTGTTTTTAAGCGCTGATGATAACCCCAATATGCCCAGAAAAGTATGTTGTGATATAATTCATCATGATGATAACAAAAAATTTGCCCTATTGCCCAGTTCTAGTAGATTGCATACATATTTTGATAGTAGAGATGCACTGATATCATGCCAATATCCGATATTTTTTCATGCACAAATTCTCTGATACTGATACATAAACCTTTATAAGATTAGTAGAAATTGGGGCTTAATCTGCCTGGATTTGCATTATGAAGGAATATAACATCTATTTCTATAGGATTATAAACGCAGTAAAAATGAGCAAGATTCAGATATTTTTGCATAGTAGCCCAGCATCACCTACACATTCTCCTCTTCCAGAATACAATAAATACATCATCAAATATTTGTTTATAATAGGTCATATCTACACATCTGTCAGATGTTGATAATTGTTTTTCAAGCAAATATCTGTGGATACTAATATAATTCAGATATCATGCATCACTAAATTAAATAAAGACAGGCTCATTTAAACAAGATGTCTTTAAACAAAGCAAACAGTAAAAGCTGCACTGTTTTATGAAAGAAAATGATATATTGTAGGTGATGTATAGTTGTCGGCCAACACTATGCGCTCTGGGTGCAATGCAACAAATATCTTCTGCTCATCATATTTTATATTTTATTATTATTTTCTGTTATTTGTCAGGACTGATATGATTCCTGTGTCATCATGCACCCCTATATTTTATTGACAGCATTAGAATCTGTTGATTTTTATGGGTTTGTGTTTAACATATGGATATTAACATTTCAGTATCAATATACTTTAGCTAGTGTGCTTGAGAGAGAATGTTAGTCAGGCCTTTGCTTACAATAAGAGGCGCTATGACACTGCAGAGTCCATCATGAGATGATAACAGATGAGAGAGAGAGACAGTGAACAAGTGAGTGTGGGAGGGCTTGGCTTGTCTTTCTGAGCATATTTCATGTGCCATTAGCCGTACAGGAATACAGGAAGGAGTTTCAAAGTTACAATGACATGGGAAAAAAAAAGACATTTTTCACCCTTTTAAATAAGAGGAAGCACACAATGAGACCTCATACACACATTTGATTCTGTTCTGGATGACTAATTCTACATTTTGGAATACACAAGTGAAATTCCTGTTGGTGTTATTATCTCTCAAGGATCTGCAAATAAACATATGTTTCAACCTCCATTTAATAATTTATTAGTCTGTAAAATAGCACTTAAATTATCTGTTCATGTGCGAATATTTGACATGAGTCACAACTTGATCTCAGCCCAAACCTGAGCCTGCCAAACTGAGCCCAAAGCAAGTCTGGTAGCAGTGCATGACTAACCTTTCCAGCTCGCCCCTAACCAATGAAGCCAACTTCAGCTACTGAATCATGAAAACAAGTGTTTGAACAGAAGCGACAGTTCAGCCGGGTCACTCTCAACTGAGCTCATGGAGAAGCTTTGGAACCCAATCCAAAACCTGAGGTGGCTTTAGTTTGTTATATTGAAATAGATTTTCTGTAGACTGATGATCTTCAAAGGCTTCCTTTACATCTTTCAGAAATACCTATGTTTTAGAAATAGATCAATGTCATGATTCAGATTACAGCTTTATGAAGTGGAGGGTGTCTTTAGGTCATGCACTCGACACAGTAACGGCTGGGTGAGTTTCATTGATGCAGGTTTTCTCACATTGACTCTGATTTTGTTTTTCAGGATTTCGCAGGAACGAAGAGATGAAGGCGATGGAGGTTTTGCCCATTCTAAAAGAAAAAGTGGCCTTTTTATCAGGTTCGTTGTTTTTTGTCATCATTTGGTGACTCATTCATTCATACCACAAATGCAGTATTTCATGACGGGTATTTCATAGCAAGCTATCCTAATATTTAAACATAACATGCTCTAAATCTCAGTATTTTGACAAAAGCTGAGTTTTGCACTTTGATTTCTGATTAAATTGAATGGGATTTTTTCCCCGTGTTGTACTTGTTCAACCTCACAACACTAGCTTCAAATCTGTGCAGAGCATGGGTAGGTCAGTTGATTAATAATAGTATAGCACCTTATGTCTAAATGTGAAGTGTTCATTTGCAAAAACATCTTTTAAGTTTTTTCAGCTGGAGCAGATAACTCCAATGATGATAATTTTATGTTCCAGAGTCCAAAAAGCCATGCATTGGATACAAGTTTCGTTTAGGTGCAGTATTGAACATTCGTTAACATAGAACAAGTAGGTAAAGTGCTGAAAATTGCAACTGAAACAGCCCATTAATGGGCAATATTAAACGACTATAAGATCATAACTCGGAAAATCTAAGGCTAAATCTCAAATGGCTCACTGCTCCCTTTATAGTACACTATGTGAGTTATGAAATTTTGTTAGACTTTATGTCCAGTATGAATTGTACACACATGGCTGAATCCAAAGTGGTTCTTTGTTAGACACACTGTGCTCTGTTTAGATGCAGATGCCATTATTTTGAGACCTATGTGCTGCACTTTGTGGGGAGAAGGGAGCCATTTGAGATTCTGCCTAAAACAGTTTATGGCAGTGTTGCGTTACTTGACCCGAATACTGCGCACTGATTCGCTGTATGGATTATCGGGTTCTGCTCGAGAACAACACTGGCTTTTGACTGCTGTAAAATGTAAACTTGCAATGCCTTGACAATGGACAATAACAGCTTTTGTGATAAAGTGTATTTAGGCTTCAGATCGCGCTGTGTGTTAAGAATAATTTACGACAGCTGTAAATTGTGTTTATCGTTTTTTGCAAATGAACTTTTCGTATAGACTATAGGAAGTTCTCCATTATAGTAAAGCTATGGGCAAATAATCTCTGTGGTTTGATCTTCGTGCTGATGTTCTGGTCTTTTAATTTTTTTATTTATTTATATAATTTTTTTTGCTCATGAGGCTGTTTGTCAGTCTGTTGAGAGGCCAGAGTGCACTTGAGCTGCTCTGAGTCAGTGGCACAAAGTGCGCTCCAAATGTGATTGAAAAACAGCTAAGCTTCAGTTGCCCCCTGCAACTGTGTGCCTCAGGCGAATCCATCATGCAGCAAATCATGCATTCTTTTATTGTGATGTTCAGAGGTTGAGTTCTAGTGTCTCAGCCTGGCTGAAGCAGGTCGTTTTACATTCATCTTTACCTCCCTTCATCCCCACCTTATCACTGGGTTAACAGGGTTCAAACTCATTGCCATTTTGAACCTGTATCATCCTGTGTCTAAGCAAAAATCCTATTTAATCGTATATTATATAAACACTGCATAATGACTTTTTACATAGATTACAAAAACTGTCATTGTTAAAGGTTCTTGTGTGATATTGAGTGATTTCTGTATTCTTACATGAAGTAAAAAGAGTACCTTTCCTTCATGTTATGGAGCTCTTCACAGCTCTTTTTGTGTCCCTGAGATGCTGGATATGCATGTGTTTTCTGATTGTGTTTCTTGCAACCATGTAGTCTGCTATTAATTGAGGTGCATGTCTGAACTAGTAAAAAGCTTGGATTGGATAGGAAAAAAATCTGTAAGCTCTGTGCCTCTACAGCACAAACACACTCCATAACCCTACAGTTATTCAGTAAATTATGAATAAGTATTTTAACATTTTCACTGGAAAAAAAAATTGCAACTAAGATTTTGCAACTACTTCTAATGTCATGTTCTAGGCATATGACTTAGGAAGTACACGACTTCTGAAATCATTCTAAAGTCTCTGACAACTAATTTATCAATAATTATTGATATCAAGCATGAAATTGGTAGTTTTGACTGTTTTTTTCCCGTTTTATGTGCGTGAGCATTCTGCAAAATTCCAGTCCATGTTCTACTCCATTTATTCTATTTACATATTGCTTTTTATGAATAACACTGAATGACAGCCCATCCTGCTAAAATTTATCACAGACACTCTGTGTGGAAAGATGTCAGACATTGTCAACCTTCCTCTGATGCCAATGTACAATGTAAACCGTTTTAGACTGTTATTGTTACTGTAAAAAAAACACAATAAAACCCCGTAAATAATGAAAATATCAATATTTATCAGTAACTTTGTTGTTCAGAACTGCTAATCACCCTAGCCCTTACTATATATGAGCCTACTCCACTTTAATGTAATACTTTTTCACCTTTTCATCCCTGAAGAGCATAAAAGACCACCAAGTGTCAAGTTAGCATTGTTTGTACACTGGACGGGTTTTGAGTGATCTCTCAAGTGGCCTCAATTTCTTTGTGAAGTTCCCATACACACAAACACGGATGAACCCTTTGTCCTGCTTGTCCGGCAGACAGGCAGTGGTGGTGCATAGTCGTGCCCTCCAGCCCGACTAGCGCAGTTAGCTCTGTTCTTTTATAGCCAAACACAAAATACAGCTAGACTTAAGTGACCCTCCCAACTCTACCTGTACTTTACTTTTTTTCACAGTCTTTTGTGTTTGAGTATATTTTCAAGCATCTAGGTGGATGAAAGGTATTGTGTGCATTTGATTCACTGCTATGCTGGGATCAGGATAAAAAGGAGAAAATATGACTCTCCATGGATTTTACTCACACTCAAGGTCGTGAGACTAACACAAAACAAGCACATGAAGACTTTGGCGTGGATGGTTTTCCCATAGAGATGTGAGGCTGTCACTTTTGTTTATCCGTTGATGCAGTGAGGAAGGATCACTGTCCACAGAAATAACTGAGAAAGGCTACCGCTACCACTGCAGTTCTTAAAGGAAAAGTGACAGTCCATATAGCTCGGTGATTGTGCATCACGCAAATGTGATTATTTTTTTGTTCTTCATGCCAGGGGGATAAGATGGTTGATCCTATTAAGCGTACACTCAATTAGGGGGGTTCAGCACTTTCTTGCTTGGGAAAATCCACTGGGATGTCCTTGCAGGCATGGTTCATTATGGTCAAGTCAGTGCACTTTTTACTTTACTGAGTCTCTCTGCTGAGCACAGTGTATTTTAGTGGAGGTACGGAGGAAGAACAGAAGGGATTAATGCCCAGAGACGGAGAAGATTTACCTTCTCCTCTGCGTTCTGTAGCTTATTGTTTGGTTTGATGATAAACCATGGCAGATGTTGTTAAAAACATGCTGTCACAGTGATGGTTTATGCTTGTTCGTAAACCTAGTTCACCAACACTGTGTTACTGCCCACAAACTAATGCTAACTTTGAGCTGGACTGGGGCAGTGGCCATTTTCTCATGGAGGGTTTGTGTTTCACATAGAAATGTTTGTGATACTGCTGTTATCAAAATGCCATGATAAACTGCACAGTCTATGAACTGTTTTCTGTCAAAAACGACAGAAGAAATTAGGCTTAATGAGGCATGGCCAGCAATACTGATTTGTCTTTGGGTTAGCCTGAGATAGGGCTATGTAATGTAGTGTCCTGTTGAAAATACTGTGTTACCTTGTTGGACTGTGTTGCTGATAACAAATTTGACTCCATTTTAATGTTAGCTTGATTTCACGACAAAAAAACTACATTGAAATGTACCATTATGGTCTTTCAGGCAAAACAAAAGTAGTATTTGAAATAACACCCTAATTTTACAGTCCAGATTTAGGTAGTAACAGAATCCGTATAATGGCGTTATGGGATTACCTGCAGGATTACATTAAAACCACTCTTGTACACCAAATGTGATTTTTCACACAGTGATTATCATCATTATCACATCAAATCATTATTTGCCTCCCGTTTTGGAACTTTTGCTGGCGACATAAACTCACCCAGCCAATCTCTGTGGTTGGCATAGCAACAGCCAAGCTGACCATATGATTGTGTCTCAGGAATTTGTGACAAACTTGGAAAAAGGACTATGGATGTCTGAGCAAAACAGTCAGTGCTGGTTTCACTTTTCCAAAGTGGAAAGTTGCCTTCTTTAGGGCACCTTCTGAATTTTTTTGTAAAGGTGTGTTGCTCCCCATGTGTATAGATTTGTTTATAGGTCACCTAAAATGTATCACTTTGTTTTATGAAACAGTGCAGTTTTCTTGTGTGCATTGTTTCGAGAGCTTGTTGAAACTTGTCTTTATATATTTTTTGAATCTTTGAACAGTGATCCAAAAGTGATGGACAATTATCAAATGATGTTACTTGAAAGGATCCATATCATGGACAACTGGAATGCAATGGAATAAAACACATGAATAATGTAGATTATGGGTCTTTTTAAAGTTGTAGTCCTTTGGATTAGGTATATAGATTACTTTCTTTTATACATAGTCAGTAATCTCTACAGGAATACATTTTTAAAGAAACACCTCAAACCCTGGTAACATCAGTTCTTGGTCTATATTGCTTTCTAGAGCTGTATTTTCAGTCAGCTGTAGTGTGTGTAGTTTTGAGAGTGGGGACACTATGATAGTGTATCAGTGCACTGCTGTCAGTCTCTGTGCTATGGAGCAGTGCCAGCATGGGGTAAGTAGTTGTTATTGTTACCTCCATACACAGCATACAACTGTGTTTAGAGGCCCCCCTCCAGGAGAGAAACATGAGAACCTGCACTGGCATAACATGGCACATATCTCAACGTGCTGTGTGATGTAGGCGGATACATGTGCATACTTTGAAAACATGACATAACACACCCTCTCACATACTGATGCACGTTCTTCTGTCACACACAGGGTGTGTAAGTGGCAAATGGTAAAGCTCAGTAATAATGTATGATATTTCTGGGCTCTGCCTCTTGTTGGAATGTGTGTGGATGTTCACACAAGCAGCATTTTGACTGTTTCTCCTCCTCCTCCCAATTCCTCTTTCTGTCCACCAGGTGGCAGAGACAAACGCGGTGGACCAGTCTTAACATTCCCCTCACGTACCAACCACGACCGAATACGACAGGAGGACCTGCGCAGACTCATCGCCTATCTCGCTGGCATCCCCAGGTAAACCCCAACTCCCACACACCCACACACACACACCTGCCTCTTAGCCTCTCTGCCCCGCTTTCTCATTGTGTTTCCACTGCTGAAAGCACTTGCCCTGATTATTTTTCTTTCAGAAATGACTGATCATACAATAAAACCCATTTGTATTCAGGCATGGCAGAATGGAAGGTGATTTAGTGGGGTTCTGTGCACGTAGTTGAGGACAGTGGTGATCTTGGAGCACCCTAACTTGCATTTTTTTTTTCTCTCTAACAAATCTGACCCAATTAATCGGCTAATTAACAAGCCCTTCGTAAGATAGAATAGGTGTGTCAGAGCTGGGGAAACACTAAAATGTGCATAAAAGGGGTTCTCCAAGACCACTGATTTAGGTAAACCAGGTGCAGTAGACCATTTCAGTTAGCTGTTTTAGACTGACCTTCATGACTTATGTATGGATAAGTGGACTAAAGTATTACTTTTTAATAGCGATAATATTGATCTGTTTGATCTCTTTTATATCTTTTTTTCAAATAAAATCATTTAGGATGCATAAGTCGCCTATTTTTGTAGGTCAACAAGAGGTCTCTTCACCTTGTTTTAACAATAAGAAGTAAGTCTAAAATATTTGAATGGTGCGAAATGTCCAAAACAGAACTGAACACTATCTAGCTAAATCTATATTAACATTGCTTCCTAACTCTAGCAGTGTGTGTATGCATAAGCACACAGCAGCTTCTCTGGACACAGCAGAGCCAATGCTAAATGTTTCATGTCCCATGCGTGTCTAAGGCACTTGCTTTTACGCCTAGGACCATCAGCCACTGCTGTAATTTGGTAAACATTACAAATCATTCATGCTGTCGGTAGCGGGTGAACCCCTGCTTGTTGCGAGGACCAGGCCCTGTGACAGTGTCATTGTCCAGTGCAGTTGACTGAAGGAGGCAGCATCACAAGTGGACCCATGTCCATACTAGGCTAACCCCAAGAGACAGTCAGTTGCTTCTATTCTTGTGTCTCTCAATAACAAACTGGACTAAATTACCTCAGACTGGAACTGCCTACAGAGCAGGAAGTGATCGAGGGACTGTTGTGTTTTTATTTTCACTTAAAATGACAAAACCAAAAGGTAACATGTCCCTGAGTCCCTGACTCAGCCATTCAGCTAAATGGAATCAAACATGTTCAGCGCCATTTGTACGTTACATTTTCTGCACTTCTTAGGCAAATCAGTATAAAGTTTACGGCAAAGTTCATACCGTACAGACACAGGGAGCTTAAGTCCATGTTTTCTTTCTGAGTAGGAAATCTTGTTTTTGTGGGCACACAGTATACATGTGCAAAGTATGCCTGTGAATAACTTGTCTACTGAATGACCAATGCATTTTGCCAACATGCTCCTTTTTCGTTGTAAACTACTGTCTCGCCCACTGCTACAGTGTGCAGTATAGGGTACATCACTGCTCTAATGCATCTCACTGTGCTGTATGTTTGCTTTAATGAAACAGGGGTGTAGGGATGCTCTGGTTCCATATGTCTCCTTTATGGAAGAACTGCTTCCAGCCTTTACCTTGCTTAACTCTCGAAATGGCTTTATTTGGCTTCCTTTAGTCTTAGAGTGCTTACATTGGTCTGATGTTATGCGAGCTTATCTCTGATATTATGTACTATGTTGCCAGATTTGCTTTGGTCATTTCCTGATTTGCATCCTTTGTATTTTAGCTTCTGTGATCTTGAGCTGTGTGTATGTTTTATGTGTTTGTTTACCCTGTTACTTATGGTGGAAAAGTGCGACACCTGGAAGCGAGAGAGAAAGGGAGGGAGGGGGCTAACAGACCTGAAAAAATAGAGAGGGAGAGAAAGGCATACGCGTGGGCCAGATTCTAAAAAACCTGCAGCGGTTCAGCTTTTGCCAACAGACCTTCCTCCTCCTCCTCCACATCATCACTCTTCTCTTCTCAGCTCCATCCACTGCACCCACACAGTCACACCAGAGAGAGAGAGAGAGAGGAGAGAGAGAGAGAGAGAGAGAGATTCTCTGAGCAGATCCCACTGAGAGAGGGAGCAAGAGAGAGAGAGCTGCACAGAGCTGGAGAGTGACTGAGAGCAAATGCAGGGAGAAGTGGGGAGGAAGGGCGAGTGAACGCGTGAGTGGGTGGGAGAGAGAGCGCGCAAGAGAAAAACAGTGTTGCAGTGGCACAGGCTGCGTGTGCATCTGCTGATGGTTTGTGTATGGATCTCGGCTCGTTATCACGTAAAGACCGACCTGTCCATGCACATCCAAGGAAGAGATTGACAGGTAGATGCTGTGCTAACTGATCTAGACGTACAGTTAGAGATACAGAATGACAAACAGACAGGCGTGCAGTTAGTTACACTGACAAACAGACAGACAGAAGGTACTGAAGGCCTTCACCAGCTGTTCATTTGCCTGATGCTCATTATCTGCGTTTTAAAGCTGTCTGCCTTGGGTAAGCAATATGTTCCCTCTCACTTCTCTCTTTTGATGCTGTTCTGTATGTTCCTGCATCTTTATCTCTACTGTGTGGTCTTGTCATACTGATGTATCTGGTTTGTTATTATTATGCATAAAATGACCCACTGACAGCAAATCATTGTACTCTGTACCAAATATGATGAAGCATTCTAATTGTTCCTTTATTCAGTTGAGAGGATGCTCAATAGATTATGTAATGGATTGGAAAAGAGGATTAAAGCTTGTGTTTTGTTCTCTCCATCCCCCTCCCTTTTCCTATCTCCATCTCTCTATCCATCTCTTCCTCTTCCTCCCTCCCTCCTCCTTTCCAGCGAGGATGTATGTAAACATGGCTTCACAGTCATTGTGGACATGCGAGGCTCGAAGTGGGACTCCATCAAGCCTTTGCTGAAGATCCTGCAAGAGTCGTTCCCCTGCTGCATCCACGTCGCCCTCATCATTAAACCAGACAACTTCTGGCAGAAGCAGAGGACCAACTTTGGCAGCTCCAAGTTCGAGTTTGAGGTATGAGCCTTTTTCATGTGGTTACACTGCCTTGCTTCTCTTGGGGATTCTCTGCAGCAGTCTATAGGATGAATAGTGCACTGTAGGGTCAGAGCTGGACTGGGCTCACTGTCAAACGTATGATCTATACAATGCTGGATGTCATAAATTGCTCTGTCTAATGACTAATGATTCTCTGTGTGCTCAGCAATGCACAGAACATTTTAGTTGCACAGTAGTGTTTATGGGTCGTAGCTGTATTTGGTTACAGTTGTGCTATTGTGGTATGGTTATGTTCTAGCGGTAAATATATAGCCTTAGCCTTTGCTTTAAGGGTCGGCTTTGAGGATCATATTTATGCAACATTGAGAGGGATGCACGATGATGTTGGGACCATATCAGTATTGGTAGGTATTTGCTTAAAAAAATTAGAATTTAAAATATCGGAAAAATCATTCGAATCGATTTTTCCGATATTTTAAATCAATATGTGGTCTGTTTTTGAGCTTCAGAAGAGCAGAATGTTGATATGATGTGCTCCCATGCTAAAATGTAGTTTCTGTATGTATTTTTAAATGCATTTTTATTTGATCCATTTATATCCTTAGAGAAATAAATGTTTTATTTCTCTGTGATGCAAATTCAGGTAGATTTAGTCTCAATTTCTTTATTTTATAAATGTTTAGATATCAACATTGTCAGCTGTTTACATGAAAAATGTCAGATATTGGCATCACCCTCAATTCCCATATCTGTGCATCCCTAGTAATTTTAATGCCTCTCCTCTGCCATAGAATGCAACATTTGCCTTTCTGTGTATGTGTGTGGGAGACGTTGTGTGTAGTGCATTGTTGTAGTGGGCAGGGTGGGCTCTGGTTACTGCGGAGGGGGAGTGTATGTGTGGGAGGCATACATGGATTGTCAGGGTGAGGGTGTGCGCATGTGTTGCTGCACTATGCATTGAGCAAAATATCCATACATTTTCTTCATCTGTCAGTTGATTCAGATAGGAGGACGGTGGGCTGCATGTCTTCGCAGCAGAACACAGATGTTTTGTGGTGCTATTTGGTGTAATATGTTAGTCCACATCACATCATTTGTGGTTTGTCGACAGCCGTTTTGCTTTTCTGGATCGTGTTGTTTTCATTTGGCGTGTTTCAGGGTGAAGGTGTTTGTTTTTATTCGTGTCGGAGAGCCAGTGCCCTCAGTGCTGATAACAAATAAAGGAATTTTGCTGAAGGTCCTGGTTTACCTCATGGTGGATGTGTTTACTCTTCTAATGGTGCTAGGCAGAAGATATTCAAATGAACGACTGGCGGTTTGCCAGTGAAAATTATGTAATATTTTATAAAGTCCTAGTTTTTCAGTTGTGCAGTGAAGATTGTTTACTTTGCAAAAATGAATGAATGAGTAAATAAGTAAATGAACTTGAAGGATAATGGAAATGTAGAGAAACAGTTATCGTTTACAGAGATCATGATAACTGATATGATCCAAATTCAATTACAAAGTATAAATTGTGAGTGTTATTGAACCTTATAGCTTGCATTTTTCCCTAATGTTAATGTTATTACAATGTAATTACCTTCTGGGCTATATTACCGCATAACTATATTCTGCACAGACAGCATGAAACACTGTTAACATGCAGTGGTTCTCCATGTTGGTTTGGTTGGAAAATAAAATTTTGCACAAAAAATTCTTCCGGTCAAGGTCGTCTGTTTTACACCTTACCGGAGAGTAAATCTCACGTACCGGAGTTTCACTGTTTCATTTGCAGTCTTTGCCAGACTGAATATTTCTTGTAATCTTGCCAAAGCATTTATGTGTGTAGCTGCTTAATTGGTGGTGATCTGTTGCGATATAATTAAACTAACTAACCATAGAATAGGTATGAAAAGGTGAAATAAAGGAAAAGCAATAAAAAGCTATCATGTGGCACATGAAAGAAAATGAATAAATCAAAATTTGCTTAATATCAGCACTTATTTATTGCAATACTCCATATCAGTTATAAGCCCAAAGCTACTGATGAATCTATACTATATGTTTTCAGCATAGTAGTTAGATGTATAAATAAGGAATACTTTTCTGTTCAGCTACTCATTTCTAAATAATAGAGTGCATTTACCTTTTTTAAAGCAAATACCCCTTTTAAATTAGCTTTTGGTTAATGCTTTTCAAATACTACGTTAGACTAGATAGGAGAGTTAATATTTATCTTACGGTATACAAGATATGCACAGACATGCACATCTATCCATTTTGCTCAAGTATTGGCTCACTCCTAGCTGATTTCTCCTGTTTTACTCTCTGTACACTGTAGGGCAAATCCCAGTGCTAAGGTGTGGGTCCCTGCAGTGCTCAGATTTTTCCCCTAATAGAACACGCCTGTTTCGATTCATTAACTTATTATCAAGGGCTTACGAGTTGAAGCTGAAGAGCGAAGGTGTAAAACGGAAGGTACAGTGCAGGTGCCTTTGCTGCCTTTTAGATGTGCTTTTGAAATGCTTTGACTCTGGGGTTAAACTATGATTTGATGATGACATACTGGATAATGCAGCATTTGCAGGGTGTTGGTTGACTGGCAAGGCACTCCCTTTTGCTCTTTTTGGTTTGGATTTAGAGAGATTAATTGTTCATGGTCTTGAGCAACTGAAGGCCTTTAAACCAACTGTCAAATGGACTGTTTAAACAGTAACTACACCCTAAGACCTTTTATTTTTCATTAACAGCTGAAATGCACTGTTCTGTAATGATAAAATATACCAGTCTTTCTTTAAATGTGGACACATCTTTCTAAACTGTAAAATATTTTTATTGTGGTCAGTTCCACCTTTGCAGCGCGTCTCTAGTTCAACTCTGCTATAGGCGCGGATGACGTGTCTTTGTACTAAAGTACCATGAAACGTCACAGTAGGCAAATCAGTCAACCAACATTACCGCCCTGATGACGTCCTACTAAATATGAAAGCATAGGACCCCGGAGCGGAGGAGATAACCCCACTCACACGCTGAGCTAAATCCCGCCAACACCACCTCACAAGGCTGCGATATGCCAAATGTATGTAACAACTGTAAATAACCCAATTAATCTAAGCTTAGTTTGTAGTAAAGATGTTGGACCGATTAAGTGAGGATTCTTGCGAGTCTCCATAAAGTTGCCGGTCCTGCATCCAATTCACGTTTCCCTTCACAACTCGGACACTTGGACACACGCACTCACTGAACAGACATCAACCGCAAGCAACACGGGAACTCCGGAAAGCGAAACAGTTTAGGAAAGGTTAACGTTAAATGGCCATTGTTACTGACTGTGTCAACCTTTCATCCATACAGCCTTTCTCAAACTTTTTTCCCGCTTTCCGGTGTTACTTGCCGTTGGTTTCTGTTCAGTGAGTGCGTGCGACTGAGCGTTTGATTTATAAATGGGAACATGAATTTGAGAGGGAACTGAATCAGATGCAACACAGGTAAGTGCCATGAACAGCTTGTAGAACGTAAGGATTTAGGGCCACCGCAGCAAACCCTGGATGACAGGTGATGCAGTCTGCGACCTTGATGTCAAACTGAACGAAACTTAGACAGGGTGCAAAGAAATCCACTTTATTCGTTCGGAATCAGTGTATCTAAGAAATCAGGACCCGGGTTTATCGAATATGGACCTGCTGAACAGATAAATAGAAGCTAGCCATCATGGTTTTAGGAAATGGTCTACCGTTCAGCGCCTCTGCCGCTCGCTGGTAATCATTTTCTGGCACTATGTTAACTCTTAAGTCTTAAGGCTTGAGTCAGTGGCTCATACTGTTAAGGCTCAAGACGCCCTGCCTGATCAGAAACACCTTCCCTCGTTGAAGATGGGGATGGTAGTAGAGAAAAATCGTCAGCCGCCTGGGACCTCTCAGTTGCTAAAGTGCTGTTTGATTCGGTCACTCTCCATATTTTTTGGTAGCTAACGTACGCCAGCTCTAAAAACACAGCAGCCCAGCCCGCCCGGTTTCCCTCGCAGCCCCACCTCCAAAAGTTGGGTGTAGTTATTCTTTAAGCTTGGTATAGATTTGGTCTTAGAGTCAAAGGTTAGGATTGGCAGTGATGCTCTGCACAAAAACATAGTTGCTCAGTGTATTGAAAAACGTTGCATTATCAGAAAATGCAACTATTTGTGGTCTGTTATCAATATTCCGACAGTAAAAGCTAGTCAACAAATATTTCTGTTGACTTTTTGTTTACCTTTTCAGTGTGACATCCAGCCTAGAATGAGTTAACTTGAAGATGTCAGCAGTTTACTTATAGTGTTGTACCTATGTGAGCAACACATCAACTTGCTGCAGAAACCTATTTGCACATAGCTCGTCTGGTCAGCAAGCAAATTTAAATTGTAAACCGGTTAAATCATGCTGCAGCTTCAAGAGCTCAGACTGTAATCTACATAATTATTAGCTAAATAATTAACCTAAATAGCTAAAAATTATAGACAGGTTTAAATAGAGCACCATCCTTTTTTTCTGTTATGGTAATATCTTGGTGAAAAGTACCTCAGTGTATCAGAACATTGCCAAACGTCATTGTTAGAGCTCAAGTTTACAGGCCACATTTAAGCTGATTAAACCGTTAGTAGTTGGTTAATTCAGATAAATAATTGACTGTCAAAAGATTACTTTTTGCAGCCCTGCTATACGGATGAGAAACAGTGCTGGCTAATGGACTAGACCTGTTTTTTTGGTCGTTCTAAAAATATGTCTGTAAAGGTAGGAGCTTTTGAATATGTGAGTGAATGCAGGATTTGGTTGAAAGAATAGCAGTGGGACGCATTTACCTTGACTCAACAAAAGAGCCCAACAGCTTGGCTCTCGCCTTTTCACACAGCCGTGATGGAGCCCACTCACTTGCTTTTGTCAGTCCATCTGCTCTCTCTCTCTCTCTCCATTTCACCATCTCTTCATCTTTCCATCTCTGTCCGTGCCTGTGTAGATCAGCCCATGATTTCACTAGCTCAGAACTGACATCTCTGAGCAGGCGAGGAAATGTCTGTAAGAGCTCAAATGATGGATAGATAACTGGACGGGGAGGAAGGATACACAGATGTTGAGGCAGTGATCTCTGATTTTCTGACATGATTAGTGGAAGCAGTGATTCAAGAGAGTAAAACAGATTAGCTATGCTTGTCAGGTTGTTCCAGTCTTATAAACATACAGCCCTGTATACCTCTCCCTTCTTGTCTGCTGCTTTACGTTTCTGATAGGCTGGTTGTGCTCCTGGTCTGCAGTTGTGCTGATGTTTTAGCCTGCTCTGATGCCCTGGGGCTTCGCGACCAGCTCTAGTCTGTATGTTTCTTGCTAGTCTGGACCTCAGGCTGTCCCCAAGCAGCCAAGTTAAATTAGATTTTTGCCCCTTGTTAAAAATAACTGTCCCACCTTACTGGTCATTAACTGAGCCTGGAATGGCTGTGTTGAATCATACGGGACTCAGAACATTAAGATGGTACTGAGTGTTATTGTGCTGCTGTGCGTGTTGACTGATTTTGATGTTTTTTTTCCTCTCTATTTCCTCTCTGTTTGTTACTTCTGCTTGTTATTAAAGTGAAATTCTGCTGAATTCAGAGTCATTCAGAGTGGTTTGAAATGTTCCATTCTAGAAAAACTTTAGACTCAGAACTTTTCTCAGTGATTGCGATAGGAACCAGACGTCTGAAGCGTTAAACCAAAATACCAAAAGCTGCCTAATCGGACGTTTTTCCGTTGCTTTTCATTAATGTGTTAGAAATACAGTACCTAATATCTGACATTTTTAGAAGAGATTTGGAAGTTAAACATATCTTTAGAATCCATTCTTGGCAAAGAGGTACTGCACTGGGTATTGTAATGCATAGCATTCCAATTTGTAATTTCCTTCTCATTACCATTTTCAGCTGCTTCCTTCCTCTCCGTTAAAAATAAACCATACCATTAACTTCCTTTTCATTTCTTCCTGCTTCCACCTTTTCCCTTTTTCCTCCAGCCGTGCACTCACTATTTGTGTTGCTTTTTCAGACCACCATGGTGTCCCTGGAGGGCTTGTCCAAGGTGGTGGACCCTTCCCAGCTGACACCCGACTTTGAGGGCAGCCTGGACTACAATCATGAGGAGTGGATTGAGATCCGTGTGGCCTTTGAAGACTTCACAGGCAATGCACGGCACCTGCTGGCCCGGCTGGAGGAGATGCAGGACACAGTCACACGTAAAGACTTCCCTCAGGACCTGGAAGGGGCACGACGTATGATTGAGGAACATGCTGCACTGAAAAAGAAGGTGATGAAAGCCCCGGTGGAAGAGGTGGACTCAGAGGGCCAGCGGCTACTGCAGCGCATCCAAAGCAGTGAGAGCTATGCTAACCGCACAGTGCCCGTGGGTCCTGGGCAGAGGGAGAGTCAGGGCCAGCCCAACGCAGACACACAGGGCCTGTTGCCCCGCATCTCCGCCCTGCTGGAGCAGCTGCACAGCACACGGCAGAACCTGCACCAGGCCTGGCATGTCCGCAAGCTACAGCTTGACCAGTGCTTCCAGCTCAGGCTCTTTGAGCAAGATGCAGAGAAGGTGAGGCACTCAGACACAGCGAGAGTGGAGGGGTTGAATGATGCACAGGGTTTATTTATTATTGGTATATTACTGATGTACAGTGATACTGATGAACGGCGATACTTATGGTTTGGTTTTGATGGGTTATTTGGATCTCCATAAGCTGCACTTAAGGTAATAGGTACTCTTCCTGGGATCTACTTGAATGTAGAAAACATTATATGTAATTAGATACAGAGTGTTGCAAGACTTTACAAATTAAAAGTATATATTAATAATGCAGTTGTGACGAGGGATGCACCGATCATGAATTTTTATGATCGATTCTGCATGTGATTTCCTTACAGCCAGTGTAATTAACTACTGTCTGATTCTTTCTTTCTTTTTTGGCTTCATCTTGTTTTAATCTGAAGCTCAGTGTGGGCTAAATGAAACAGACTAACATATTTCCAGTAAATTTTTATAGCCAATCATGCAATATAAACAGTATTACTTCCTTTTTAATCGGCCAAACTGGCATTTCAAAATTTTCTATTTTTAAATTGGTTGCCTTTATAAAATGACACAAATCAAATATGTACTACATCAAAAGTAAGAGGCAACTGGCAATTTAGCACAATGAGTTATGCATAAGAATGTTATGAAGTTTTGTTACAGGTGTAGCCAAGTCATTAAAATACAGTACAAGTGCACTTACCGCATGTTATAAATACCAAGATAAAAATATAATTTGACTAATCAGAAAGCGCTTTGATTAATCGAACATTAGCAGTGTTGTGCTCTAAGGTGTTGGTCGTTTGGGTTATTTTTTTAAATGGTGATTTTTAGAAAATAGGTAGGATATTCTAGCAGTCATTGCTGTGTATGTTAAATTTGTTATTAAGGTATTAGCGTCTACTCTGTAAACGAAGTACCGCCTTTGTTGTGTGTCCCTCTGTTTTTTTTATTAAGAATGTATAATGAAGTTCTCTAAAGCGTGACAATGGTGTCTACGGTGCATACTGTTGATTCATGACAGTGGGTTCAGAATTTGATATTCTCTTGATATTTTGAACAAAACTTGAAAGAAAAATGTTGCCTGTAGTCATATTGGAAAACGTACATTAGAATTGCTGCGATGGACTGGCGACCTGTCCAGGGTGTATCCTGCCTTCCGCCCAAAGACAGCTGGGATAGGCTCCAGCACCCCACCGCGACCCAGAAGGATAAGCGGTTTAGATGATGGATGGATGGACATTAAAACTTGGGGGGCAGGAGGAGTGCTGGAAAGACATGTTGATAAGTGCTGATCGTATGCAAACTTTGGTTTTCAACCAATTTTATTAGAGGAATAATTAATTGAATATTTATTCTCTACAATGCAAAATTAAAACGATCAGAATGTCACAATGTTAATGTATTGTTGCACCACGATTATCAGTGTTGTGCAATATGGACCCAGAAGTTCAAATTATGCGCCTTATTTTGAGCTAGTTGGAGTTGCGTTTCTTTTTGTGTGCTTCCTGACCATGAGGTGGGCACGATATTTAAGATATTGTATTGTTATTGTGATAATTTTTGTAATTGTGATGCACGATATGCATTTCTGGGAAAGCTGACCAGCTGAATGTTACATTATAAAGAGAGCGTAATTAATCCTGTATAGTTGTGTTTAGTGCAGTATATGAAACGTTGAATAACAATCATTGTATTAATAGGGTTTTATAGCAGGTTTTAAATGTGACACTACTTGCGCATTTAGTCTGTTTTAAATACCATGATACTTATCGTATATCATGTACCCTTCTTTAAGTCTCATGATCTGCTATTTTTCCCTCCTACCTGACCGTACTACTTGATAATAGTCAAGATGAGACAGGCTATTAAGAGTGTAGTATAATTAGTAGTGCATGTGTAAAGCAGGGATTTCATGTAACACTGTTATTTTCATGATAATATAAATGAACATAATCTTTTTCTTTGCTCGCCTTCTTAAACGGTGTTTACTTTGTGCCTCAGCACTAATGGAGCAGTCTAAATGCTGCATGTAGTGGGTGGAGGATTTTGCATGTTGCTAGGACACCAAGAGCTATTCTCTCCTCCTGAGAATCGGGTCATTCTTAAGCATCCTATTTTTATCCACATCATCTTCATGGACCCACTGTTATGAATGTGTTGGAACACACACATTGCACACAAAACCAACACAGTTTTTTTTCTTTTCAGTTGAACATTTTTGTGCATTTGCTTGTGTACATGCACAAACTCGCTGTACTGCTCGGTCATCCAGAACATAACACGTGTATACACACCATTGCATGTTGAAACTCACACAGACACACGTGCTCCCTAAACCCCCTCAGGCCAAAGATGTTAAAGAGTGTGTGTGTTTGTATGTTGTGTCTTTGCAGATGTTTGACTGGATCATGCACAACAAAGGCCTGTTTCTGGCAGGCTACACTGAGATTGGCAACAATCACTCCCATGCCATGGAGCTCCAGACCCAGCACAACCACTTTGCCATGAACTGCATGGTAAGATAAGAAGAACACTACACAGAATTTTACTGTTTTGTAAGATTAGAAATCTGATTTAGAATGCGCTGTGAATTGCTATCTCAGTAGCTGCATGCCAGCAAGTAACTATTTTTGAGTTGTTTTGGCTCCTCTGTACCTGACAAGCAAATCATTTGGTCATGTAAACAGGGCATTTTTGAGACAGGAACATTTATGAATGAATGAATATGCGGCGTCCTTATTATGTCTAGACAAGTGCTTTGAAGTAATGTTCATTTAATTTTCCCTTATGTGGTGATTTTCTTTTCTTTATATGCTGTGGCTTTTATTCCTTTCCTTTAGTCTCTCCTTGTTTAAATGGGTTTCTGCTGGTTTGCTTTCATTAGCAAAAGCCTGTGCTTGTATTCATACATGGATTTTGAAGTTTTTAGCCGTCCAGTTATATAAGAATATTGTTTCTTAAATTCTGAAATAATTCAAATTGTTTTTGCAGATGTTTATTACTTGTACTAGTTTATAGGGATGCATGATCGGAATTGACCATGCACATGAATGGCAATCAGCAAATTTTGTGTGTGTGTGTGTGTGTGTATATATATATATATATATATATATATGTATATATATATATATATATATTGTATATGTATATGTATATATATATATATATATATATTATATATTATATATATTATATTGAGAGAGAGAGAGAGAGTGTGTTTTGGGAAAAAAAATAAGCATGAAATGTGGCCTGTTCAAAAGTTACAGCACATTTTTTATTTTATGTTTTATTTTTTCCAATATCTTAAGCTAAAAATAAATTATGCAATGCAATGAAACTGAAAGTGCCATATGTATGTACCCCATATAGGATTATTTTCACTTTACAAAATCAACAAAACATATACTTTGATTGGAGGTGTTCAAACTTGCACCCAACTGTATTGGAATTATGGGCCAATATCAGTTTCCAATGTTTTTCTTGTACATATCTGCTGCTGATGCCATAATTATTTATATTATCTAGAAAATGGGACTAGAGCTACTTGGATGAAAATTATAGAGAAATATAATTTGGAGATATTGGTGATATTTATATACAAATAGAGATATTTTAGTGTAGTAGCCCAGCATCATCTAAACATTCTGCTCTTGCAGAATACAATAAATACAGCAAGTATCAATTTGAAATATCCAGTCAAATATAAACATCTGTCTGATGTAGATATGATTTCGACATTATTATGCCTCCATAATAAATAACTTGAGTTAGGTATGTGCACTTGTGTAGTATTTGAATGCTGCTACTACACCTATGCTAAACTCTCACAGCATTTTTATGCATGACTAGTGCTAAATAACCAGTTCCTCATATTTTCTATGTAGCACTTCATTCGATTCATATTATTTAAGTAATTTTTAAAATGCCAGTTTGGCCCATTAAAGAGTAAATAATGTTTTTTATATTGTAGCTTTGGCTAATAGAAAGTACTTGGAATGTGCTAGTGTGTTTCATGTGTTCATTTAGTCCACATATTGTGAGCTTCGAGTTTAAAAAAAAAAAAGCTGATAAAAATCAGCCTGAAAAAATAAAAAAAAATAAATAAAGAAAAATCAGCCATTGCCAAGTGGGCTGTAAAGATATCATAATTGGGCTTCAACCATAAAAATTCATGAGTGGTGCATCGTTACAAGTTATGTTGGTGGTTTTGACAAGAATAAGCTCAGTGTTAGGAATGGGTGGTTAGAACTGCCAGTGGAAGATTAAATTTGGAGCACTCACTGTAACACCTTTGAGGTATTTTCTCTCTCCTCCCATGGGCTCACAGAAGGTTCAGTACTGGATACAGTGCTTGTAAGCTGGCACTGAGCCAGTAGTTACAATCTAAATCCTCTGATACCTCCTCTAGAACCCATAATGAATTGTTTCAGGCTAGTGCTTCAGTCCTCCTGAAACTGAGATTACTGTGGATTAGAATGTTTTTGAACTGAACAGATGTCAGTTTTCAAAGAAAATAGAGGTACTCCGGCTCCCTCAGTAACATGGCTTTTGCTTGAATGGGATGGTGTAATGGTGGAGCAGCCTCTTAAGAATCTCAGTGTTCAGTGCTAGTGACTCATCACATGTCCAGTAATGGAGCAGTGGCAATGATCCACCTAAATGCTTCCTGTGTGAGTGGTGTCCCACAGGCTGCTCTAGACCCATACAGGGGCATGCTTTCAGGAGCCTCTTTAGCACAAATATGGATCAGTTCCTGTTTCAGAGAGGCACAGAGGAAACAGAGGGGAATGGGGAATCGGCTAATTCACAGGCATTCCAGTTGTGTGAGAGTTGCAGCTGTTGAGATGTAAATGCCTGCAATGTAGCTGACGTGGCTCTAAACGTTCTGCAGGTGCATTATTACGCAATTGTTCCAGCTAAACAAGCAAAGTAATCATTCTAACCCTCATGTGCAGCCAAAATATATTTTTTTTAAATATATTCTAGATGGAATGGTAGTTAGCAGGATCAGAAAGTGGTCTGGCTACCCAGGACCTTGCTAGATATTTGCACAGGGAGGTTGTTTGCAGTATTTGAAGGGGTAGCTGTGAGTTATTGGTCAGAGGCATGCTAATCAAACTGTAAAATCTGTGCTCTCCCCTGAAGAATAATGACCACTAAAGAATAATGACTACTCTCAGAGGTCTCCATGTATGGAAACAAACTCAGAGCACAGGTGTGAATGGAAGCCACTATAGAAACCAGTTTATTAAAATTGTCATGGTCAGAAGAACCTTGTAAGTCCATTTTTCCCCTTTTGTTTGCTTGTTATTTGTTTGTTATTCATATATTTTTATGCTGCTTACTACAGCAGCTGCCTCTACTTTGTAGGAACATTTCATAACGAATGGACCAATTGAAAATTTTGGAAAACAAACCTTTCAAGCTCTCATTAAACAATACTTTAATAATTTAAGAAGTTGAGAATCTTTAATATGCTTTAGTTGTTGCTAACTTGATTCCCTGTCTTGTCCTTGTGCAGAATGTGTATGTGAACATTAACCGCATCATGTCTGTTGGGAACCGGCTGCTGGAGGCCGGCCACTACGCATCCCAGCAGATCAAGCAGATCTCAGGCCAGCTGGAGCAGGAGTGGAAGGCCTTTGCTGCTGCTCTGGACGAGAGGAGCACATTGCTGGAAATGTCTGCTACCTTCCACCAGAAATGTGACCAGGTCAGAAAATGCAGCACAATGCTACTTCTGTCAAATCTTAGTGGTAATGCTAGGACTGAATGAGAAACATGCCTCATCTGTGAGTCACATCCGTAGTTTTGATATAAGCAGTGAATATGTAAGCCAGCTAAAGTTAGTTGACATGTAAAAGAGGAGTAAAGTTGAGGCTGAGTAATACTCTTTCCATATGTTCCTCACAATCATTTGAGTTCAGTTCATTGTTGCTACAGGGTATAAAAGCACTCTTTCAAACTTAGGAATCTCATACAATTTAAAAAATGAAACGTGTTCAGATTTATTTTAGTCTTCTGTTGTTTATTTGTTTTTATCCATTCATATCTTCCTCCATAAATACACACTGGTGGAAAATTCGGAGATGTAAAAGAGTTCCTGAGTGCATAAGACCGCAGGAGTATGAGTGCCCCATTTTTTCACTCATGGAATATTCCTCTCATCTATGGTGCCTTTTCATGCGGCAGTAGGATCAACCCTCTTTTTCCAGGGATTTCTCTCCTGTGAGCTTTGCCCCATCTCGCATTCTCTCTCTGTACACAAAGCCTGGTTTCAGTCCCCCTCATCCATGCCATTCTGTTTGAGACCTGGAAGCTGGGTCAAAGACAGACCCCGCCCCCCCTTTTTCTTTCCGTTGGGGAGGGGGATTGTCAAGAATCATGAAGTTCTTTACATGAGTGAATTTATATTAGACTGTATTGAAGCTCGATCTTCAGTATGCCAATTTTACCCTATATTGACATGCTTAGGTTTATTTAGCCTATTGTCTTTTGATATTTTTCTTTTTAGTTCTATAAAGACAAGTGTGGGGAAGTGCTGAACTGCTAATGATGCATGGCATTGTGTGGAGAATCTAATTTTGGAATTAATGTGGCATGCGTATTTTAAATGGTTTAAATGAATGTAATTGATTGAAATGTACAGTGTGGAATCTTACAAGGCAGAGGATGTAGTATATTCCCCTGAATAGTAAATAAAATACCTGAACATTAGTCTAATCTTCATTTTGGAATGGGGGATTCCAATGATTTTTCAAAAGTTTCAACGTATTTGAATAGTTAATGGGGAAACTCATTTACAGTAGTTTGATGTGAAATGCTCCACTCTAGAGAAACTTGCTGAGTTAGAATTGTTCACAGTGGAAATGGGAAAAGGTTAATGCCTCAGAAAAGGGTGGATTAAATGGTTACAAATACACTGTCTCATGTCTGAGATTTACAGTAGTTGTCACATAAGGTTTTGACGTTTTTTACAATTCATTCGTATAAGAGATGGTGCACATTTATCAATATTATTTATAAAAACTCAGCAGACATGTGTAGGTTCACCAGCAATTTTGAATAGTAAATAAAATGGCTATATCTGCATTGCAAACATTGTGACCTCTGGTTCCTATCACCACCACTGTAAAGAAATCTGAGTCAGCAAGTTTCTCTAAAATGGACCATTTCACATCAAACCACTCTGAATGACTTATCAGTTATTAAGTAGAAAGTTTGAAAAATCGATGGAATCCTCTTTTTTCTCTTACAGTAAATATAGTATTGTATTAACCCATTAAGCTTCATGGAGATCCCGTCCAAGGATTACTATTCAGTAACTGTATTGAAAACAATTAAAAATGGTGAAGTTAATTAAGCAATAATAAACATCAAAGAATTTTACATGTTACAAAATATAATGATAAGGTGCTGTCGGCCTATTTTGCTAATCTGTTAATGCTTTTAGCTGAGGGCTCCTGGGGCTGTTTGCACCAGCAGTGCTTATGCCTGGTCGTAACCGAAGGCACTCATAACTTTCAGGGCATGAATTGAACTAAAATGTGTCTGCATTTCCCATTCTGTACAATCCAAAATACAAAGAGAAAAGGAAAAGAAATTCTGCAAGTCAAAGTATCTGACACTGTTCCTAACAGTGAGTTAAAAGACATTACTGAATCGCAGTTATAAGAGGTTAATACATTTTTTGTTGCTTTATAGTCTGTGTAGCCAGCCAACATATACTGAATGAAACTGAGCTTTTTTGGTTTGTATTTGAAATCCATGAGGGATTGTCAAGTTAATTCACTGTGCAGTCAGACACGCCCCTTAAGCGTTGAGGCTCTTGTGAAGAAACAGCTAATTTCACTTAACTTGTAACTTGTGTGTATGAATAGTATGTGATTAGCTAACTATGCTGCAAAACATGCAAAAAGCAGACAAGTTGCCTCATTCAGAATGAGTTTAGATAGAGCTGCTGGATGTTCTTCCATGTACTTGCTAGCAGTCTTGTGTGATAAAGTCCTCACCTTCAACATACTGAAGTAGAAGCAGAGCTAGCAGTGTGGAGTGTTTGCAACAGAACTGCAGAGCCATTCTTCTAGAGCTGAGGTCCATGTCCTCCTTGCAGAGAAATGTGAAGAGCTGTGGCGTGTGAGTTGAGATGGAGGGGGTCACAAACCCCTAAAGTACATTTTGGATGTGTGTGGCTCAAAAAGGTTGAGAAACACTGTTCTCCTGTGTGTTGTCCTCTCGAACCAGCCCTGTTGCCTCTCTATTTCTTAAGCTGCGAAGATGTTTATCCATCAAAGTGACTTTAAGCAGACTCTAAAATTTAAACGATATTCAAATTTCGCTGTGAGCATCAGCTGTCAAGTTGCCAGTCATAGGTATGTGCTGCTGTTTTTTTACTTAGTAACGCAGACTGCTTAGGAGCTGTCATTGTTGCATGTGACCTGGCTGATACCGGTCTTAATTGAGCCTAGGCGTAACTTTGTTTGGCGCAACAGCTGTAAAGTTCTCACTAAAAACTGGTCTTCACTACAACTGACTTAGCAGTCAGGACCTGTTGGTGCAAGCCCCTGCCCTGCATGGATGTAATATTAAAAGTCAAAGAACAACACAGAGGTTTCTCGGCTGGATTTGAGTTGGGTGGGACAATATTGGAAGACGCTGACATCAAGTGATCCCTGGAACCAATTTAAAATAGTGGTAGACGTTTTGTCAGCAGCTCTTTACCACAGAACCATCCCACAAACACAACACCAGTAAGCGAGCTAGCTGCTATTTTAAAAACATACCTTAATTCTGGTAAAATGTTTACTATTTGCCAATATTTGGATTTTCTTGTTTTACATGCCATTTCACTATATATTTTTTCAAATCTGACATGAGTTAATGATCAAGTCATGCATCTTTAGTTTTTTGTGTTACAACATTTGCGACAGAGTTGCCAGCCCCTTTGAGTTGTGAAAGGAATGCAACTCTAGACTTACCAGAATGTTAATAGGTTGAACTTGACATTAAACGTTGTAAAAAGTGTTGGATGGCTCATTCATGTCTCTTGTGGTGTGTCTCGTGCCAACAGTACATGAGTAATGTGGACTCGTGGTGTAAGGCATGTGGAGAGGTTGATTTGCCCTCTGAGCTCCAGGATCTAGAAGACGCCATCCACCATCACCAGGGCCTGTATGAACATATCACAACTGCCTACTCTGAGGTACAGTACAAAATACATGTGTGTATGTGAGGAAGAGAAAGTGTTTTAAAAAGTAGTTTAATCACTGTGTGTTGTTGAAAACACTCCTAAATGAATTGATCCCGGTGCCGTTGGTACACATTAATACATGAGTGCCAATTACAGGTGCTGCTACGGTCACAGTTTAAACTAATTATACCAATTGAAAAAGGCATAGAAGCATGAAGGGGCTGGTGCGGCACAGTCAATCCTGTCATTAACTCCAATAAGGTAGGAAGAGTCATTTTCTTGTTTGCTTTGTGCAGGTTAGTCAAGATGGCAAAGCCTTATTGGACAAACTTCAGCGGCCTCTGACGCCTGGCAGCGCTGATTCGCTGACAGCCTCCGCCAATTACTCCAAGGCCGTACACCACGTACTGGACATCATCCATGAGGTCCTACATCACCAGAGACAACTGGAGAACATCTGGCAACATAGAAAGCTCCGTCTGCACCAGCGCCTGCAGCTGTGTGTGTTTCAGCAGGACGTCCAACAGGTAAACACTACCCCAACACCACCCTCTGAACACGCATGCTCCCACATAAAGGCTGTAGGCAAGCTGAATTTCGGAAGCTCACCCGGAGAGTGAGAGGGATTTAAAGAGCAACAAGCAAGTGATGGAGGAAGAGATAGAAAGCGAGAGAGGGATGAGCATAAATAATTAAAAGGCAAGCTGCTTGGCTGTGGGATGCTAATATCCTGATATACGGTTGTAATGAAGATGTTTCAGCTCTCCTCCGTACTCCATGCGGTATTTAACCTAAGCAGACTTATCTTCTGCATTTCACTGCAAAAAGCAGCGAAAGCCTCGGCTTTTAAAAAAAGCTCATGTTGGGTTGCGCAGGCTAAGCGTATAATTACCACTGATGCTGTTCCTTTCATGCAGGCTGAAAAACACCACCGCAACATCTTGGCAAAATAATGCAGAGATTATTTTCATGCACACATAACAGAAATAGTGATGTGTAATTAAAAGGCAAAAATGTCCGTCCTTGTTGCTTTTTTGCCTCTCTTGTCTCTTTCGTTCACTCTTAATAGTTAACAGGCTTTCAGGCACTGTGGATGGGTTTGTGCTGGAGTCAGTCTGCTCTGCTCTGTGATGGTTTGGGTGCTTAGCTGGGGAGGAATGCACCACCACTTTTTCCACTCATAGGCTGGGAGACTGTTGCTATGGAAACCAGTGTTCTCTGCAGCATTCAGGTGCAGAGCGCTTGAAGAGTGGCAGATAGAGAGAGAGCGAGAGACAGGGAGCACATCACCTTTCTGGGGCTCATCTGCATAATTCTCGCTTTCTGTGACCCACAATTTCACTTGCTGTGGTGCCTTTTGTATTGCACTGTCATTATCTCAAGCTGTTTGACGGGACATATTCTCACATTTGTCGTACATGAGTAAAGGCTAAAAAGCTTCCACTTAGTCTTCACATCTTAATTTTAAATTGTGTGTGTCTGTGTGTATGTGCACCCACACACAGGTGCTTGACTGGATTGAAAACCATGGTGAGGCGTTTCTTAGTAAGCATACAGGAGTGGGGAAGTCTCTCCATCGTGCCAGAGCCCTGCAGAAACGGCATGAAGACTTTGAAGAAGTGGCTCAGGTGAGCGTCTCCCACCCCATTCTCTTTTTCTTACATCCTTCCCCTTCTTTTTTCTCTCTCCTCTAGTTCAGTTCAGTTTGTAATATGGATGTAAATGACTAATTACCTGTTAACTGACAAATAAACAGCTGTTTGATCAAAACAAAGTTTAATTTTATTTCATTTCCAAAACACAGCATTTCTTATTAGAACAGGCAAGTTTATACTTTTGAATAAGGCACATGAGTGTGCAGTAGTAATGACTGGTAACTATAATTTAATAATAATTGTATAATGTAGTCATTTTGTCAGCTTTTTAGTTTTTGGTAATATAATCATGAACTTATTATAATTAGATATTTAAATAGAACAGAATTCAGTTGAGGTGTGCACACAGGCATCTGTACATACCACGTATTTTACAACAGCTTCTGATGAACTACCAATTACATTAAATATAAGAACATGATTGCGAAGGAGCTCAGTACAGTATTAGGCAGATGTACATTGACCAGGAAAAGATAAAAAGTTCTTGCCGTGACGCTTGAGTTTAACAGAGAAGTGAAATCAAGTCCTGCTTTGAGTGGTTTCCTCCTTGGTATAAATAAGAAAACCTATATCAGTGCTGTTGAGCTGTAGATGGCTAATGTAGCTCAGGAATTTAGCATATGTTTCTGTGTGTCTTACATTTGTATTATGCAATCTGCTGAACTCTTGATTGTATGTATTTGTGTATGTTTGTGACCTTCTCCTGTGTGGATCAGAACACGTACACCAACGCTGATAAGCTGCTGGAGGCAGCGGAGCAGTTGGCTCAGACGGGCGAGTGTGACCCGGAGGAGATCTACCAGGCCGCCCACCAGCTGGAGGACCGTGTCCAGGACTTTGTGAGACGCGTGGAGCAGCGCAAAGTCCTCCTGGACATGTCCGTGGCCTTCCACACCCACGTTAAAGAGGTAGTTCTGTGCTTTTCACTAAACCTTTCTGTGGATTTTTGTATTTCAGCAGGATAGGGCTGGCTGATATGAGCAAAATTCTTATCCAGATACAGTACTGTGCAAATGCCAGAGTCCACTCTTTATTTCATTTCATTTCCGGTGTAAACGGTTATGAAGTACAAGTTATTCATTTTTCTAGAGGTATTTATAAGGAAATTAAATATAAGATGCAAAGGTCAAAGTGTTATTCCGGCTCTGGTGTTCCCAGAGCTATGGACTGGTCACTCCAGAGACTTCAGCATCATTACGTGTGTTTGAGATTAGTTTGATCATGAGAAGCAGAAAATGCAACCAACTTGTAAGACCAATCTCTTTAAGAAACTGAAAACAAGTCTTCTGAAAAGTGTGGAGGCTGTAATAAAGGTTAAGTGTAGGCACATTAAATACTGCAAAAATATTACATTTAGTTGTTGAGCTGTAATTTTCTGTTAAATTTGTTTTCTGCTTTTTTTCCTGATGCTGAAAAATGAATAGCTCGTACTTGATGGACATTTTGACTGAAAAATAATTAAATGAAGGGTGATCACTACGTGCAGCTGTACATTGCTGCTGTCGGAACAAAACCTTGCAGGTCTGAAATTATAACTTTACAGGAGAAGGAATAAACCTAGTTTACTTTTAATGTAAGTCAATGGAACCAGACATTTTTCCAAGTCATTTTGGGCCGTTGCTTTCGGTCCATTCGTCGTGAAATTTACGTACAATATAAAGGACTACGGGCATTTTCAAATTATGTCAAAAACTGAAAAACGTCAAAAATGGCGATATGAGGTTTTGTTTCAACAGCAGCAGTATGTTTCTTTAGCGTTTGATTATTATTTTAAGCATTTGCTGTTGCTTATTTTTAAGTCTACTATTAATAGCATTTTAAAACCTGAAGAAAACAAAGGTCTTATGCTGGTGCAGTATACAGAATTATCATATTTTTATTTACTCTCTATAATTCTCTCTATAACGACTCTAAAAATAGCATTATGTTACTGTAAAAAAAAACTCTACAATTATCATTATTGTTTTATCACATCGCCCAGTCGTCAGACTTTTCCCCCACATGGTTATTGAATGTTACTTCATTAAAGGGGTCCTGGCTTACTGCATCAGATGTCCTGCTTGAGGGTTGAGTGTTTGTGTTTTTGTGCTGTAGCTGTGGACGTGGCTGGAGGAGCTGCAGAAGGAGCTGTTGGATGATGTGTACGCTGAGTCAGTGGAGGCAGTGCAGGATCTGATCAAGCGCTTTGGCCAGCAGCAGCAGACCACCCTGCAGGTCACTGTTAACGTCATCAAAGAGGGCGAGGACCTCATCCAGCAGCTCAGGTACACACGCTGTAGCGGTTCTCACAAAGCGTCTTCAACTCTGTATTTTAAAAACATTATTCATTCTCAAACTTACATAATTCCAACACTACAGCTATGCTTCTGATTTATTATTCTTCTTCTTGAGGGACAAGACCTACGCTACATCTAATACCATTGCAAAAGATGAAAAGAATAAGACCCTGTACACCCAAGTTGTCCCAAAACTGCTGAGTTTCAGTTTAATTTGAACCCCTGCTGAGTTGTGCTACACTGATAGCAGAATCAATTTGTCACATTTATAATCCATATGCAGTGAGCTGCAGCAAAGAAACGTGAGGCCTGAGGTTGAACAGGGCTGCCTGCTTATGTAAGCCCAGTGAGAGCATGTGAGCGAGAAAGAGAGAGAGAGAGGGAGAAGCCTTTCCAGCTCCAGCTCCTCTCAGCAGCCCTCAGGCAGCCTGTGCTACTCCAGCAGTTCTCTCTACCTCTGTCAGCTCCAGCAGCCTGCATGTCTCTCACTGCTCCCGCAGAACTCCATCCACATTTACATATTCTATACTCAAACATGCTGCATTCAGGCCGCAGTATAGCAAATTTCTTGTAGATCTGGTATCTTTGAATTTTGATGATTATTTTGGCTTGAAATAGAATTATTTAAGTGTTTTATTCCACTTCCACCCTTCTTAGTGAGGTTGCATGACAATTTTTACTAGTCAACTGGTCATTCAAAAAAAGAGCGATCATTACCGTATTTAAGAATAATAATAATAAATTAAAAGCTTACTTGGTCTTGTGTACGTCAGTGAAAAGTTTTTTAGTTAGTAGCTTTCTAATATTGATTGGTTTAGCGGCAGTTGCGGTTTACAGTGTGCACCGCAGAGTTTTTTGCTGTATTTCAGTGTTTCAGTCTCTGGCACTCTGCCCACAAAAGTATGCAGACTGTCTGATGTAAACTGCACGCTAGAATTGCCAAAGCTCTCAGTAACTCACCTCACAGAGAATTTAAGCTACTGCTGGCAATCTGTGCTTCTACAAAAACTGGCTTTATCAGTCTGAAATGATTATTTATCAAGTTAAAAAGTGAGATATAGTCGCTGAACCAGAAAACATTCATGCTGTCCCATTTAAAAAAAATAAATAAATAAATAAAAAATATATATGCAGGTAGTAAGTTTTCCATCCATTTGCCAACTAGTGACTCCACTTTATCTAACGCTGGTTTGTTTTTGTTACTGGCACGTCATGCTAAACGTTCTATAGTCAATTTGCCTGTCTGATTACTATCAGAGACAGCAGCTCTCGAAACCTACTCAGTCTGTTTTAACAGCTTGTATTTTACCACTGCTGTACTGGTACTTTCAGGTACTGACGTCAGCTAGTCGACTGTTGCCTGCATTACCCACTAGTGGATTTATTTGTTGACTAGTCAACTAGTCTGTGCAACCCCTATTTCTTAGACAACCAGCCTGCAAGATTTGCCTGAAAAACATTCATAGCCAGAGATGAAAGCATGTCCAACAAGTATTTCTGTCTACAAAATTAAACACCCTTTAATTGCTATACAGATGCTATCGACTCCCGCTGTAGAACCAAATGTTTTCGAGTGCGAGTTATGGTTTTGCAATCAGGACCAGGAAATCCCTCAGACCACCTAACAGATGGTAATGACAATTGTCTTCTAAACCTCTGTTGGTACTTCAGTTACCCAGGACCCCCCCACCCCTCAAACTATCTGGAAGGAAGTGTCATATATTTTGACCTCTTTTGTCAGATTATGTACATGCTTGGGGCATATTTTCTAGGTTGGGTTATGACACTAATTTGTCAGTAATGCCATCACTGATGCCTCTTTATAAACTGCTAAGCATCTTAGCAAGCAATTGATATGAGGACACCACCATCCTATAGATGTTAGTCAGTCATGTACCATATAGACACTAGAAATAAAATTAAATCAGAGGGGTATTCAGTTTGAAGGTTTAGTGACAACCCATGTAACATTCCCTTAATATCTAATGAGGTTGTGCAAACAGCCTGATGTACCAAGCTTGTCTCTTCAAATGCTCCACAACTACTGAAGAAAAAGGCAAAGTGTGGGCTCTAACCAAGTGAGGATGTCAGAGGTGCAGAGATGAGGAGATAGAATGTAAAAGATGCAGAGATGGGTTAAGAGATGAGAAAAGAGCATTAGAGGTGAGAATACGGAGAGAAATGGCTGTGTTTTGCCTCTGTTTGCATGTTTATTTCTGTAAGCAGTGTGATATCATTCTCTCTCACTTGCTCTCTCTCGCTCACTCTCACTCTCTCTTACACTCTCTACAGTACTTTATTATATAATCGTGCTTTCGTAACCACTCAGTTAATTATGTAGAGGAGTAATACTTAAACCACCCCGTGCACAAGGGTACAAACAGAAAGGTTCCCAACTCACTGTCTCTTACGCCAACACGCACCACAGAGAGAATCCGCACACACACTGGCAGAGGATGCTGACGCACAACACTTGATATTCAGCTCCAAGCCCAGCAGCAACACTCCGTTCAAACACAAACCAGTCATCAAAACATCGTTGCTTTATTTGATCTTGTGTGGTCCTTCATCATGAATGTGTTAATTATTCTGCTACTCTTTGTGAAACACTGAAGCACTGCTGCAAGTTATTAATACCATATCACCATGGGAACAGGCTGTCTTGTTAAAGCTGCATAGTATCAATAGAGAAACAGCTATTACTAATGACAAAAAAGATTATTATGATGGTGATAGTAGTGACTTTAAATTATTACATGGGTATGATTTAATAAAATTTGTCTTTGGGCCTCAATGGGACTATTATGTGACTCCTGTATATATCATTAAGTTATAGTCCTCCATGATGTTCTGGAGAAGAGTATTATTATGAGAGCATTATTCTTCTTGATTCTTTTTCTCAGTCTGAAACAGGGATTATTACAGCCGTGCTTGATGATAATGAATTGAGGGTAGGGAATAAATGGGATGCTATTAGAAATTACTGAAAATTGCAAGTAGTAACTAACCATACGTTGTTTTGTGGAAGACAATTTTCAGTAAAGTCTGGCTGCATTCATATTCAGGTGCTCAAACAGCTCTATTTGGTAGAGAAATATGATCTCTCACGTAACGATTCCAGAAAAGTTTTTTAGATCAATAATTCAGAACATGGGCAACAACAGTTTTTTGCAGGAAGTGACATCATTATGTAAAGCATGTCTATTGCTAAATGTGAGCTGAATCACATTGTTTTTTTTGCTTGTAATTTGTGCAAAAAAAAATAGATGGAAACCTTGCTACTGTTAGTAGTATGGGAAAAAATCACCTAGCCTAATCAGAAAAATTAACTGATTGAAAACAAAGCTAAGAACCGAAAGCCAAGAGCTAAGATATGTGTTTATGCAAACTTTGGTTCTTTATTTTTGCACTGGAGCTATGAGGCTGAAGTAGTTGGCGAATAAAGCTTTAAGCTTGTTCACATTGTATAAACTGCATGCCTAAATCATCACACAGTGACTTTAAGCTGCATCAGTTATGAAGTAATCGCAAATAGACTGGTTTCTGATACAGTATAATAGTGTTATTATTATACTGTTATCTAAAAATGTATGTTGCATAGCTAAGAACAGTAGTATCAGCCATCCTGAACCAATGGCATTTAATGTTGTGATGGCATTGATCTGATATCTATATCAGTATTGAGCCAATATCGGTAGGAAATGCTAGATCAGACATCAGGAAAAAAAATCTGATTCAATCCTGTAACAAACCTAGCTTGAAATAACGCACGCTCACACTGTGTGATGTCATGTTGTTAGCTGTGGATTTCCTCCTTTAAGCAGTTTTAGAATCATCTTAAGTGAAGTACTTCAATTTAAATAGCTCATTTTGAAGCTGAGTAGTTTTTAGAGAAAGACATTTCATGTGCAAGAGAAAAATCTGTATCAATCGGCAGGTTTCAAGGTTCAAGTATTGGTACTGATATCAGAAAAGAAAAAATTAACCTGAACGTCAAAAGCCTCCTCAGCTGTTGAAATTCTTGTCTCGACACTGGTTAACATTACTAATTGTATAATTGATCCTGGAAAGCAACCTCTGTAAACAAAGATACTCGCTATCTACTGTTTCTCCCCAACTGAGACTTTTCCATGCAAGTGACACCTTTCACACCAGCTCAAGAAACCTCAGACATCACACGCGCACAGCTTAATGCTAGCCATCTACCCTTTCCACAGAGATTCTGCTATCTCCAGCAATAAGGCCCCACACAACAGCTCCATAAACCACATAGAGAGTGTGCTGCAGCAGCTGGACGAGGCACAGGCTCAGATGGAGGAGCTCTTCCAGGAGAGGAAGATTAAACTGGAGCTCTTCCTGCAGCTCAGGATCTTTGAGCGTGATGCCATCGATGTAAGTCATGCCATGCCACCTGCCTTCTCACTGGTGGTAGCAGTGGTTGTGTGATGTCTTGTAAATTTTCTGTTGCAGTGCATTAGGGATTGAATAGACAACTATTCAATTACAGTTTCAAAGTGGACAAAAATTTTATATTTGAATATTCTTATCATGCAGAACTGATGCATTTGAATTGCCAACTTCAAATTGATGCACTGAAGCATTTCTGTGCCCCTGCAGTCCCTGAATCCTCATCCTCAGTATTCTTGCCTATCCAGATGTTGTGTGTGTGTGTTTTACTAATGTGTTTGAGTGTTAAAGTCTATTATTTGAAATGAAGCCCAGCAGCTGTAGTTGCAGACTCCCTGCTGCCTAAACTGCAACTTGCACAAGCTGAGTAGAAAATGTAGCCAGAAGTGATTACTCACAGACTGCATGCACACACTCAGGCTGTAACGTGTGAGGGTCAAGAGGAGGTCAGCTCTACCACATGCTGTAGTGCTGTGGTTCTCAACTCTCTTAGAGATCCCAGAGTTTCCGCTGCATTGCACATTTAACAAACCCACTTTAACTCACAAAACAGGACAGGAGCTAACAACAAAAAACAGAAATAAAACGGTTGAAAACACTGGTAAGCTCCAACTTGGTGCAGCAATATATTTTTTTATTATTTTATTGTTTGACTTTGAGAATTTGATTGCTATTTCAACAGTTATCAGCAATTTCTAGACTATCAACAATTTGAGAACTAACAGCCGTAACTGACCGTTCACAGCTGACAGTTATGTTAGTAAAGCACCATTTAACTAAAGCAATTAGAAGTCTGAATTTTGACTGTAAAATCCCTAGATATCTGTTTGACTCCTTAAAAATGGGGTCAGTATCAATGTTTTCGTGCTGGTTGGACCCTCTCAAGAAGCACCTGATAATTAACTAAGTGGGTTTAGTGTGTTAAGTCAGAAACATACAGAAACATACAAATATGCAAACACTTCCAGCTATGCAAGCATAGATTTGCGCAGTGTTGTGTCGTGAAATGTTTTAGAACTCAATACGTAATGCAACGGAAGCATGAGGTGCATTCTGAGCATTACAGCATGGCGCTATAACGACAGCCAAGCCTGACCGATCTGTTTTGTTCTGCCAGGGTGCTGTTGTTCAGGCATCTGTCATAGCAAACCAGCAGTTTGACAAGTCTCTTACAGAACTACTTCACTATAAACGCATAGATATTGTCACCATCATGCAAAAAAACCTTAAATTCCCATTTTTGTAGTTTTTTACTTTTTTGCAAAATTGGAAAACTGCTTTTACCTTTTACATTGTGTTAAAATCTTATGATGAATGGATCTATAGAAATGGTCCAAAATTACTTGGAAAAAACCTCTTTACATTTGCTGCCATTACAAGTTAAGAATGTTTTTCCTTCTCCTCTGAAGTTACTTTTTTGGAGATATGAAATTTTGTTCTGACAGTGACTATGATACATCAACATCTCTTCATTTTGAACAAGTAAAGCAGCAGACTTTCTTCTGCTGTCTACATATTTAGTTGTTTTAGCTGCTGGAATAACGGTAGATTCTGATCACAGATGCTGAGATTTGTCCTCTATCACCATAACAACGCAAGTTGTCTTAGTACAGCAGGAGTGTGTGTTTGCAATGCATTGATGGGCGTTGTCATTTGAGTTTGCTTACTTGCATTGAGTATGTTTGTGCAAGAATGTACAGGCGGGGTACTCCTGGACTAGGATTAGAAACCTAGACGAGAATAGAATACTGGCTGCTTTTTTTGCTTGTTTGTGTCCCTTTACACAGTTGTCTGTGCTTATCAGGCTGAAATCTATGACTCTGCTTCTGCGTGTGAGATTTTGTGCGCGCATACCCGTTCTAAGCACCCCTCTGCCCTACAGATCATCTCAGATCTGGACTCGTGGAATGAGGAGCTGTCTCAGCAGATGAGTGACTTTGACACAGAGGATCTGACTCTGGCTGAACAGAGACTGCAACACCATGCAGACAAAGCCCTTACCATGAACAACCTCACCTTTGACGTCATTCACCAAGGCCAGGAGCTACTGCAGTATGTCAACGAGGTGCAGGCGTCTGGTGAGGCTCCCTTTATCTCTTAATATACACTAAATTCTAAAGTTTGGAATCACAGTTAATAGATTTGGAATCATTTTTTGGTTGCAGCCAAATACATAAAATTAATAATGTGCTAATAACCTAAAAATTCACAAGCTTCACATAATTAGTTGAAAGCAGAATAAATTGTATGTGCCCAGAATAATTAACAGAGCTGTATTGATTCTAAAATGACTGACAGCTCTGAAGCATTAATAGCTAAATTAAAATAAATTGAATATCCAAATTGCCCTTTAAAGTGCTGGTGAAATTGAGACAGATAAGTTGACTAAAATTACTGCAAATAGATATTTACAGACTAACACTGTCAGTCAGGCACTTTTTACCCATACCAGTGTGGTCATTTCAAATGGTCCATGCTTTGCAATTCACACGTCTGGTGTTAGATATTTATCACAGGTTCTGAATCACTTTGCAGTTCACTGCTTTTCTTGTCTTTGCTAAACTGTCTTGGTTCCTAAGAAACTGTCAAAGGTATTTATAGTTCAGATCACACTGAAGAAGGCCAGTCATTGCTTAAGTTTCCCTGTGGGCCTGTGTGACCTATCTGACTGACAACAAAAGAGCTGAACTACTCAAGAGGATCAGAAGATGGACAAAATATAATTGGGTGGCCGCAAGTGCGTTATTTACAAACGCTCAGAGAGCTGTCAGTCTATTTAAGAATTTTAATTGCATATGTTGCAGTGTGTAGTACTGCTTCAGTTCTCCGTAGAGCCATACAGTGTTAACACCCAGAGAGATGAGTGCTGATGGGACAAGAACATGTGGGATTTTAATGTCAATCTGATGGACGTCTACAGCAAATCAGCACACATGCAAATTTACACAGTCTAACATTACCAGTATGTCCTGTCACTTATTTGAAGTTACTCTAAGCACCTTTTCAGTTTCTGCTACACTGTAACCGATAGGTCTTCAAATCCCAACATTGTTTCTGTTCCTGGATTTTGTAATCGCCATATGTGATATGTATGATTATGTATGACACCAGGTGGCTGATCATTTGCATCAGTTAACTACCAGTGATTGTAAAATCCAGGACCAGAAAGTGGATTTAAGGTGAGACTTTGAAGACCTTCGTTTACTTTTAACACTAAATCATTATTTTTTTGTGTGTGATTTGTCTCTCTGTGTAGGTGTAGAGTTGCTCTGTGATCGGGATGTGGACATGGCTACACGTGTTCAGGATCTGCTGGAGTTCCTGCATGAAAAGCAGCAGGAGCTGGATGTGGCTGCAGAGCAACACCGCCGCCATCTGGAGCAGTGTGTGCAACTGCGCCACCTACAGGCTGAGGTTAAGCAGGTAACACGCAGTACAATACTCTCCTGCCTTGCACGTTTTTGTGTTTTCCCTTCTGTGATTCACCCACTTCAACCCAGGATGGCCTTTTTAAGTAGCTGATTACTTGAATCTGGTATATCGGAACAGGCAGCACAGTAAAATATTCAGGGCACGGTTTCTGTAGGACCAGGATTGAGAATCATTCTTCTATACAAATATTTCTAGAGTTTCAAGATGTTTGGTGATGCAGTGCGTGCACCCACATTTCTGTATATTTTACTGTGGAGTGTCACAAGGGCCCCTTTGTAAATGCAACTCTAAGAGAAAGTGAATAAACCCTGAGCAGACAGTAAATCTATCTGTATACTTGAACTTATTTGTGTGTTGTAACTACTTTTCTGTATACAGTCCCCAGAAATAGCTGCTGTTCAAGGCTTATTTTTTCTTGGAAATGTTTGTGTGTCATAGATCTCTAAAGTTTGTGTTTATGTTTTTCAGGTGCTGGGCTGGATCCGTAATGGCGAGTCGATGTTGAATGCTGGTCTGATCACGGCTAGTTCTCTTCAGGAGGCTGAGCAGCTGCAGAGAGAACATGAGCAGTTCCAGCACGCTATTGAGGTGTGTTCAGTTGTCTCCCTGCTCATCTTCTACCATCCATTCAACTACTTTCTCTAACTTCTCACTCTCAAGCCTTATTCTTACTGAATCTACTTACAAACTCTCAAATCCACCATGGGTATTTCCAATTTTACAGTCAAAAGAGTTATGAAATATTCACTTTCAGCATCAGGAAAAGATCAATAATCACATATTTAACGGAAAATTATACAAACGCCTGTATAATGTCATTTTTTCCAGTATTTAGTATGTCCACCCTTTGCCTTTATTACAGCTTTCATTGATATTGGAGACTTGCTTTCAGTTTTCTAACGAAAGGCAGGGATAGTTTTCCAAACCTCTAAAGTTCAGTCTGAGAAGTTGGTTGCATTTTCTGCTTTTCATAATCCAAGTAATCAACTCATTCAGAGATACTGAGGTCTGGACTTTTGGGTGACTAGGCCATTGTTCTGAGAACACCAGCAATCTTTCTTTTCTCTGTCCCATTTTCTCTATATCTTTTATTTTTTTTTTTAACTGCAGTTTTGAAAACTCCTTTTTTAATGCATATTTTTGTTTGAGTTTCCTTTTTCTTATGTTTTTTTTTGTAATCTCCTTAGAAATATATCCTGAGAAATGCATAAATTGATGACTGTTTTGACTGGAAATGAAATGAGTTGTATCTTTCTTTTGCACAATACTGTACATGTACACAGCTTGGTGTGCATCCATATGCATCTATACTCTGTAGTTAAATCTTTTTTTTTTGTCATATTATTTTAGTATTCCTTGTCATTTTAAATACATTGTTCTCAGTTTGAGAATCTTGGTACAAAGGGCCTGTGTCTCCCAGGTTCCACAGACAAAGACTGCTGAGTCCTTCTGCTCTCTTTTAATGAAGTACAGATTACATCTGTGTTTGTAGGAGTGGTTACATTAGCAGCTTGGAGAGACAAAGCTGCCTATCATAATGGTGTCTTCATTTCCTACAGATATCAGTTGCCGTTCTTACAGTTCCCTATAGTGACTGCTCAGGAGCTCTCTGAATAGACAGAGCATTGATGACATAAATTTTAATCCTCCAAAAAGAGCTCTTTCTCCTTCACTTTGGCCTTCACATAGTTGCCCTCTCTGGTGCTTTAGTCCGTTTAGCTTATTCCTCTCTGATTAGCTGCCATTTTATCCTATGAGTTTCGCATTTTCCCTTTTTTCTGTTTTGTGTACATTATCTGACTGTGTTCACTGTTTTCTGTGTGTGTGTGTGTGCAGAAAACCCACCAGAGTGCTCTGCAGGTGCAGCAGAAAGCAGAGACGCTGCTGCAGGCCAATCACTACGACATGGACATGATCCGTGACTGTGCAGAGAATGTGGCCTCCCACTGGCAGCAGCTTATGCTCAAGATGGAGGACCGTCTCAAACTGGTCAATGCCTCTGTGGCCTTCTACAAGACCTCTGAACAGGTGTGAAATCAATGACCAGCAATAATTATACAAATAAATATATAAATAGTCGTAGCAAATAGGGATGCATAATATGAACATAAAAGGCGATGTTCAGCGAGGCTGTTGCGTATCCAATAACAATATGCGAAGAAATACATTATGATTAAAATTGTGTGTCTCTGGCTGAGTATGCTACAAGACCCTTTTTCTATACAGACAACAAAAACAAATATATATTTAATTCCTTCAAAGGTCCTTTACTGCTTGTGCTGATATCAGCAGAAAATCCTGAATCAGATATTGAAATCCTGTAAAAAAATTAAGCCTGGAATACCTGACACTCACATTGTATGATGCTATATTGTTAAATATAGGTTTCTTCCTGTAAGGTAGTGGAGTGTTTGAGTAGTTTGAGCATTATAGCCTGTTTTTAGGTGCTTATCTTATATTTGATTAGATGGGAAAATGCAGTCATGGTGATGTGCTGTCTTAGTGCACATTTTCTTCCTGATACTCTTTTGTAGCTGTTTACTGTTTGAGAGAATGTTTTCAGTGTAGCTGTGATCTTTAATTGTTTGCCATACAGGTGTGTAGTGTTTTGGAGAGTCTGGAGCAGGAGTACAAGCGGGAGGAGGATTGGTGTGGAGGGGCAGACAAACTGGGGCCCAACTGTGAGACAGACCACGTCACCCCTATGATCAGTAAGCACCTGGAGCAGAAAGAGGCCTTCCTCAAGGTAATGTACCCATAGGCTACATTCACCCAGCTTTTCCATGGGCTGTAATTGCTTGCTGAATCACGTGTATGTATGTGTCTCCTTTCAGGCATGCACCTTGGCTAGACGAAATGCTGATGTGTTCCTTAAGTACATGCACCGGAATAGTGTCAACATGCCTGGGATGCTGAGTCATGTTAAGGCACCTGAGCAGCAGGTCAAAAGTGAGTTCACACCCCCCCACCACTTACCGTAAGGCCTTAGCTGTAAAACCCCTGTCAACATGGTTTCAAATGTTTACAATTTTTATTTTAATAATAAGGATATGCCATGGAATAAGTGTTTACCAGTGTTATGTTTAGGAACATATGTATTAAAAAGTACAATATAATAGTAGAGAAACATAGACATTTACATAGGGCTAGCTCTGGTTGGTCTGTTGATCGGTACTCTGGCAGATGTGACATCACCTGCAATAAATTTTGTCCCACCCAACTCAAATCTATCAGAAGAAATGGCAGAAAGTGTAATTTCAAAAATCTTTCAACAGAGAAGACCAGCTGCATTTTTTTCTCTGGCAGTTCACTGGACTATAGATAAAAACTATAGATAATAGAAGAACATTTTGAAAATGTTGTAGACAGGAGCTTTAAGACAAGGAAAGTGACATTTAATCACGTCTCACGGTGTTTATAATGAAACAGTTGCTAACAAAGGCCTCTATCTAGAGTAAACAGTTTTGCATATTCAACACCGTACTCTTAAGCTTGCAGATGTTTCTTTCTTGTGTGTTTGTGTGAATTTCTCTCTGGCTGTTTTATCTCTGGAGGCGTGCCTAAACGCAGTTAGCCTGCCTCCATGAGGAAGGTTTGTTTATTTTTCGACTGCTTGTCTTTTGCCTCTGCTAAATGGGCTCCATTGTGACTTCTAGTGGATAGGCAAGTCGTTGCAAGGTAGAGGTCCTTTGATAAGAGTTGTGGTTGTAACAGCTGGCCCACTTAGGCCCAGTTTAGCCCAGTTTGGAGTGTGTAGTGTGAATGCGGCCCTGATCTGTTCTGTGCTGTAATGACTCACGGATCTGGAAACAGTAAGTAGGTCAGGCCTCAGAACTACAGAACTAGACGCACTGTCCCAGTGGTGGGATCCATCACTTTACCTTCACCTGATATACACACACTCAAACTCCCCACAGTACCAAGTGCATGTTCTTCCCCTGCCAATAAGCCTGATGTATTTTTGTGACATTTAGGTTCTTATCTATTAAAAATATATTTAGGCATTTCAGAGCTGCATAGGATATAAATTAGGAATACATACTTTTACAAATTCATTTGTCCAATAACCATGCATCATTAGTTGGCCATTAATCGAGGATGTAACATCAGTGTATCAGTTACTGACGCACGCATCAACTGAATTCTGTATTAAAGTGTTCGTTGTATGTACCGCAGAACACAGTACTGGTCAGCTGGGCCAGGCATATTAAACATACCCTACATAAAAACACAGTTTTCTTTACAACCCCGTTTCCAAACATTTGGGACGCTGTATGTAAATCAGTGTAAATAAAAATAGAATGCAATAATGTGCAAATCATGTAAACTCTGTATTTAACTGAAAATAGTACAACGACAGCATATCAAATGTTGAAACTGAAAAATTTTATCGGTTTTACACCTATTTTGAATTTGGTGCCAGCAACACGTTTTAAAAAAGTCGGGACAGGGACATGTTTATCACTGTGTTACATCACCTTTTCTTTTAACAACACTCTGTATGCGTCTCTTAGCCAGACAGCTAGCTACCATTACTGATGTAAAAACATAGTCGAAATAGTTGTCAGAATAGTTGTCTTTTTGTTTGTGGATGTTTGCTCTCAATATGGCACATTGCTGTAGTCATCTGGAAAAGTGTTCCCCAGCACTACCATACTTTTTTTTTAACTGTGCTCTTAATTTTTAATAGCAGAACCCTTATGAGTTCAGTTTTGAAATTGTTCCCCAAATTGGAATGGCAAACCTGCCTATTCAAGTAGGAATATATGTTTACTGGACATGAAATAAAGTGTACATTTTTTTTTTCTGATAGCATTGCCCAAATATTTGTTTATTTGTTTGTTGATAGTTAATCGGTGTATGTTCTTTGCAGACATCTTGAATGAGTTACTGCAGAGGGAGAACCGTGTCCTGCACTTCTGGACGATGAGGAAGAGGAGGCTAGACCAGTGCCAGCAGTATGTGGTATTTGAGCGCAGTGCCAAACAGGTTTGTCTTACACACAAACACACCCAAATGCGCAAACAAAATCAGTTCCCTCACCTGCTCCTGCCATCTCTCTCTGCTCTCTCCCCACTTGTTGAGAAGCTTCACATACTGGAAAACTCATAATTAGTTCTGTTTCTACACCACAATTACTTTTAAATACTGCATAGTTCTGTCTTCTTACATTATGGGTGTGATGTCTCTTAATACTGAGAGTTAATCTCTGTGCAGTTTTCATGCTCAGTGATGCTCTGTTATTGGGGATCAGTATGTTGGGTGACTGAACTAAGTCAGATAAGCATGTGTTAAGACATCTGTTAATGTGTTATCTAGGCTCTTGAGTGGATTCACGACACTGGCGAGTTCTATTTATCCACACACACGTCCACGGGCTCCAGTATCCACCATACCCAAGAGCTGCTGAAGGAGCATGAGGACTTCCACATCACAGCCAAGGTAACCTGTTTCCTCCAGTGTGTGTTACTACACATATACCTAATACTTAATGAGTCCTTTAATAAAGTACCTGCAGATAGCAAGTCCACTGTCCAAAAGTTCATAGATACCTACTCCTGCAATCAAGGGTTTCAATTGAATGTTTAGTTCTAGATTACAAATGGGTAAATTAATGACTTGGCAAGTTATTTCGCTTACATGCTGTTGACTGTCCATCCCTTCTTCCACAGCAAACCAAAGAGAGGGTGAAACTGCTGATCCAGCTGGCCGATGGCTTCTGTGATAAGGGTCATGCTCATGCTGCTGAAATCAAAAAGTGGGTGACTGCCGTGGACAAACGTTACCGAGACTTCTCCCTGCGCATGGACAAGTACCGTACTTCTCTGGAGAAAGCTCTCGGCATCTCTTCTGACTCCAACAAAGCGGTATGTTTCTGTCTGTGATCTAGAAGAATCTCCTTTGCTCTTATGTTGAATATGTGTGCCAGGAGTACTCAGCTCTGGTAGTGGAGGGTCAGAGCCAGGTGCAGTTTAGTTCATGTGTTAGACCAGGGCAGTCACCAAACTGTGTTGGACTGCGACCCTCCAGAGCCATAATGGAGGATTCAGTCCCAGCTAAGCTCTTCAGAATGCTTTCCAATCAAATCACATTGCAGCAGGAGAAGGTCCTCACCAGCCCTTTTCATGCTAAATGACAGTAAACAAAATACTTGAAGTAAAATATTTAAACAGTTGTTGCTGACATTATGCAGTTATTGAAAAAATGATTCTGACTTTTCTCTTTTCTAGAGTAAGGAACTACAACTAGACATTATCCCTGCCAGTGCCCCAGGCTCAGAGGTCAAACTAAGGGATGCTGCCCATGAGCTGAACGAGGAGAAGCGCAAGTCTGCTCGCAGAAAGGAGTATGTGTCTACAACTCCATCAGTAACTGCATAGCTTACTATACATTACCACCCCACAGCATAGCTTACTCAATAATACCGCCCCACATTTACATCTGTTTTTAATACCATCAGCCAAGATAATCAGAATCAGAGGCTATACATTTTTGGACTGTGTAATCATTCCTTCACTTTTCTTCCAAGCTTCATCATGGCTGAGCTGATTCAGACAGAGAAGGCCTATGTGAGAGACTTGAGAGAATGTATGGATGTAAGTATTAACAGTATTTTTTTTCTGTTAATCCTATTTTTATCATCTCTGTCACTCAGTGAAATGTTACATCTGGTGTATCTGGTACCAGATTTAGCTTTTGTCATTTTGAAATAAAGCACCCTTCCCTGTGTTACTGTTCAGACATATCTATGGGAGATGACCAGTGGTGTGGAGGAGATCCCTCCAGGGATTGTCAACAAAGAGCACATCATTTTTGGCAACATGCAGGACCTCTATGAATTCCACCACAAGTGCGTTTTCAATTTTGACTATCAGGCTTTTCTCACAAGATTTTGGTTTATGAAGTTTTGCCATTTCTCTTCTCTGAAATGTGTCCACGGATATCAGGAAATATCTGTGATGAACTGTGAATAGGTGTTTGCATTTACAGTTCCTTCTTTCACCTTTACAGTATCTTTCTGAAAGAGCTGGAGAAGTATGAGCAACTTCCAGAGGATGTGGGCCATTGTTTCGTTACCTGGGTAAGTTTGTGGAAACCCTCGTGTTATACAAGATCATTTTTCTGTTGTCATATTTTAGCAGTCAGTAAACTATTTGTATTTCTTCCTTTGCAGGCTGACAAGTTCCAGATGTATGTGAACTACTGCAAAAACAAACCAGACTCCACTCAACTCATACTTGAGCATGCTGGATCCTACTTTGATGTAAAAACAAGTTTTTATCTGAATTTCCATCTTTTTTTTAGTCAGTTTACTTATTTGCATTTAACATGGCTGTAATTTTGTGACTTCACAGGAGATCCAGCAGAGGCATCGCCTGGCTAACTCCATCTCTTCTTACCTGATCAAACCAGTGCAGAGAATAACCAAATATCAGCTGCTCCTCAAGGTGAGCACATTACTGACTCCACTCTTGTGTGCTGGCCTGCACAGCTGCATTTGATGTGTTTTGACTCAACTCCATCTCACAGTAAAGATCACAGTAGTGTTATGTGGTACAGTGCTGATGATTGCTTTGTGTGTATAGGAACTCCTGACGTGTTGTGAGGAGGGCAAAGGAGAAATCAAAGATGGCTTGGAGGTCATGCTCAGCGTACCTAAGAAAGCCAATGATGCCATGCACCTTAGCATGCTGGAAGGTGAGTGCAGACACGTAGGTTTGCGTGCAAAGCTGAAATTAGAAACGGTAAAAGGAATGGATACAAACTGGACACAGTGTATTTTGCAGAACAGAAAACAGGAACAAAATAACTTTAAAGAGTTTGAGTGAAACCTTAATTTTAAAATGTGGTTCTAATGTTATTTTATTCTGGTACATTTGTGTTATGACTACATTATATTAATGATTTTCTTATAGGTGTGTAACAATGCACAAAATTCAGAATTAGATTCAATACAGTCTCGGTTCAATACATTTTTCAATAAAACAAAAATATGGAGTGGCTGAAAGTGTGTGCTTAATACATTAATGTTTCCATTTTGCATTAAACTTTATACAAGTACAGTATTTGAAACAGTGCGCTTTATAGTATCCCAATGTGCCACACTAGCCTCAATCTAGTGTTAGTCACAAACTAACACACTAGCCACAGGCTTACGTGCTAGATGTGAAACAGTTATACAGTATAAAACACAGAGACAGTTTGATGCAATATGATATGTATTGTTGCATCCCGGTTTTCCCAGTTTTCCTTGCTGTCTACCTTTTGCAGCGTTACCACATTCCTTAAAATGAGACACATTAAATGAAGTAGGCTGTATAATGGCAAGATATAAATATAATTTTTTGTCATGTTGTCTAATCATTTTTACAGCTGAGTACAAGCATGTAGGCTAGATACCTTCCAAGGCAAGTCTAGTGCCAGGTGGAATCAGTTTGCGCTAATGACATTAGTAAATTTATCATAGACGAACTCCATCTTACCATAGTTAACCTGTCACCAAAAATACTGTCTCTGTTCAAAGCAGTCCAAAAATAACTGGCACTTGGTTTCTAATCACTGGTGTAAAATTGTGTGCTTTGCATCTTTCGTTTTGGAGGATAAACAAGACAGGCGTGGGCAGTGTAAACAAATAAACACGCACGATGCTTTCTAACAAGAGAAACCAAACTAACAGCTATTCAAAATCATGTTTACTTCAAGGAGGTTTTGAAAAGACAAAAGAAATAAGAGTCAAAGGATCTTTTGCACAGATCAAGTACTTATCCAGTACGTGTCAAATCAAAATCAAATCAAATCAAATCAGTTTTATTGTCACATCACAAGAGTACAGGGACACAGGTGAGTGAAAAACTTGAGTGCGAGTTCCACAAATTATGCAGAGAACAGTATTTACACAGATAAACAAAACTATAGATAGGATAGAAAGTGGGAGCTCGCAACACGGCAGCCATACTCGGCGCCATCTTGGAATCACCTTTTGGCACAGAGTTTGCACCTCTTTGTTACTTTCTTTTTTTGCAGAAGGTAGACTAAAGAAACAGAGCTTACTTTCTCTGTTTAGCTTCCACAATTAAAAGAAGCACAGAAATTCACCTTTTACTCTTTTCATTAAATTGTGTTCAGTGTGGTTGTTTTAGTGTCTGCAGTTTGTCCTCCAAATTTTAAGAAGCAGTCTGCACACATTAAACTTCAGTGTCACATTGAGGGAGCCTGTAAATCTTAAGAAGAGGCTGATGGATAGCTGTTCTTCTTGGATGAGCTTCATGGGTGGATTGTTCTTTTGTGCATTTTTGGTCATTTCATGAACATGATGTTCAGACTAATGTCAGATATATGCTACATTCAAAAGATAATGTGAAGAACCAAACAACAAAATCAGATTTTGGCAATAAATTGGATTTGGTCCACTTGTACCTGAACGTAGCCTAAAGCTTGTGTATTTTCTCAGGTTTTGATGAGAACATTGAGTCTCAGGGAGAGCTGATCCTTCAGGAGTCCTTCCAGGTGTGGGACCCCAAGACTCTGATCAGAAAAGGCAGAGAGAGGCACCTCTTCCTCTTTGAGATGTCACTTGTTTTCAGCAAGGAAGTCAAAGACTCCAACGGCAGGAGCAAGTACATCTACAAGAGCAAGCTGTTTGTAAGTGCTCTCTGAATACTCTAAACGAAGCAGCATCATGGACCGACTTAAAACAGTCTGTTCTACAGTTAATAATGAATAGCGAGACTTAAGGTTTGAAGAGTGAACTACTGTCCACTGCTGCACACTACTTACTTTTCCATGTGTTTGTGTTTGTGTAGACCTCAGAGTTGGGTGTTACTGAACACGTGGAGGGAGACCCATGTAAATTTGCCCTGTGGGTAGGACGAACTCCAACCTCAGACAACAAGATTGTCCTTAAGGTAATCTCTCCTTTTCACTCTCACTTTTGCTCTTGTTCCTTCTCTATCGCTTTATTCTTTACCTCACTTTCTCTTCTGCTGTCTCTATGGTTGTCCCTTGCTCTTTTTTCGTGCTTGATGGCATGGCTCTGGTGTGGAGTTTTGAGGTGGTTGTCTAGCTTCGTGTTCAGGGCTAGCTGGTCTCTTTCTCACCTTTTCAGCTCTCTCGCACTTTCTGTGTGGTGTGTCAGGCAGCTCTCTGGGCTATTTTTAACCCTTCTCTGCAGATGTGCACTGTGAAGGCTGTTATGTAAATGCTTCTATCTCTGAATATTAACTAATCCTGGTGGGATTGCATGCTTACGCCAACTTGTTTGACTTGCCCTTAGATCTGAGCCTCCTACAGCATACTGAAAAATATTTCCTCTTTTCTTTAAACCCACTGTGCGCAGTCCACATAGAGATATCACAAATCAAGCCTTTTATGGCTAGAAGAAGAAGAAGCGCTACAGAAAACTTTGAAATCAGAAGTTTTCTGCATAAGATGTTTATGATTACATGCTTATGCTCAGTTCTACCTGTTTTTCTGAAGAAAAAAAAGGTTCATTCCAAGGTTGACAAAGCATGTTGCTTCACTGCTTTTATGCAAGACAGTTCGTATTATAAACTATCTTTATTAGGAGCTACCTAACACTGCTGGCTGTGTATTGTGAATTGTTTCTGTTCATAGGGCTGCAGCGATTAGTCGATGTCTGAAAGCGAGTTTCCCCAAAACAATGGAAGCTATAACAAAGGCAAAGGGAGAACACACTAAATACTGAGAATTTAGTTTTTGAGGCTTCTGTGCAGTTTTCTGATAAATGTTATCTTCTTTTTTTTTCCTGATGCTGAAAAATAAATAACTTGTTCTTAAAAGTTGTTTTGACCAGATAATAAATAAAGAAAGGTGGACATATATATATATATATATATATATATATATATATATATATATATATATATATATATATATATATATATAATAGAATATTTTTATATAATGAAATCTAAAGAACAGATTACAGAACTGTTTGCTGCAGCCCTAGTCTTTTTCCAGTTGTTAATCGCATGCTCTATTTTGACTGTTTACTGAAATGCTGAATGAAATTTTGCCTTTCGCATAATATGTTTTACATGACACAGGTTTGTGAATATCAAGCACATCCTGCATCTTGTCTTTTTTTACTGTCAGTTGGTGTGAGTCACCTCATATTTACTTGTAAGCACAAAGGGAAATTAAAGGTTAAAAAGCAATCTTTTTAAAAATGTAAAGGTTAAAAAGCAATCATATTTTAATGTGACTGTCTTCTTTGCCATTCTCACCCCAGAAATTTAGAATTTGATCAGTTGCAGAGCATTCTGAATGTCAGTAGTGACATTCGTAGTGCACAACAGAAATTGGCATAAAAACTTTCGCTGTTGTCCATGTGTCTTCAAAGCCACTTTGTCACATTTGATGTAATGTACATTTAAAAAGTAGTGAAATTTTCTTCTATATTTCAAATTAAGCTAAGTCAGGGATGCAAACATGGAGCTATGGTGAGTATAGTTCAGCACTGACAGTTAAACTTTGCATTACAATCGACACAAAAATGAAGTGAATAGCTTTCCTCAACTTTGTGCACTTTTTACCCCCTCTCTCTCTCCCTCTCTTGCTCTCTTGCTCTCTCGCTCTCTTGCTCTCCTCTCTGTTTCTGTTTCCTTTTCCATTTTTCTCTTTCTGCCTCAACCTCCTACCCTCAAAATCACACAGGCCTCCAGTATTGAGAACAAGCAAGACTGGATCAAACACATACGTGAGGTCATCCAGGAGCGCACAGTTCACCTGAAGGGGGCGCTGAAGGAGCCTATCCACATCCCCAAGCCCTCCACAACCAAACACAAGGGCCGCAGGTACAATCCCAGGCCAGTGAAACCTCTCTTACTATAATGTCTATGTTCTATGTTTGTGTCCGTAACAGGTGTAGTCTTTCTTTTCTTATACACAAAATCTCATTTACACATTGTCCTCTTAATCTTAACGTAGTTGATCATCCAAAACATGGTTTGTATCCAAAGTTATCTGTAAAAATGGACAGAGGTATGGGCATAACTTTGGTTTAAGGTGGCAGCTCCTACTGTTCTGATCGTTACTGTACTGTTTTTAGCTGTACAACATTCTTTTGTCCATTTTTATTGACAACAGTATGTGATACAGTGCCAGAGACCACATAAGAAGGTCTGTTTGATATTACTTTGTAAGTATGCAGTTTACACAGTGCTAATTGGGTAAGCTTTCGTTTGCTACATTAGCTTCAAAACTACGGCACAAAACTAGAGAACAAACTTCAGATACCAAATATATGTTGGGGTAACGGGAAGATTTTTCACTGGATGATCACTTTAAATGTAATTCTTCCACTGTTGCCATTGTCTTTATGTGTGTTTCTGCTTCTTTGTATTTTGTAAGCTGAATATTATGGAGAACAGCACCTTTTGCTTTGGTATGATTGTGTGTTTTCACGTGCTGTCTCCTTTTTTTTGTTTGCAGAGACGGAGAGGACCTGGACAGCCAGGGTGACGGCAGCAGTCAGCCAGACACCATCTCTCTGGCCTCCCGTACTTCTCAGAATACACTGGACAGCGACAAGGTCAGATACCATCCTTTTCACCCCAAAGCTACTGCTGTCTCATCCAATTTCATATCCACTCTCCAGGGCCGCCGTTGAACCTAATGAGTTTTCCTTTCTTTCTGTCTGTTCCTCAGCTGTCGGGAGGTTGCGAGCTGACTGTGGTCATCCATGACTTCATGGGTGGAAACAGCAATGAGCTGACTGTGCGCAGAGGGCAGACAGTGGAGGTGCTGGAGCGACTCCACGATAAGCCCGACTGGTGCCTGGTGCGCACCACTGACCGCTCACCCGCTCAGGAGGGCCTGGTGCCCTGTGCCATGCTCTGCATCGCCCACTCCCGCAGCAGCATGGAAATGGAGGGCATCTTCAACCACAAAGGTAAGGAGAGCTCATAGAAACACAAAGCCACAGACATGATTGTAGTGCTATGTCTTAGTACAATATAATTTCCTATATCAGTGAATGTCACTAATTATTGATAGTTATTGCATCCTTTGTGTGATTCTTTTAGTTTATTGTGGTTCTTCTGCATTACATCTGATTTTAAGAACACCAGACCACATCCGCGCTCTAGAGCAGAGGTCTTCAGATCTGGACCTTAAATCCAGTTTCTGATCCTGAATTTTGTAATCACTGGTAGGTATGCCACAAAGTGGTCAGTCAGTTACATAAATGGTTCAATTAAACTACAACTAATTACAAAATCCTGGACCAGAAAAATGATTCTGCTCTAGATGATCTGTGGTTTTTTTGCCATGTCAATCTCTTGTTTTGAGACATTTTCCTAAGAGTTTTTGTTTACACTGGCTAGCTAGTTACTCTGGGTTATGCTGTTACGATTGAGTGACCAGACTATTTCTCCCTCCCCATCGACCAAAGGTACATGTTGCCACCTAGTGTACCAAGACAGTAATTGCAAGACTTTGCTGCTTCTGTCAGAATGAGAAGCACAGCAACATAATTATTTTATTGAAAATACCTTCAACCTGTATCGTCAAAATATCATGATTTTTTTTTTTTGTCAAAAATGTTTTGCTGGAGGGGCAGTCTGATTGCTCAGCCCTTTACTATATAAGGGAAAGTCCCCATTGAGTCCCCATTTAGGCAGAAAACACAGTGAAAGAAAGACAAAGTGTCTTTATTTGGGGATCCACTCTCCCCATTTTTGTGTTTGTTCTGTCTTGCAATCTGAAGCTGCAGCAATTTTATTAATCTCCCTGTGGCTAAGCAATAATAGCATCCTAAAGAGATCAGTCACTTGTCGTAACTAGCCATTTTTTCGGTGTGTTTAGGCACTTTCCCTTTTAGGAAGGGCTCTACTATTAACTAGCAAGTGTGATGCTACAGGAAAAAATAAGCTAAACTGAAAACAAGCTCCTTTTTGTTTGTCATGAACATTTCAGTGAGTGAAAATTTCTGGGTGCTCAGCAACTGAAGCCACTAATCCCTCCTCCATTACAGATGTTACCCAAGGCCCACCTTCCTTTTGATCAGATCAGCACAGAAAAACACTAGTGACATAGGCAAATTGACTGCTTCAAGCTGTTTTTTTTCACTTGTACTGCCCTGAACAGAGCTCAGAAAACTTGAGGCACCCAGTGCACAAAAACACCAAGCAAAACATTTCTCTCCTATTAAAAACAATTAGGGGAAAAAAAAAGTTAGTCCACAGAAAATGCACACAGTGACTCTCCCCTAACTCTGTAATCTCCCTTTCTCTCTCTCTCTCTCTCTCTCTCTCTCTCTCTCTCTCTCAGATACTCTGTCTGTATGCAGTAATGATGCCATCCTCCCTGGGTCATCTGCCACCCTGCAGCCTGGTCATGTAATGGGCTCTCAGAGCTCACCTGGGCCCAAGCGACCAGGGAACACTCTGCGCAAGTGGCTGACCAGCCCAGTGCGGAGGCTCAGCAGCGGCAAGGCGGACGGCCATGTCAAGAAGCTGGCTCACAAACACAAGAAAAGTCGCGATGTCCGCAAGAGCGCAGACGTGGGCTCCCAGAAAGACTCAGATGACAGTGCAGCCACTCCACAGGACGAGACAATAGAAGAGGTCAGCTCACGCTCGGTCATCTTCATTCCTTTGTCTGAAGATGTCTCGCCTAGGGTTTCATGATTTTAGCCATTTTTGTATTTATTCTGTCCCTTTGCTCTCTCAGTAAATGGGTTGGATAATGTGCAAATACCTCTGTGCATTGTGATGCATCAAATTAAAGGTGATGATGCATTTACATACATTTTGTAATGTTAGGATCAACTTATAATATTCAGTGATATAGATGCTCTCGTTTTGCCTGAAATACATTTATTTGGCTGTTTCCAGACATAAATGTTGTCTGTATTCCCCTTTTTTGTAAGTAGTTCTTCTAGCCGCATTTTTTAATTTGGTTTCAGGTTTTTTTTTTGTTTGTTTGGTTTTTTTTTTATGTGTAATTTAGATTTTATGATACCCTGAATCATTCAGTAAAGAACCGTAATCTTTGTGAAGTCTGAGATTTACACCTCTAGTATGTGATGTTCTGTTCTTAGAGAGTGCGAAACGAGGGTCTAAGCAGCGGAACACTCTCCAAGTCCTCCTCCTCAGGCATGCAGAGCTGCGGAGAGGAGGAGGGTGAAGAAGGGGCCGATTCTGTACCCCTGCCCCCACCCATGGCCATCCAGCAACACAGCCTCCTCCAGCCGGACCCTCAGGACGACAAGGTGAGCCCTGGAGATAGCAGAAGAAAGCTGGGTTAACAGCTGTTGTATGAGAGATAATAGCCGTACCACCTCCTAGCCTGAAATCAGGATTTAGTTATATTTGCACATACACGGAATTTGTTATAATAGACATGTTTGAATTCTACATAGACTCAGTATCACACAGAGATGCAGACATTCATTGCAAATTATATTCACATAGATTAGAGGTCTGTGTTAACGTGAAATTGAATCCTGACCTGACCCATACCTGCAGCTTTGAGACCAGACCTGACTGGTACTACCTGCTTACACCCACTATTAGAGATGGATGATCACAGCCACAGTTTTATAGCCCTTAACCTTGTTACTAAGTGTTTAAGCTCATCATCACAAAATGAACTAAGAAAAAACTCAAAACTCAGATTTATCTGAAATCCGAGATGTAGCTGATACTGACTGAACTGGTGCTAAGAAATGCTTTAGCAATGACATCTGTAGTGCAGTTGCATGCAAAAGTGCCAGTCCTCCTGCTTAATGGCTCACAATACTATTACTCCTCTGTACCTGATGCAAGGTCCAGGGCATAATGTGAAATTTTGGAGTTTTAAACAGTTTAGTGAGCTTTCTTTTTATTTTGACCATGGTGAACACTTAGTATGACCAGCTTTGTTGTACACATTATACTATACTAGAGAGAGAGAGAGAGAGAGAGAGAGTGGGCGTAAGAGAGAAAATATGTGAAAGTGTGCAAAATTTACAATGGCATATTCAAATAAACACAAATGTACTACATGAAAAATCACTCATTAGAAAACAAACCCTTTTCTGTAGAAGCTCATAATATGGTCAAAGCCCTGAGAGAACCTTCACTTAGTAGCATGGCAGGGCAGTTCTTACAAAACCAGTTGTGTTTTTTCAGTCTTTTTCCACTATTTAAGTTGCAGTATACGCTGGTAAATTTTGTTTAGTTCTTGTTAAGTTTCAGCTGGATTTTTGTCCTCACTAATTAATTAATGACTAAGATTACCCATATTTCTTAGCACACAGTACATTTGAGCAGTTTAGTGTCAGATTTCAAGTGAAACTTCGGGAGACTTTTAGACAGTTTGAGTCTCTCATTTCTGTCGCTTTCAGATGCAGACTGAGTGAAATGTACCAGGTTTAACTGGGGTCACCCCTACCAAAGAACAACTTTATGACACTAATTTGTTTTTCTCTTTTGTTTTGTTCTCGGCTGTATTGTTTGCCATAGCATTATGTTGATTTGTGTCCTGTCTTTGTTTTATCTCAGTTCCCATACCTCTCCATTTGACTCCTTCCCTTTCTGGCCTCCCTCCCTTCATCTCACTTCTCTTTCTGTTGTCATACTCCAGCTTAGTCACAAGGTGTAAAATCCCCTTTCTTTTACTTTTATTTGCGTTTTTATTTTGATCTTGCTTTGATTTGGACAGTAGAGACGTAGATCGAGACGCCCCGCTTGTAGAAAATATCCTCTGCCTCCTGTGTACTTTACAGGCAGGTTTACCTTTCTGGTTTTCTTTGACTGTAGTTCATTTCCATCTAGACCTGATCTCCTCTTTTAGTTTAAATCTCGTTGATTTAAACTTGAGCTTGCCTAAGTTCAAAAGTACCCCCATCTTTATTTCTATTTGTTTTATTTTTTTGTTTGTGTTTTTTTTTCTTTAGTTTTCATACTTTGATTTTGTTTTGTGTTGTTTTTATTTCTACTTCTCATCTATTTCCATGTATATATTAATCACTTTCAATTAAGCATTATCAACCCTGGTTCCTCCATATGTGTTGGAGGTATTATTATTATTTTATGTTAAACTGACTGGGTGCCTCAGAGTGTGTCCTAACTCGTCTGAATGTAGCTTCAGAGTACTAGAGGGCACATGTGCTGTGAAGCAGAGAGGGGTGTGCGGGTTTGGTTTGTGTGGGTCAGAGGGGGTCATGTGCCTAATGACTCTGAATCTCAGAGAGCATCTCTCGCCCCCCCAACCCCTCTAACAACCCCCCCCATTCCCCATTCCCCCCCTCCCCCCTTCCTCTGTGCTTTACCCTTCATTATCCACTCTGGTGTCTAATTGGCATGTAAAAGCTAAGCAGACCAGAGGCCACTCCCAGACACAAATTGGAAAGTCTGGAAGGCACAGCAAGGGTGAGATTTTCTGCTAGATTTCACTTCTATGTACTGGCTGGATTGTTGCTGATTACTAATAAAAGGAACATACCACTGCTTTTTAGCATCATAATATCATTAATTATGTCTGGCTTCATACTGTTGTCAATTCTTAAGTCTGTAGTAAAATCAGAAAATAGTCATGTGATCAGCGTTTTGGATGTCTGGTCTGACAGATAGCTGCATGTTTTGATCTTCCATTTGTTTATCTCTCTTCAGATATTTTCTTGATGTAAAGCTCTGTTTACATATTTGACAGTGGTGCGTTGCTGAACATAATGCTAATGTTGTTAAGAACCAGTGGAATGTTCCTTTAAAGGCATGCGTTTTTACAACCAATTTTATGTGCCTGGACACAGTTGGACACAGTATGGAATGATTTCTCTTTATAGTTATTAAGTGCCTCTACTCTAAATTATTATTCTCATTGCTAAATCGGTTGAGACTCAGGAGAGCTTTGCTCCCAAAAACAACATAATTGTATTCTGCAACTACAGAATCAGGGACAACTTCACAAATGCCACTTGTGCTTTAGTGTTTTTGTTTTCAGTCATGCACAGTAATAGGATTTTGCCTAATTGGTGACACTTAAGACAGGTCTTGTTGTAAGATAATAATTCTACTTTCGTATCTTTTTATGTGTCTTGTCCGTGCACCTAAATATTGTTTTTGGTAGTTCATTTGAAACTCAAGAAATTGTTAATAATGGCCTGATGTCAAAACAAATAGCTTAAAAAGCATCAGATGAAAAGGGTGTCGCATCCAACAGATTTGTCTGATTTTTTTTTTTTTTTCTGTGATGACGCTTGACCCAGTTTTCTTTTCCTCTTCTCCTCACTCTCGCTCTCCTCAGACGTCATCCCGTCTTTCAGTACGCCCCTCCAGCTCAGAGACACCTAGTGCTGCAGAATTAGTCAGTGCCATCGAAGAGCTGGTCAAAAGCAAGATGGTAAGTGTCATAACAGTGTGCGTGTATGCATCTAGAATGGCTTGATGATTTGTGTGGTACTGTGTCAGTGCTCCCATGCAGTAGACAAATTATAATACTTAATAACTGTGATCCTGTCTGTTAGACCTTTCTGCATTTTTGGTGGATTATGTTGCTGGGGCAATGGGTGCATCTTAACACTATTTGAGCTAGATTACTTTTACCAGAGAAGGTTCTGTAATGTAATTTGTGAGTACATTTGTAATATCCTTAAATTACTACAGATAGTCCATATTCAAACGTAATAGCCTGGATGTATACGATTGCATTACATGACAGGTGCAACACTCCATAACAGTAACACTGGGCATGGTGTGTCTGTTACCAAATAAAGTTTTGTTATTACCATGCGTTCAGTGCAACCAGGACGGCTATTCCTAAGAAGGACTCTGGCTTCATTCAATTTTTTCAGATATTACTTGAACAAGCATTGCATTCATTGGTACTGGATTAAAATCACAAATTTTGTCTGTAATCACCCAAATTCTAAATCTAGTTCAGCACAAATTGTACATTAGTATATGTGTGTTTGGAAAGTGCGTCTCTGTGACAATGCTGTCTCTGGTCAGGCTCTGGAGGACCGGCCAAGCTCTCTGTCCGTGGAGCAAGCTGACAGCAGCAGTCCTTCCTTCAACCCCTCAGACAACTCCCTCCTCTCTTCCTCCTCCCCTGTCGATGAAATGGAGGAGCGCAAGACAGGCTTCCTAAAGAGACGCCAGTATGTGTCTATTTTATTGCCTAAAGTCACCCCCCCCATTTAAATATATTATCTGTACTGACTCTCAACATGTACCCTATTTGTTTGATTGTAGCTATGTACTGCTGGAGCTGGTTGAGACAGAGAGGGACTATGTGAGGGATCTAGGTTTGGTTGTTGAGGTGAGTGACCTTGGCTGCTCTGTGGCTTTCAGGAGTGGGACACTTGCTATTGAAATTTGAAGATGATCTTATCACTACTACGCATTGCATGCAGTGTAATGTTGCTTTGTGTTTTCCAGGGCTATATGACAAGGATGAAGGAGGATGGGGTCCCTGATGACATGAAAGGAAAAGACAAGATTGTGTTTGGCAACATCCACCAAATCTATGACTGGCACCGAGAGTCAGTAATCCTTCCTATTATTATTATTATATTATTATTATTATATACTTGATATTAATAAAGACTGTACAATCACACTGATACTAGTGTAAGATCTCCTGTAATGGCTGGCATTCTAAGAGCCTGTAATCCCTGACTTTTCAGTTTCTTTCTGGGAGAGTTGGAGAAGTGCCTTGAAGACCCTGATCGTCTGGGCTCTCTGTTTGTGAAACATGTGAGTTAATTTCCTCATCTGCATGCACAACACATCCTCCACAGATTCCACACAGTTTACCAAGCCAATTTTAATTTCTTACTTCTCACTGCAGGAGCGGAGATTGCACATGTACATTGTTTACTGCCAAAACAAACCCAAATCTGAACACATTGTCTCAGAGTACATCGACACCTACTTTGAGGTATGTTCTTAATAAAACATTTTTTTTGGGACTGTTTTATAATATGAAACTTTCACTTAGTTGAGTCAGGCTGCAAAGTCCTAGAATTGCTTCCTACTGGTCCAGTTAGTAAAGGATCTTTCTATTGCATGTCTGTGGGCTCTGGAATAGTGTTTTGAAGAATATTAGAAATGCAAGTTTGCTTGATGTTTTTTTTTATGCAAATGAAAGGCATGTTGTCCTAGCTAGCATATACCTAGTGCATTGGATCTCCTTTTTTTTCAACAGTTTGCAATTCTGCTGTTATTTTATTCAAACCAATTAATGTTACATCCTTGTTATGTTTTGCTTATCTTTTCATGTAAAGCACTTTGAGACTGTGTAAATAAAATGGAGATGATTATATCTAACATTTACACTTTGACTCTCACTTTTAGGACCTGAAGCAGCGTTTGGGTCACAGGCTGCAGATCACTGACCTGCTCATCAAACCAGTGCAGAGAATCATGAAGTACCAGCTTTTGCTCAAGGTCTGTTGATCTCCTCTCTCCGTTCCCACTGTCTCTAAGTGTATGCTTCAGCTCACTGGGCTTCAAAGCTTTGTCATTGTTTACAAAGCAGGCTAATCAGATTGGGCTGATCAAATATTCCTTTCTGTATAACAGGATTTCTTGAAGTACTCCAAAAAAGCTGGACTTGACTCACTGGATTTGGAGGTACGTACATGGGATGAGTTTTGATCACACAGCCATGCTCCGGCCTTCGTTAATCTTTGGTTCTCTGTGGATTGCTTAGTGCAGTGATGCTTTTTTTCTTACAGAAAGCGGTGGAGGTCATGTGCATTGTACCAAAGCGATGCAACGACATGATGAATGTCGGCCGACTCCAGGGATTTGATGTAAGACAGCCAGTCATTGGTCAAAATAAAAATAGGGAGGTGTGGACAAACGATACTTCTTGCTTTCTGTCAAACAGTGAATTTAAGTTGGTGTCTTCCTCTCTCTTTCTTTCTCTCAGGGGAAGATAGTGGCACAGGGTCGTCTCCTCTTACAGGACACCTTCATGGTGTCAGACTCTGATGGAGGCCTGCTGGGCAGGATGAAGGAGAGAAGAGTCTTCCTCTTTGAGCAGATTGTTATTTTCAGTGAACCTCTGGATAAGAAAAGAGGTTTCTCCATGCCTGGTTTCCTTTACAAGAACAGTATCAAGGTGCCTTTTCACATACAAGTATTCTCATCAAGTTTGGCTCTTTATGGTGTTAGGTTAATAGTGATGATTATTTGCAATGTGTGTAGGTGAGCTGTCTGGGCCTGGAGGACAGTGCAGATGGTGACCCGTGTAAATTTACCCTGACCTCCAGAATGTCCAATGGCAGCACTGAGGCCTTCATCCTGCACTCCTCCCACCCTGGAGTCCGGCAGGTCTGGACCCTTCAGATCAGCCAGATCCTGGAGAGTCAGCGCAACTTCCTCAATGGTACAAGGGGTGCATGTCTAGATTCCTTTGAATTGCGGAGTAAGTGTGGAGTTGTAAGCTGGTAAAACAACCTGTTATTCATCTGAAATTAAACTTTTTTTTCCTCTAGTTGAATAAATGCATGCCACTCAGTGTTTACCTGCTGCTTCTGAAATCTGTTTGGATTTAAATGAAAATGCAAACTTTTATGCCATTGCATAATCTAGTATAATAAAAATGATGAATTATGTGTATTTTTTTTTCTCACATTAACATTGATAGTGAAACCATTTGTTTTTGCTTAAACAAATTGGTTAGTGTCAAATTTTCCTTCACACAAAGTGAAGTCCGGACTGTCAATCAAACTGGCAGCACAACATTTAAAGCCAGTGCAGTTGGTTGTAGGTCGCACTTGTGACAATAAAAATTTAGCCATATCACATAGATAAAGGGTGTTCATCTGTTTGAAAGTGGCAGGTATTTATTTCAGATGCAGATGTTACTAAAGCTAAGTAAATCACATAACCTATTGCTCAATATCTCTCTGTCTGCTCTCTGCCTGCCTGCAGCGCTGACATCTCCCATTGAGTACCAGAGGAACCATGTGGGGGGCAGCGCGAGTGCTCCAGGTGGCCCTGCTGTTAGTGGCAGTGGAGGACAAGGCGGAGGGCAGAGCACAGCTCCTGGAGGAGGTGGGGCAGTTCCAGCAGGGTCAGTCTCCCGCTCACGCCCCTCCCGCATCCCTCAGCCCTCCCGCCTCCCTCAGCCTCTCCGCCACCATTCTCCCGCCCTGGGCCCCGGAGCCTGCGACCCCGATGGCCCTGACAAAATATCAGGTATGCCTAATTATTCACTCACCCACATGCAGCAGAGCTTTAATTGGGCCTAAAATTTTGAACTGAACCCAAATATAGCCTGTGAACATCCTGCTCCAATCTGGCTTCCTCGATCTCACAGTGCCAGGGTTTCAGTGCAAAACTGACTGTAGCCCAACTAAATTTTGTCCAAACTCAACTAGAATTCCGTCTAAACCCTACTGTAGTCCAGACAAATGGTAATAACTCAAATCCACGGTTTTATTTCACTCCCATCCATTTTCACAGTTGCACACATGGACCTCAGCTGCAATATAATGAGTGACTTCAGCGTCTAAGTCCAGAATTCCGTTCCTCATTCCTGTGACTAAATTATACTTCAATTATTTTGCATCGTTTTACATGTAGTTAATGAATAATAAGCTTCAAACTTAAAGCATAATAAAAGTAGGCAGGAAGAATGCAGTATGTACCAGTGATTTTTAGGCCAAAATCCTTTAAAAGTTGGGGAGGCTATGAGAAACATGAATGTGAAATTTAAACCTCACCCAAGACAAAAATGTGAAAAATGATGTCTGAACTCCGATTTGAATATTCCGGTTCTGTCAGGTTCGTACAGATATTTCAAGGTCTGTCTTGCGCTACAGATCCCAACACAGGCCGAGACTCTGCTAAGGTGAAGGTATCGGACAGCCCTCGGTCTAAACGTGGCGAGCCTTTGGAGAATGCCTCTAAAGAAAACCGGGACAGCTCGATTCCCATAGAAATTCCTCGAGCAGCTGTACCTCCCCTGGCATTGGTAAAACCTAGGCCAAGCACCATCTCAACAATGGCCACTCCAATGGCCACCCCAGCCTTCAAAGACTGTCTCCCGCCCTGCAGCCCAGGGCCGAAAAGCGGGGGCTGTTCTACCCCTTCCTCTTCCGCCTCCTTCTGGAGCTCCATGCCGGGTTCCCCAGCCAGCCGACCAGGTTCTTTCACCTTCCCTGGGGATGCGTGTGACACACTGGGCCGTCAGAATCAGAACCAAAGCCACAGGCACTCCACCCACAGTAAAGATGCTGACCGCATGAGTACCTGCTCCTCCGCCAGTGAGCAGTCAGTCCAGTCAACTCAGAGTAATGGGGTAAGAGCCCTACTTCATCCACAGGCTTCAGCGCATCCTGCAGCTCAGCCCAAGCTCTACTACAGCTACTCCACTTCAAGATCTTGTTGCTTTTTGTCCCTCTCTTGTCTACTGAACTTACTAACCCCTACTTGGAATCTGTCTGCTTTCTGCCTTTGATGATTGGGATTTCCAACCCCTGCATTCCTGAAATGTAACATATCTCTACAGCTACTCAGTTTACTAACTTCTGATGCTCTGTGTGTGGGATTCTGGAGAGAAAAGTCTTTCCTCTTTGAAAGCTGTCATGACTCTTTCACTTCATACTGTGCCACTGCCTTTTTCTTATCATTTCTGTATCATCTTTGGAAGACAGTAGGATAATTCTAACTACTGTTAGTGAATGGAAAAACTGTTGGATATCTTTCTAGATGGTTTCATTGTAACTTGAGCCTAAATTTAAATGCACACTGTTGATATGAGTCCTGTTTAAATGACTAACTTGGATTCTGGTCTCATCTTTCCACCTTTTTTTCCTCTCTTTCGGGAGTCAGTGTCTGGTTCACTGTGCATGTTTTCTCAGGTTTGCACCTAAACTTGGTCAGTCAGAAGCTGTGAATAAAAGCCTAGCTTGATCAGCCTGCAGCTGTGCTGTAATCAAAGAGCTATATACATTATTAACCATGTCTGTGCATGGCTGTGGAAGTAATTCTCCTGGTCCTGGAGTTATGTCACTAACTGTAAAGACAACTGACCTATGTGTTTTCAGTGCCTGAGACTGTTTGTGTGTTGATCCCCATAGAGTGAAAGCAGCAGCAGCAGTAATATTTCCACCATGCTCGTGACGCAGGACTATGTGGCACTGAAAGAGGATGAGATTAATGTGTGTCAGGGTGAGGTGGTTCAGATCCTGGCCTCCAACCAGCAGAATATGTTTCTAGTGTTTCGCGCCGCCACTGACCAGAGCCCCGCCGCTGAGGGCTGGATCCCTGGCTATGTGCTGGGCCACACCTCTGCCAGCATCCCCGACTCCGCAGAGGGAACCATTAAGTAAGAGAAAGAGCCTCTGATAGTTAAGATGGTTTATCTTCCCATCCTTGTTGAAGGCATTTAGTACTGGGGCATGAAACAAAGCTCTTTTATTGAATCCTTTTTCAACAGGAAATCATCTTCATGGCACACATCCCTTCGCATTCGGAAGAAGTCAGAGAAGAGAGAGAAGGAGGGGAAGAAGGAGGGCAAGCTGGAAAACGGATACAGGAAGTCCAGAGATGGTTTAGCCAATAAGGTTTCTGTAAAGGTAGGATGTCTGCTCTAAGAACTAATAGCTCACGTGCAATTAGAAAAGATAGTATTTCACCTCGGCCTTCAGATATGTCTTTATACATACACAAGTAATATCCTAATAATGTGCACAACCTTGATTTTTTTTTTAAGTAATGCTTTGGACACCCTTTTTAATATTACTTCTTTTTGTTTTCTATTAAAGCTTCTAAACCCCAATTACATCTATGATGGTAGGTTTTTTTACTCAACATTGGCCCTTTTCATTCTTTAGAAATGTTCATTTGAAAGTGTAAAATTAATTTTGTTTGATGTGGTGTGATCTTTCTCCAGTTCCCCCAGAAATGCTTGTTCCGCTGAATGACGTAACCTGTGATAAGGGCGAGTGTGTCACACTCAGGTGTAAGGTGTGTGGCCGCCCTAAAGCCACCATCACTTGGAAGGGACCTGACCAAAACACACTGACCAACAATGGTCACTTAAGCATAGCTTACAGGTATTGATGTCACTTTTTTAGACCATTAGACTCTAAAACAGTATAATACAACCCCATTGGCTCTAAAGGTGTTTTTCCACTGGGCAGTGTGGTGTGGTGCGGTACAGTACGATTACTCATCTGTACTCAGAACTATACATATCCTGGTTGAGTACCTGATTCCGTTTCCTATTGCAACATCCATGCAAGAAGACAAGGTTTTCTGGAGGTTTTGTGATGGTCACATTATTTCTCTCAAAACAACAGTAGCAACAAGCTCTGGTTTAGCTTTCAATGGACATATGCTGTTTGTTTGTTTTTTAAATGGCAGTTGTCTGACAATTCTGTGATTGACCAGTCAGTGGTCTGTATTAGGCACGCGCAATGAAATTGGTATTAGCAGATGTTGATTTTTAAAAAACGGACAAATGTTTAGATTTGACCAATATTTAAATCCGTATTTGATGACTCATGTATTGTACTACAGAGCAGCAGAATGTTCAGGTGACGCTGGGCTACTGCACTAAATGTCTGCATTTTTCTTTTCTGTATTAATAGCCCTAAATGCTATTTCTGATGGATCTAGTCCGAATTTCTACATTTTATGTGTTGTTTAAGTGTTGTATCTACATCAGTCTTGGCATCAAATAATATCTGTATATCCATCCATACATTTAGTTTTTTTATTTACTGAAAAGTACTGAAAGTTTAGTCTAGTTTTTAGTTAGTTTCAGTTTTAATTTAGTTTGTACTATTATTAGTGGAGCTGATGAGGTTTCGTAGCAATGCCCAGTGGAAAAATGTCTTAAAATTTGAATACTACTGAAGGCCTTGAATAACTTGATCAGATGTGGTAGAGCTGGGACTAAAATCTGCACTCCTGTTCTATAAAGTCTTAACTAAGAGTCTACAGTGTGGCCACTTGGTATGTACTACATGGACAGATTAATCAACAATGATTTTTGTCTTACAGTGAGACTGGAGAGGCCACACTTCGCATTGTGGGTGTGGCTTCAGAGGATGATGGCGTTTACACCTGTATCGCCACCAATGATGTGGGAAGTGTGACGACATCAGCCAGTCTCAGAGTGTTAAGTAAGTACAACCCAACTCCCACCCCTTTCACACTTGGATATGGCTGTATAAACATCATACGTTAAATATGAGTTAAATATGAGTTAAATATGAGTGAACCAAAAAAGGTTAAATCTGGTCTTTTATAGGTCCCTCCAGTGATGGAATCCGGGTCATGTGGAAAGACAACTTTGAGTCTTTCTATACTGAGGTGGCAGAATTGGGCAGGTACGAATTAAACCCTTTGTGTATAATTAGGATTTCCATATTAAGTAATAAGACAAAGTCCAGGCAGATGAAGTTTATGTGGTAGTTAATATAACCATCTTACATGTACTTGATTTGTTCTGTCAGGGGCCGGTTTGCTGTAGTGAAACGGTGTGACCAGAAAGGATCTAAAAGGACTGTAGCTGTCAAACTGGTCAATAAGAAACTAATGAAACGTGATCAGGTCACTCAGGAACTCAGCATCTTAAAGAGACTACAGCATCCCCATATAGTCTGCCTACAGGACACCTTCGAGACCCCCAGCAGTTATGCGCTGGTCCTGGAGATGTGAGCACACACATTCACGCATACCTTTATACCCACAGAGTAAACTTAAGTGCACTGATAAATAGACTTTCTGTATCTGACTGTGTGTCTGTCTGTACATGGGGACAGGGCTGATCAGGGACGTCTGCTGGACTACATTGTCAGCTGGGGAAACCTCACTGAGGAGAAGGTGGCCTTTTATCTGCGGGACATTTTAGAAGCTTTGCACTACCTACATAACTGCAGAATAGCCCATCTGGATGTGAAGGTCAGTTTGAACAATTCATACAAAAATGTAATGCATCATTGTGTGTGTGTGTGTGTGTGTGTGTGTGTGTATGTAGTACAGATGTAAAAGTGTTACAGAGAATATGCTAAATATATTTTTGATCATCATGTGTTTGTAATCTTGAAAAACTTTTTTTTTTTAAATGTCCTCTCAGCCTGAAAATCTGTTGGTGGATCAGAGCTCCTCTCAGCCAATGGTGAAGCTGACAGATTTTGGTGATGCAGTGCAGCTAAACTCCGCCCACTATGTTCATCCTCTTTTGGGTAGCCCGGAATTTGCCGCCCCTGAGCTGGTTCTAGGGGACCCCGTCTCTCTGACCTCTGACCTCTGGAGCCTTGGGGTGGTCACCTACGTCATCCTGAGCGGAGCTTCGCCCTTCCTGGACGAGAGCGTGGAGGAGACCTGTCTGAACATCTGCCGGCTAGACTTCAGCTTCCCCGAGGATTACTTTCAGGGTGTGAGTCAGGCGGCGCGGGACTTTGTGTGCCTGCTGTTGAGGGCGGAGCCTTCCAAACGGCCTGCGGCCGCCGCCTGCCTTCAGGAGGCCTGGCTGAGGCCGGGGGGCGGCCGCCGCTCTGCCGAGTGCATTGACACCTCCAGACTCATCTCCTTCATCGACCGGCGCAAACACCAGAACGACCTGCGGCCCCTAGGAGGCGTCAGGCCCTTCCTGCACAGCAGGCTACAACCTAGGATCTAACCACGCACATAAGAAAACTCCAAAAAAAAGATAATCTCATCCTCTTTCAGTGGCCAGGTGCAATTCAGAGGACACGTTCAGTCCTCAGCCAATCAAAGTATGTGGAAACGATCACCTTAGCCAATGAGAGCCGTGTAGAACACAGTTCTGAAAAAAGCGACATGTGTGGATTAACTGTCTTTTCCCAGTCTTATGCTGCTGGCTGCTGACTGGTCAAATTTAATGAAGATTTCTAAGAGATTTAATCAATGGAATACATATGAACTATTCCACTGATTTAATGATCAGTGGACTGATTTGTGTGGAAAAAAGTGTACCTGCACAACACTGGCAGAGCTTTTCTGTGAAGAAAGTGATGCAAATGAGTCTAGAACCCTTTTTCCCCCCATTTTGCCTGAGCCAGAGGGAGCAAGCAGTTCTTTTACGCTTTTACAGTATTCAAACTCAAAAAATTTGAGGGAAAAGAAAACTTCCTGCAAGTGACTTAAAAGAAAATTAGATTAAATGAAGATAACTGTATCCAAAATTTTCAGGTACATGTCTGAGAGAACACTAAAATAGTGAAACAAAAGAAAATAATGCTAAGAAATAAGCAAACATTAGAATCTGCTAAACTACACAGTTTGGATTTAGCTTCAGAGTTGCAAAGCAAACTTGTGAGGGCAGTTTCTTTGGAGTTGTTTTAATTGAAATCAAAGCTTGTTTGGTCGCCTAGCTTAAGTTGCTTAGTCAAACAATAATGATCATGCCACATTTAACTATAACAATTTAAAAAAGCTGCAAGTGGAACCTCTTAAAGAAACATTTTTTAAACATTTGCTTTAACCAGAACAAATTGTGTTGTGCAATTTAAAGATGTATAAGCCTTACTTTGTACATAGTCTGTGTCTGCAGTTTTTCTTGTTTTCCTTTTCAATTTTATGATATCTGTTTATAAAGAGCATCCCAGGACGGGAGAAATGAACCCCAAGGGAAGATAGCCATAGGGCAGCCAAACATCTGAGTGGCAGTGGACATAAGAGCTCAAAGGAAGACTGAATACTGTAAATGCACTCACGTTGTATGTTCCAGATTCTTATCATGTGCAATGTTGCGGCTTAAACAGTTTATGCAACTATTTATGAAGACATCTGTTGTACCTGTAATAAATATTTAGACAAGCATGTACTTGGTACTGCAAGTTCTGCTGTTAACTGCGTTTATTTAACCTGGACTTTAGTTGAGTATTATTTCCCTGTCCCACCACAGGGTCATTGTCTACATGGCACTTATACGTTCGTGTCACTTTTTGTTAATGTCGTTATTGGTATACCAAAGCTCGCCAAGCTTTATGAGACTTTTTTTTTCTTTTCCATATTTCACTATTTTAAGTTATACATTATGAAGCCGTGACAGATTGTTTACATGTGTTTACCATAGCTTTGTTGTTTAAGTTTGAAGATGATCTTTCTTGGATGTTATTGACATTTTCACAGACTTAACATCTGCTTTTCTGCACATTAGTTGGGTGCTCTACAACCCTTTTCCCAATCATAATCAAAACTTTATTGCTCAGTCTTGGCCATTTTTCACATTTTCTCACAATGACAAGATGTCCTTGACATAAATGTGAAGCCTTTAAATTATGATATTTATATAAGATCTCACCATATAGATAGTTTTTATACAAATGTAGATCCTATGTCAAAGACCTTGGATAGTTTTTGGTGACACATTGGCTAAATTTTCAACAATTTGACAGTAAAAATTCGCACTGAAGAGATTTTTCTTTTGCAGCTATTCATTGGTCCGTAGTCTACAGTTTTTCCTCCACTCTTATGCTTAGGAAGCATCACCTTAAACAATTCTCTATCATTCAGATTGTGAAACTCAATAGAATGTGTGAGTGGTGGACAGAGAATCTTTCCAGTAGGAAGGAACGTGGTGGAGTCATCTGTATAGTCACATATCATGTCCTCTAATTTATTTGTCATTGTAAAGTTGTACAGATGCCGTTACGTCATAAAAGTTGGACTGGATGCGTTGTTTTGTTAATTTGATCTTTTAGTTCCAATTCCATTGTATTTTAATGTATGTATGATCATTTTAAACTTTTATTTCAGTTATTTTATACTTTTGCATGTATATTTCTTTGTACAGAGACCATAAGTGTTTACGCAATATGTGCTGTAAATAGTTTCAGTTTTGCCATCAGTTATTTTGAAATTAAACATACAGAACGTTCTGTAGACTACTGTGCTTATTGTACGTGCCTGCAGTGTTAATGTTTACTGTAGATGGGTTGCAGAGTCGTCAGTGATTCATTATAATCATTGCATTTCTAGTGCACAAGTGGTGCTTATAAACTCTTCAAGCTAATTCTTCTTATTCCATCCATTTTTCACTGACTTAACCTGTGCAGTACTGTTTCTTGATGTCCCTGTCTAAATATAATGATACAATGATTTTGCATTACAGTACAAAACATTTTTCAATACAAAATTAGAAAACAAATGCTAATTTTTTGACATTTTATTTTTGCTTTTTTCAAATGAGAGTGAAAGGATTTTCTAACGTGGCTCAATCTCTCCCAGCAAACTGCAGAATCTACAACTGAATAGAGGTGCAGATCGTGATCTTGTAACTATGGAGGACCAGATTTGCCAAATTGAAAAATAAATAAAATTAAAAAATAAATGGCTCAGTAAATTTATCAATAAATAAAAAAACCAAATAAAGTATATATTGTTTATTGTGATTGTAATTATAAACATATTTCCTTTTTCTGCAGTTATATATTTCTCAATTTATTTATTCCTGTTATTTTGTTTTATTAATGCCATTTTTATATATTTTTCCACGTCTATAATTTTAACAATTGTTTGCTTTATTCATTGATTCATGTATTCATCTATTTATTTATTTTTTTCATTAATTCATTTATTTATTTTTTCTTTAATTTATTTATTTCTGTATTTCGTCGTTCATATGGTAATGAGGGGGCGTGTTTTTCACGTTCAGGCTCAGCAATCAAGACCAGGAGGAGAAGAGCTGATTAAACTGTTCTTTCACTCCATAAGGAGCTGCAGTGTCACGGACAGACAAACCTGCTGATAAATAACTCTTGATGGCTTCCACAGGCAGTGAGTGAGAAGGGCGTCCAAATGTCTGAGTGATCTGAATTTTGTAGAAAAAGACCATGAACCACCTCCTCCACAGTTCTGAACACTACGGGTCGACCTCTGTATCAGCAGATCAGCTAAATGGACCAAACTGTCCTCCACAGCCTCCAATGGAAGAGTGAATAATCCGGACCCGCATTTTCAGCCAGATCAGCTCTCATTTTCAACTCTCAGATCTTTGATTGTCTGCTGCCAGTAAACAGTCGTTACTGTACTATCTTGTCCTTAGTTACCGTTGACAGACCAAGACATGTACAATCGATCTACAGAATCTGATATCAATCATCCAATAGGAATATTAAGACGCTGTGACATCATTGACTGACAGCCCCTTTAACATTAGCATAAGGACCAGGAAATACAGAAATAAATAAATAGAGAAATAAATAAATATAGAAATTAATAGTTATGGAAATAAATGAATGGAAAGACTGAAAAAAAAATGTAATAAAGAAACATAAATAAAAAAAATACATAAATTAGTGAGAAGGGGAAATTACTAAATAGACATAAATAAATGCAGACATATTAATTTATATAAGATTTTATTTATTAATATATTAATTGCTATGTATATTTATTTATACATATTTAGATTTATTATCATTATTTTTTGCAATTCTACTTTATATATTAATTTACCATGTCATTTATTTTTAATTTTATTTATTTTTCATTTTGGCAAATCTGGTCCTCCATAGTAACTGCTGCTCCGTTTAAGGTGAGGTGGAACGGACAGGTTGAATAAGATGCTGGCGAACTTTAGCTTTTCTCCTCGCTCCTCTAACTGACATATTTGGGTGATGTCATACATAATTGAGCCGGACTGAGCAACCTCATTATTTCAAACAGCTTGGCTAATCATCCATCCAAGGTAGGCTAACCAAGCCAGCTTTTTCAGTTCTTTTTTATGTTTGTGTTTGTTAAATACATTGTATCAAATAGAACTATAGAAACCATATACCGATATCGCTGTTGTGCATGGTTGTTATTGTTGGTTGCTTATTATTTGTTTATGTTTTTCACTGGAGGGTTCGTTTCCTAATGATTTGTTTTGTGTTTGGCTTATTACACCTATTATTGTAGTGGTCTTAAACCTCTGTCCAAGCTGTAGTTTCATTGTCTTCACCCTGGAGCTCATGATTCATTTGCTGCATGACTCTGGGGATGTTATGTTTTTTTAATTAACCTGGCTTTTCCTTGCAAGCAACCAAACAGCTCTTCCCTGGGTAAGTAAAGGGCTTACACAAGCACAATCAACTAATCCATGTATATGGAGAGCTGAGTGAGAGACACTGTATATATTTCTACATTTACATATATACATCTGTGCATAATGTGGTTGTTGAGACATAAATGAATGAGTGTTTTGGAGTGAAGTGGTTCATTGTAGAGTAACTGCTTTACAGTGGTGGTGATCCAGGAGCCAGAGGTTATAATGTGTACAGCTCAAATGTAGCCTTTTTATTTGCGATCCAAAAATCAGTGAACCTACATGTGTCTTCTGTGTTTTGATATATAAAGTTGATGGTAAAATAGTGATATATCTGAGAAAATAAGATTTCTTTGGGTTCTGTTTGCTTTTGCATGCAGAGGTGGCAGAAGTGCAGAAGTCCCTTAAGTAAAAGTACTAGTAATCAAAAAAAGGAAGCTTAAGTTGAAGTATAACATTTTTACAAGTGTAAAAGTACATGCAAATAAATGTACTTTAAGTAAAAAAAATCTTTAAAAATCATTTCTAAGTCATTTTTTTAAACAGGATATCTTTTACTGAGGAATAGAGCTACACATCCACCAAACTAAGTGTACATAACGGTTTATACTAGAGCTGCAGGCATCATCCAAAAAAGTCCACTCGTCTCGAGCACCGAAACATGTTTACATGTTTGATTTCCTTTACAAGAATTTGAGATGGACATTGTTGAAATCTCGGCTGGTTTAACCCCTAAATTACTACAGATATACCCCTGGATGTAGCATTTACAGTTTGAGCGTTCTTGTGCTGTAAGTTTATTCATTAACTCACAGTAACCGGCTCAAAACTCCACCGTCCCTCCGGGAATTCTCCAGACTCACCCGATCACCCACTCCAGCACTGAATGAGGCCAGAGAACTTATAGAGAGGAGATTTACCACTCTGCAATGTCTTCCGGGTTGCTTAAACGCTAGAGGGCGCTCCCGAGCGAGTCCAAAATGAATGGGTTGATATGGAGCATTTGAGCAAAATCATAGTTTATAAATGCTTAAACATTTTAAATGTAAAAGAGCTATACGTGTTTAAAACGGCGCTCGTGTATGTTCATGACGTCAGTGAGCACGAACAGCCAATGAGCTGCTCCGCTCGCCCATCAGTTAGCACTCACCGCCTTCTGCCACCCAAAACCCATTTACTGTAGAAAAAAGGAAATATATAGGTAAGTTTTCTTTGTTTTTTTAGTGAAATACATCCTTCTATTTTCTAAAATTAAAGAAACGTTCTGGGCGAGTGATGAGAAACTATTTTAACTGTTCGTTTTAGCCGTTGAGCGCAATTTACTCCTATTCATTGAGGACTCCCTTTCAAGCGCCCTCTGCTGTTTAGAAGTCCTGTTTTTGATATAACGGGGGAAATAGGAAGTGGCCAGGCTCCTCATAAACTGGCTGTGGTAAGGCCACGGATGCAGGTTTTTTCAGACTCACCGTCCACTTTAAGTGCTGGCTCAACTCTGTGGCTTCCGCTGGATTCCGCTCTCATCTGTTTGTTTATCTTCTTTTTCGCACATGCTCACTGCTGGGGCCTGTAAGCCGTGAATGTAGCCAATTACAGGCAAATCGGCTCCCTTCACGTTCAGTAGGGAGCCGATTTGCGCTTCATTAGGTGCCCTAATGCAATTTCCTGATTAAAAATGCATAAACCAGATACAGAGAGATAAATAGATAAATAAATAGATTAGTAACAAGTAACAAGCCTGCTTTGAAAATGTAGTGGGTAAAAAGTACAGATTTTTCTTTTGAAATGTAGTAAGTAAAAAGTATTAAGTGATAGAAATACTCAAGTACAGAAACCTAAAAAAATTACTTGAGTACAGAAATGAAGTGCTTGTTTGTTGTTACCACATGTGCCTGCTTGCCCCTCTTTGCTATGGATGGATCTTAAAATATACATTTTGGGCCAAAACCATCTCCAAACTACTGTAAAACGATGTCTCAGACATCAAGCAGCACATTCGTAATCAGTTGGTGTAATAACTTTCAGTTACAGAGCTTTTTAAAGCATTAAAGATTTCAGATCTCTGGTTCCCATCACCACCACTGGGAATGATTCTCACATTCTGTAGAATGGAACATTTCACATCAAACCACTCTGAATGACTTGAAAATTGGTGGAATTCCCCTCAAAGGCACAACAGGAAAAATGTTGGATTGTTATCTCACAATTCGTTTACTTTTGATACTTAAGCACATTTAAAGGCAAGAACATTTGTACTTTAACTCCATTAAAAATATAAACAGAGCAAATACACTTATACTTGAGTAACAAGTTATTAAGGGTATGTTTCACTCGAGTACAGGATTCCTAGTGTAATAGTCATTCTTATTTCTAACGAATGCATGTGTTTGTAAATACAGTTTGCATGTTTTATAGCGCGTATAAAAGGGTTATTCAAAAAAATGTGTCCATTTGTTTATTTTTAATACAAAAAAATTACAAGCCAATGTCTGTATCTGAGTGAGCCATGTTTGGATTTAGATTTTATTGCAGCACACAAGTGAACACTACAGTGGTTTGCATTGCATACGCATAATACAAGGGACAGCAAGATAATACACATAGCACAAAAGACCAGAAGAACAACATTTACAAACCTGACTCTTAAATGAAGTCATTTCTGACAAAGGTATTTTTCTTTGATTTAAAAAATGTAATGGGAAAGATTTCTTCAAACTGGAAAGGGACCAATTATTCCTATAGGGGCCTCTGCATGACTTGGGTTCAGTCTCTTAGCACTCGCTCTGTTGGAGCAGGCTTTGTGAGTGGTTTATCTCTGGTGCGTTGATGGAAAATGAGTTCTAGCTAAGTGAACAGATAGGTAAGCCCATCACAACTTTGAGAACAGCTCGGCGTTGATGTCAAGTTTATGTCCATTAGTAGTAGCTTATAATGGCAGTGGCACCTCAGAAATAAATAGCAGTAGCAGAGGGCTGTCTGGGTGGCAACTACACATATGCCTAAAGGAGAATTCCACCAATTTTTAAAAAATCAGTGTTTGGGATTTAAATAGTCATTCAGAGTGCTGTGATGTGAAATGGTTAATTGTAGAGAAATGCATGAACTCAATTTCTTTACAGTGGTTATGATAGGAACCAGAGGGCACTATGTCCAAAACACATATATAGCTTTTTCATGTACTACCGAAAAATGATCAGATGCCTTCTGAGTTTTTATATGTAATGTCAATGATAATAAAATAGTGGTAACAAAATAAGTTTCCTTTTGGGACTGTTTTGCCTTAGAACATCCTGCATGTATCTCTCCGACTACAAATGTGTTTTTAAAAATATGTTTTAGGCCAAAATCTTTTCTAAAACTACCATAAACTACCTTTTCTAAAACTACCATAAAACAATGTCTCGGGCATCAGGCAGTGGCAACGTTTCATTTAACTGCCTTTTTGTGAGGGAGCTTTTAGAGGCATTAAACACGTCTGGTTCCCATCACCACCACTATAAACAATTCTGGCTCAGTAAATCTCTCTGGAACGGAGCATTTCACATCAAATCACTCTGAATGGCTTTGTTTACATCTTAACCATTTAAGTAAGCAGTCATTTTCAAAATTTGGTGGAATTCCCCTTTTAAACGTACAGATTGAACAGCAGTGTGAAAATATTAAACAGGAAGGCTTTTCACAGGAATTTTAAAAAGCCATGCATGTAACAAGATAAAGCATACGTTTCCATAGGATATGTGAGTCAGTTAAAGCCAAATGCGGTCATATGACCATTTGCACTCAGTTATTGGGAGTGACTCAGCATTAATGGTGTCATGCAGAAAGTTAGCAGCTGTGTTTGTTCTGAGCAGCTCTATACTGTAACGCCTCAGTTAGTCTTTGTGCTAATCCAACCATGCTGCTGCTATAAAGAGCCATGGTCTGCGCCTGGGCTTTGATAAAATTACTGAGCATGATATACAGTGAAAGGCTGACACGCAAGCTTAATGTAACGACTGACCACATGTTTCATCCCATATATGGATAAAAATGAAAGAACAAAAGTCTGATCTTGTCCTGTGGTGGGTAAATATGATTGACTCAGAGCCTGTTGGGGAAAAAGTGTCTTGTGCAATATCTGCATAATTTGATGGAATTGTTTGATGATTGCTAAAAGCGGCAAAGTCCTGCTTGTAATCTTAAGAGGAAAAAAATCACTAAAAATCTTATTAAAAACATATTTTACGAAAAGATAATCTTCTACAATCCTAAAATCCAATACTCAGTGGTCTTGTTCTCTTTTCACCCATAATAGCATTTGCACCATTAATATATGAAAAATGTTTCACAATATTTTTTTTTTCTTAAAATATTTAAAAATGTTAAAAGTAATAACAAATAAAGTATGGTGACATTGACTATGCAAGGTCTTGTTAGTTTACATAAAGAAAGTAGTTTAAGACTAATAAAAGAGAGTTCTGTACTTCAGAATTGGTGAGACTTGATTGGTCACATCCAAGAAACTCCCACTCTAGATAACTTTCACTAACTTTTATTCACTGCTGTGTTCAACAGTGGGAAGGTTAGGGCCTTTAGTCAAACAGTACTTGTCCAAATACTTATATAGAAGGCATTACTGATCTTACAATGTGCCTCTGAATGTTTGATATTAAGTTCTTTAAAAACCACTGAATTTACAGTACAAAAATAAGTCTTGGGCAGGAATTAATTGTGAAATTTGACCATCATATCTAATTGAGAACAGTTTCATCTGCTTAACAAAAAGCAGTAAATTATGTCAGGGACATATTTCACTGTTCCTGCCTTACTGGCATAAAAATGCTAAATTTGTTTGGTTTAAACAAACATCTCAAGCAGAAATCATCTCTGTTACATGGGTGAAAAGAGTTTTGTTTGCTCTTGGGCTAAATAAACTAATGCAGCCAATCTTTCAGGAAGAAGTACACAATCATAGATATATTTATTGCAAAAACAGTTCTAGGGAATTTCAGAATAAATAATTGGTTGTAAACTCAACCTCTTAATCCACCCCCTTGTCTGTTGCCTTTCCAGTGTATATTTTTGCCTCAATGCTGGAATGTATTTTGTTTACATATGAGAATATTACTGATGAATGCATTGGAGTAAGACAGCCACCATTACATTGTAACCCCCTGATTTCTTTGTTCTGAACTGCCGAACAGGAGACCTAAAAAGGCATTATAACCTATAATAGAATAAAAATAAAATAAAAAACACACCATGAAAAGTAGAACCATCCTTGAAATCAAAAATGGACATTTCAGACTAAATGAGGTGAACTGTGGTCACTGCAGTGAAGAGAACCTGTGAGAAGTGATCTTTGTAATACAGAGTCCTGAGTGGTTTGTAATTGAGTCCTGTGGCCAGCAGAGGGCCTGCAGGGAACTCTTGGAGACAGGTTTCCACCAACACAAACCATTGCCTAACTATTGGTGTAAAAAATCTGAAATGACTTGCCGTTTGCATGGTTTTCTCATTAGCATAGGGGAAAAACTGATGCAAAGCTTATTCCATAATCGGGGATTCTTTTTATCCAGTATAGTCGTAGCCATAGCATGAGTCTGCAGACTCCAGTGTTTTCCTATTTTAAATGGCGTTGAGTACTTAACAGCACTGGCAATGCTAATATATTTGAATAGATATTGCAGGAATATCACTGGATATTGTATTTGATGGCTTTGATGGAAACCACATCCCACTCTCCTGCCATAGTCTTGACTGAGCATTTGGTGTTTGTTGGCAATGAGGTGTACACGGCTCTCACGGGGAGGAGGGGGCGAGGATCAGAGGCAGACTCTATTGCGCGTCACTATTTGCGTCTTCCGTGATGGTGGTGGTGATGGTGGCTGTGCATGTCCTCCATGGTTACCCTGCCCCACACGCCAATTATGAAGTTCTCGATCTCACATTCGTTTTCTCCTCGCGCAATGCGGAAGTAGCCACCCTCACCCCAGGTCTTGCCCCATGAGTTGGCAGCAGTCTGCAGAAGAGCGGTGGAGGGTCATCAGACATTAGACATGGCTGTGAATGTTAGATTTCATCCTCATTAAGACTGATTGATAGCATAAAAATATCTTACCCAGTACTTCCGTATCCTCCCGTTAAAATCTCTTTCTTCTCCCCACCTGAACAAAATCAGAGCAAAATATTATTTCCATGATTAGGATTCCCAAGAGCCACATAGAAGACTCTGTGGTCACTTGTATTAATGGAAATCCTTGTTCAAAATTTGTGTATTTGAACGTTTTGTTAACACTTTACTGAAGGCCAGTGTTCATAATGCTACATGCCACCTACATAAGCTTTTCAACTGGCATAAACCTATACAGACATTCAAGCTTTGTTAAAAAATGGACAAAGCAGCTTTTATGACAACTGACTTGGAATATGTCTTTATTAATGTTCAGGTATGTCAGGTAGGTAGGCCAGTTGTCAGGAAAGGGTTATGTAGGTGTCATGTAGCCTTATGAACACAACCCTTCAGCAAAGTGTTAGCAACATTTTAATGTAGCTCTACTCCAAACAATGGCCCTTATTCATCAAAGTTGCATAAAAACCAGTAGAGATTTGACCACTTTTAATGTGGTACAAAGTACTTTGCATCAGATTAATGAAACTTTTAGAAAGGGTGAAAATGAGAGGAGATTTGAGTACAAAAGATGAATCACAGTGTGTGAATTCAGCACCAGCATTCAAAATACAGCATATGCTGGTTTTGCTCACGACTAGCATAGCAGCTTCCATTGCTGCTGACCAGCACACCAGCGTACAAAATAAAACATATGCTGGTCTATTCTGGTTTTTCTAGCAGGGTAGGCAGTCAATAAAACAACCGCATTCAGCGGCTCGTGAGCCAATGGCTGTGCTCGTAGGCTGAGTTTGAGTTTTTCGAGGAGTGAGGGCACTGTACTGAATAAATATTACATCATTACAAACACAACCACTAGAAAGAATAAAATATGAAACAACCAAAACATCTTGGTTCTTTTAAAACAGTAGAATGATGCAATTCTGTATTGTATAAAACAATATATTTAAATGCTCTATCACTGCAGTGTATGAGATGCTACTGCACTCATTAGGTTAAAACAAAAGCAGAGTGTACTAAATAATTAAATGGATAATGGAATGGTTGCAACATTTGTGTACACCAATGTGCATGTAAAACAAGTACATCTACTTTTCTACTGGATTTGGTATAGGTAATATAGATTCTATTAATAATAGTCTTAGTTAGTTAACTGCAAATCCAGCATTTTATTGAGGTTTTTATACAGGTTTGTATTACACATATCCTACTGGACATAGGTCTGATCATACGGATACTCCAAAGATGAAATCAATGACAAAACTTACAATTTGTGTGCGCTCATTTCATGATCAGATTTGTTTGTATGCAACCTCAGTGAATAAAGCCAATGTGTGTACATGAGTGCCCTTGACTCTTTACAAAAACTGAAACCAACAAAGTTAAAACTCTTCTCACAAAGGAAGAAAATCTTTCAACCAATAAAACATCCTGAAAACACTTTTGTCTATGCTAACATTCCAGCCAGGATTTGAGTATTTCTCCTGATTTGGAAGAATTCCCCGAATGCCATTTCCCTCTGGCCTGAGAAGTAGGAAGGATGCATGCATGAGGAAGCAGCACACGCCTGCCTCCTGCCATCTCCTGAGTACATCAACAACAGCAATTCAAGCCAAAGAAACAACAATTCAAAGGCCCAGCTCAACAACTCAAGGGGTGAGTATGAGGTAGGCCTTTGATCAAGCTATGGACACTGTCACATTACAGCACCAGGCTTGTTCTCAGGCACCAGCCATTCCTTAAATATTAAATATTTAAGTATGACCCACTGCAGGCTGCTGCCGTTGAGTTCCAGAGCGTTCCCAAAGATCAGACCAGAATGTCCCTCTCTTTATTTCCATTCCTGGATCAGAACATTCAGTCTGTCCAGTACGATGTGCCTCCATGGAACAATTACGTGTGATCTTTGTGCAACAGTGGAACGCTGGGAAATAATCTGGATGCCAATTCGAGTCACCATACCCTGGCACTGGCTTGTCCTTTATCACCACATCACCAACCCTTCCAAAGTAGTTCAGTTCTACTAAAATGGACAAATAAAAATAGCTGGACAAATAATGTGTCCTAAAATAAAATGGACAGAGTATGAGATGTCATTCTGAGGAATAAAGCTAATGTTTGTACACTCGGCAAAGCCAGATAAAGCACTGGACACGGAGTAAGAGCACAGTGACGGACTTTTCTTACCCTATTTGGTGCCCTTGGCCTTGGACAATGACAGACATACCATGGCTCCTGGTCCACCCTGACCTGCTGTGAGTTTAGGCCCACTGTTCGTCCGGTGGAGTCAGGATCAGCCAGTCAGACAATGCCATTCCACCACACTGGACATCAATGAGCTTTCCATAAACTTTCCCAGGCTCTTGGCTTAACGGAATACACCGTGGTGGGATTTTCCTCATGAAAACACTGTTGCTGCCCCCCGTCCCCAAATCCATAGCCCCATCATCCCCCCCGAGCCTCCAGAGCTGCGAAAGAACCGCAGTGTCAGCAAACGGACACGGGCAGGAGAAAAGCCAGGGTTCAGACATCCACTCACTCGCCATCATCATCACCACTGAAGCATGTCACACACGCACAGACACCAACAGCAAACCAGACGTGCACACACACACACACACACATAACAGACGCAGACCAACACAGACACCAACGGTGAAGGTTGCTAAAGCCCCAGCGCCCATCCCATCAGGCCAAATCTCTTGGCTTGACTGATGAAAATTTGACACAGCTGAAGTTACTGCTGTTCTAGACGTACTCGGCAATATTCACATCCCTGAGATGGGAAATGAAAAACAAACCAGCTATTTCCTGCTAATACTACCAAATATCAGACATTCTTCAATCCTGAAAAAGTTTTTGCTAGTAGGATGTCTGACACTCCCAAATGTTATACTGAGCACCTGAACATAGCTGGAGAAAGATCTCCAAAGCCTCCTCTGCAATTCCGAATAATGTGATAAAGGCATGTCTAACTCAGGGTTAAATGGTCAAACTTCCAGGCCAGGACTATTCACAGGATTTCTGCAGTAAGATCCGTCTCAGTACTATTTGTAACACGCCATCATCAACTTCGACCCCACGCTCAGAAATGCTTCACATTTACATTACACAAGTGGCCACTTACTGTACAAGGGAGAGGAGGGGAGAGTGAGGAGGCTAGGTTAGCCACAATGAGCTATATAGCTAGCCATGCAAACTTCATAATGCAAAATAGTTTTGAGAAGTTAGAGCATACATGAATTTTGCCTGGCTAGATATGGTGTAGAACCGTGGTGTAATACTTCTTTTGGTTGTTGCTAGCTGTGTAGCCTTTCGCTTGCTGACTAGCAGGCTAGCAGAGTAAAGGAATGGTATCAGCAGTCATGCATGTATAACAGTGAAGTTTGCTACCTAAAACCCATTCTAAACATAGCAATTCAAATGTCATTTTGCAAGTATTAAATATTTTAAAGGTTTTTTTTTGCTATGGCTTATAAACAATCATGTCTGCCATTTTTCTGAGGGTAAAAAAAGGGAAATGCATCAGGTCGCAGTGATCTCTGGGCAAGGTCTGCTGCCAAAGTCCACACTTGTGTTGATCCTTTTTCTTTCAGAGGGCTCATCTAACACCCTTCAATTGAGCTAATTAATGCAATGGCCCTGAAGATGCTAGTGGGGATTCTGCTGAGGAGAAATCGTAAGGCAAAGTGGACGAGGGCAGTTTAAACTGGTAAACCGGAAGGGATGAAAGGTTTTAAAAAGTGATTAAACAATAGCAGACTTACTGGCCACAGACTATTTCAGAATGTAATCCAGAACAGAAGCCACAAATCAATTTCTCAGCTCAGATTAGAGCTGAACAATTGATGCTTATTATGCCAGACGGAGTATGCTGACCCAGCTAAAGAGAAACGTAAATCGTATGTCTATACAAATCAGATAGCTGGCAGTATGATTCAAGTCCCGTAATCTGACGCCTGCCTTTAATCCCTGGGTTACCTTGTGTCTTCAAAAGGCGTTTGTGATGATGTTGTGGACTGACTAGACACTTGCTATCTTCTGGCTGAGTTATTATTTTCTAAAACTAGGCAAACAAGTGGTAGATTAAAGCAATAAACCACGAGAGGTCGTTTTTGTGATTTTATCACAGAGAAGGGTGTTCTGATACCTTTTATAAACCCCTTTTTTAAAAATATGTACACAATTTTTCAGAAAATAATTTATTATTAATAATAATGTACATGAATGAGTATTCTGCCAAGAAGTGTAGTTCCTTTAGAGTATGACATCGCTGCCATGCAACCATGGACCACTAGCTAAATGAGGAAAAGAACGTTTGGTTGCCCATCACTGTAAGATATATTTCAGTCATTTCATTAACTTTGTTAACTAGAATAATGAACATACAGTAACACAGCACTGTTTATTGCAAAAACCTTTGCTTTATAAGCAGTTTTTGGTCACCAAATTACCACCACGAATCGTATATAGCACCAAACCAACAGCATCCCTCTTCTCACGCTGGGGCTGAAGCTCAAACGGCTTCCTGCTCCCTACATAGTGCACTTCGTAGGAATTAAAATACTCCTGGACCCCAACAGTGCAAAATATCGCTAACCAATAGTCATTTGGGATTCAGCAACATACATACACGACAGAGTGCACTATTTGGCTGTAGAAACCAGAATTTCAAACCTTTCATTGCTCACTATTTAGGGAGTACGGAGCCGTTTGGTACTCAGCCTGGGGCTGACGCTACTTCTGACTGAAAGGCGAACATCTGAAGCCATTATACAGTGAATTATATCATAAATACTTAAATTTAAGCCTGTGATATTAATGATAACAATATTTAGCATTTGTGCTACCTTTTAGCCTGTTAGCTAGCTGACCAGCCTAGTTCTAGTTAAGAAAATAAATTGGAAGCCCCTCAGTTTAAAAAAAAAAGGATTCTTACTTCATCAGTACACTAGTGCTCCCTGTGAGCATGAGAGTCAAAGCTTATTCCATTAACTGCACAAAGATTTTTTGTGATATGGCGCAGTAATACAGAGTTCAGGCGGTCAGTGTTTGCAACGGCTTCAAACGCGACTCAACCAATCAGATTTTAGGACCGGTGTTGTATCCGATTCAGTTCCCCCTCAAATTCACTTTCCCTTTGATAAATCAGGCCTTTGGGCGTGCATTCACTGAACAGAAAACAACGCCAAGCAACACTGGAACTACGGAAAGCGAAAAGGTTAAAAGAAGACATGTTTTCACCCAATTCTCAATATAAATTCACCCAAGATAACACGGCATAATTGAGATTCCACGATAAATATTATTTTCAATTGGAGTAAACAGTAAACAATCATACTGATAAATGCTTTTTATACTGTTCATCGCCGATTGGGTGAATACAGCTTCTGTACAAACCTTTTTTTGAACCTTTTCACTTTCCGTACTACCAATGTTTCTTGACATTATTCAAGGCTGGTTCAGTAACTGAGCAGAGGACTGCTGCCCATGTATCCTTTACTGAGTCTCAGATTAAAGCTGAATCTCAGATGAGACTGTTTGGCTGGATGACGAAGCCCAGCGAGGCGGGCAAAGGGCAGAGTGTTGAGTGAAGGTGATGCAAGCAGGTAGAGGAGGCAGACACATGGCTGGGAGGGCGGAGCTGACCAGTCAGCCATTCAGGTGTTGTGTCTGCATTTTTGTGGTGGCCATGGTAACAAAGAGCATGTCTGGAAGTAGGGCAGAGGTGTGCTGTAGAGGCCTTTTTGTTGTATGTGGGTGCCAAAATTTTCATTTTATCTTACCCTTATCACTATATATTCCACTATATCATTCAATATCAACAATCATTGTTAATTATATATTGGATAATTTTAATAATTATACAGTTATTTTCTAATGATCAGTTTTAAGTTAGTATGGTATTTTGAAAAAAAAAAAACAGAAATATCCTTGTATTTTATTTTGTCCCCTCATGTCCGCTTGTGAAATCTGTGTTGTTCTTTATCTCTTTGAATGAAACAGTCTTCTCTAGTGCACAGAGGCAGCAATCGTTCATAGTTTTTGGCCTTTGTAGATAATATATGGATTGATAAAAAGTCATTTCATCAAAAAAAAAAATGTTCATTATCGGTATTCGTTATTGTTTTATCACCCAGGCCTACTGACTATACATATAAATAAGGAAGGAAATGGATTCCTTACTCATTGTGCTAATCTGTTCCATCAACTGGGCATTTCTTTTAAAGTGAGGGCCCACTAGCACCTTAAAACAAAAATATCTAGTGTGATCTAATCCTGATGAAGGTCATGAGACCCCTGTGAGTCCACTCACATCCTCTTGCCCACTTCCACTGCAGGAGGGGAAAGGTTATGCTGTTGGTTGATGCTGTGTGTAAGAGCTGCTCTTACCCTGTGATCCTCACAGAGTGTGTCCCACGCTTGCGGTAATGTGGTGGTTTGTGGGAGCTGACGTTTGTGTGGCGATAGATTCCACTCTTGTACGTAAAGAAATCCTCATGGACATCCAGGATGGCTAAAGAGGGAACACAAACCAGTAGGCACACCCATTACATACAGTTTGGCCACATGCTTGTTTGCTCTTTAAGAATAGCTTTTTGAATGGCAAGGTTATTCATAGTGTTCTAGCAGTGTGTTGTTAAAATGTCAGTAATCCACCTACAGCTGACCCTTGAGACTCCAGGGTCTTTGTTCACAATGGAATGTTGTGTTTCATCTTAGATATATCCTTAAAAAAGAGCATTTTGATCTCTCTGACTGGTTCAGTACTTACATAACAGCGGGATGTAACTTATCATTGTGATCTGCACAGCACTAGACACTATGGGTGCTTTTAAAGTGCGATTATATAACATCCAGCAAGCCCACCCAAGCATCTCATTCCCCTGTCTGATAAAAGTGATATTAAAGTAATAACAGACCAATGACAGACTGGTGGAGGTTTTCAGCTTTACTATTGTAATTGTTGATTGTTGAGTTAAGTCGAGCTGCAGCCATTGTGACATTCAAAGTAAAGCTGGTTAGGAGAGCTTTCAGGAAACTGCTCTCTATGAATACTATGTGCACCCTCCAGGTTTGAAAAGGAAACCTCTATTTAGACTGCACAAAAGTCAGAGACCACCCTTTATTATATTTCTAGTCAAAAAGGCTGTTAAGTATTTGTCATACATTTTTTCAGTGACAGGGGCAAAAGGAGAAAACATATTTAACAGAAAATTCCACAGAAGCCTCAACAACTAAATATAATATCAAACTGTTCAGTATTCAGCTTGTGTTCATTACAGCGCCCCCTTTCCATCCTCACCACATTCTACAGGAGGACAGTAGAGAGAGTCCTGATCAGCTGTCTCACTGTCTGATATGGGAACTGCACTGTCTCGGATCACAGGACCCTACAGCGGATTGTGAAGACAGCTGAGGAGATCATCAGGATGTCTTTACACACCATTGATGCCTCCTACCACAAGTGCTGCATCCGCAAGGCCGCCATCATTGTGGACAATCCCTCCGACATCTCTCATGGACTCTTCACCCTCCTGCCATCTGGCAGATAGTACTGGAGCATCCATTCCACCACTACCAGAATCTGCCACAGCTTCTTCCCTGATGCACTCAGGCTATTGAATGCACTGGTGTTGACTGATCTCACACCCCTTTATCCATCACTGTACACTTGTAGTTCAAATCTTAATTTTTTTAAATGCTGCTGTGGGACCCTTATTCATGTATATTGTTTTGCTGCCCTGTCTAGTTACTGTCCTGTATTTTTTGTCATGTACATTTGTTGTTCTGTTCATTTATTGTCTCATATTTGTTCTATATATTTAGTCTGGTGTATTTATTGTATATTCTGTACTTGTTTAACACTGTCATATATCTGCTCACTATGTAGTCCTGTGTAATGTGCTGCTGTTGTGTGTTGCACAGTGGGCCCTGAAGAACGACATTTTATTCTGATGTATATACGTTATACTGAGGAACAACAATAAAAACCACTTGACTTAAGCTTCCATTCTTTTCAGGAAACGTGATTTTGGTTTAAAGAAATCAGCAGGGATATTTTTCCACACCTCCAAAGTTCAGTCTTAGAGGTTGGTTGCATTTCTGCCTCTCACAATCTAAGTAGTCCCAAACACATTCAATGATGTTGAGGTCTGGACTCTGGTATGGTGAGTCAATTGTTCTAAGAACAGCAGCAGCTTCTTTGTTTGATTGGAAAATGTTCTTTTTTTGTCTAGTTGCTTTTCTCAGTAACAGTTTTTTGACAGCTACACATTCTTGCAGACCCATAGTGTTGAATTATCTTCTCACAGTGGAAGGATGGACAGAAACACATGCATTTTTTCAGATCTGAGTTTGATTTCATCTCTTAAAGATGAAAGCTTCGAGTACTGTTTATCTGATGGGGACAACTTTAAAAAACTCTTTCCCCTTCCTTATGAATTATCTTGTATCTAATCTTCTTTAAAATGTCTCCTGAAATAAGAATAACTTGTACTTAATGGCCATTTTGACTAGAAATTAAATAAATGAAGGGGGTACTGTACTGTACATAGCAGCTTTATAAATACTGTAACCCTAGTACACTCACTCCTTAGTATCAAATGTTTTCACCTCAATCTTGACATTCAGCCAGGGGCTGAATAGAACTCAGGGTGAAAAAAACAGCCCATGGTCAAAGTTTCCTTGTGTGTGGAACAATACAACAAAAGACTGGCACAGACTCATACAACATTTTTACACAATGTCATGTGCACACATACACACACAGACAACTGAGACACCGAATTAAATACCAAATGACCGCTCTGACCTTATCACTCTCATACACACTTTCAGTCCTACCCCATACCTTGCACAGGCCCATTTTCCATGATCTCCTTCATTATCTCCTTCTCCTGTGAGTAAGATAGAGAACAGAGTTAGCAATAATCGATGTGAGACTTAAATATCTGCATTAGGTTCATAAACTTCAAAAGCCTGTGGCACAGTTCCCAACTCAGTAGCTGTCAAAAGGACATTAAAAATCCTATCCTAGAGCTTTATGAGTGGTGTGATAAACTGTAGAAGATCACTGAACTCTATTTGATTATGTACATAAAACCAAAGACAAGCAGAAGATTGTGAATATGGTCTGAAGTGAGATCACATAATCATTATGGGCCTGCTAAATTAGTGCGGTGCTAGTGAAATGTCTGTGGCCCATTAGCCTTTTCTGTGTTTTTAGATGAGGTCATCTTTACTAATGAAGAAAAGGCAAAAATATGACACTAAATGTGAATTATGGCCCAGTGGATTATTGGCATTTATTAGTTTGTATGCTAACAGTTATTTTAGAGCTTTATACCTTCAATTAGAAGGTTTAATTCAGCGGAAGACAAGCATAGGACCATTCATCAAGGATCTTTGCTTTTCTTTTGACCATTGATCCCAGTGAAAACAGGCTAATTGTCAGCAAAATGAGCCATTATTGTTCTATCCACAAAAACTTTGGAAGCTATATCGAGAAAACTAAACACACTGATTAAGATGTCGTTCAACTCACAGTGAGGCATTTTGTCAAATGTATACTAAAGCCTTGTAAGCAGTGTATTATGTAAGATTAGGGAGTGTGTTTGAGCGGACTTGTCTGTAGCAGTGTTTGAAGTGTACTTGAAAGGTTTGTGAGGGTATTGCCTCGACTGAGAGGATGTTGTTCTGCCTCATTGTTCTACCTCGCTGAGGCTTTCTTACATTTGACGACAGTCTGTAGGGTGGGGTGGACTGGTAGATGTCGTTGCGGTAGCTGTAGCTGTTGGGACAGCGCACTGTGGCCTGTCTCTTCCCTCGGCCCACTGAGCGGCTCTGCATCATACAGGGGCTGACCTCGGCAGGGGTCTGCTGGGGCGGAGAGAATGGATAGCACTCCTGTGTCACCACCCTGAGAGAATAGAGGAGAACTAGTGAAACACAATATATGATGCAGTGCAGTGACAGACGGATAGAAAATATTCCAGCCCTGAACCATCTTCCAAATTTTTTGAGTTTTATCTTTTTATTTTTATGTATTATTGGTTTTATTTTCTTTTACACTGCTTGATACTTCTAGCTCCCCTTTACATTATCTGAACTTCTCCTGAAAAAATGAACCATCAGACATTTAGAAAAACAAGATTTTCACTTTTTTTTTACCATTATCATGGTCACACTTTGCTCTATACTCTGCTACACTGATAACATTGACATAACCATGCCATAAACATGCCATGGTACATGTCATATGCTACTAGTAATGGTAACACAGTGTTATTATATCATTGGACATAATCTGTCATGACAACTCATTACAGCATAAGACATCATATGGTCTGCCATAACATGTTTATGGCATGGTTTTGTCACTGTTACGTGTCAGGGTTCAAGTAAAGTGTTTTTCATGTAAAAACTGTGAAAAATTGTTACTGGTAGATCAAAGAAACTCACCCTCTTCTTCTCATGTACCACCAGGCCCCATCAATGCGGCCCCCAGCACAACCCGCTTGGTTCCGTGTGTCACAGGAAATCAGATTCTGGGGCGATAGTTGAGGAGTCATGTGGCCCATAGACTGAATGGAAATTCGGTCTGATGCTACAGCTGGAGGGATGAAAGAAAATGAATTGTTTTCTTATAATTTGCACCACTGATTAACTCAGGTCCACTATTTTTCATTTCAAATTAGTACACATTTCCTATCTATTCCATACAGTATAGTTCTGCATATTTATTGCATCATTGTAATTCACAGTATTGTAATTCTACTGCACTGCTCTGTCTGGTGTGTTCTATTGCACTTGTTTAACTGCTCTATGAGTAGTCTATGTCTTGGTCACTTGGTATTGTGTGGTCAATGCCCTGTCCTGTATGTCCCACCAAGTGGCAATGTTGTATATTGTACATGGATGGCAAAGCTCTTGACTGTTGATGGGTAAGGTAGAGCATGCTGCAGTTCAGTAAGCTCACTGACTCACCTGCTGTGGAGAAGGCCCAGGAGGCTGCACAGTTACCCTGGTCCAGCGGCTCATGGATTTTTCCTGGCCATTTCTCAGCTGCATTGAAGTCACTGGGTATATGCTCATTATTGTCCATATTCATCTAAGAAAAATACAGGACAGGAGGCAAGAAAAATAGAGAAAAAAATAAGACTTGTGACTCATACAAGAGGTAGCTTACAGAGCGTACTGGTGAGCAATGTAGTGGTGAGTGTGGTCTGCCAGGTTATCAACATTAAACTTCCATTAGAAAAAAAATACATAAGTGTGAATCTGAAATGTAAAATATTGTATCAGTATTATTAGCTACAATGTAATTAAAAACAGCCACTAATCACGGTCTGTCCTTTTTCTATCATATCTGCAAAATAATAAGGATTATTATTAGGTTTTAATAAGGATTTAAATGTATCTCATAACACTACGGCAGTAGATACTGCACTCTTTTCTGTGAAGCAGAGTCAATCATTGAAGGAAATCTTATGCAATCTGCTTCTAATCTGAGACAGGAAAATCTGGACTGTCTCAGCTGTCAAAGTTCACCCCACTGACAGCTCAGGTGTGTGTTTCACCTTTGAAAGCTGAATGAGGCTCATGTGCAGCTTTCCTTCTTTGGAAATGCACAGTCACACACTGCATTCCCACCATTAATATCTTAATGATTTACAACCACAACTGATAGATGTGAAACTCTGGAATGTGAATGACCTGCATTGTAGTGGCAACCTGTAGCAGTTCCAAGTCCGAGACAGTTCAAAACTGTGAACAACACTTCTCTTACTGATGAAGTGAACACTCATACAATGTAGCATAGAATATTAAAAATTGTATAAACATTTATATCTTCACTGTTGGAACAACGATAAATTCAAGGAGAAGAAAAACACCTCAACTTTGGAATGGAAATGGAAATCAATGATAATTGTATCAAGATTTTATTCCATTTTATTCCAATGTAGCAAGTTTTTATTCCAAGTAATTTTGGTCCATTTATCTTGGTCTGTTTATCATGAATTTTAACCCAATGTAAAGGGCAGCTGGCATTCTCAACTCATAGAAAAAAATACTAAATGATAAAAAACAAGAGGTTTCAGCTTTGTGACTGGTTTAAGATTAAAACCACCCAATTTATATTAAAAATGGAGACATTCTGGTGAAGCACATTGGCCAGTTATTCGTAGAGCCTACTTATGAGTGCCAGCAATACCAACATTATGCTAATTAGAAAGCAATGACGGATTTAGATTCTCTGAGGTTTAAGTATGTAAGAAAGGGGTAAGGCTGTTATGCTTTGCCTCATTGTCCTGCTGTGATTTGAGCACTGAGCATAGTTGAAAGCATGCTTGCAACTCCGCTCTGCCCCCAGCCACAGGTGGAGACATGTTGGGGGAGAATGCGGTGGGATATGGGTGTAGAGAAGTGCTTCACATCTCTCTTAACTTCCTCCCTCCCTCTTGCATCTGGAGCATTCTCTGTTCTGCATGCTTTATGTAATGTGTCCTCGTGGAGAATAAGCAGGCTGCTGGAGAGGAAGACTAAAGGCCTCGCTGAGTCTGATCAAAACAGCCAGCGCCAGACAGACGTGTACAGGATACAGGGGCATCCAACCACACCATTACAGCCCTTTCACCTTCTCTACCAGACTGGCCAACGGTATCAGAGATCAAACAGCAGCCACGTTCAGGCGGATGTTGTTTTCACATGGATGAATTTAGCAAGCATGCTAAATTACACTAAGGACTGTGTGTGATAGTCCAAACTGAGAAGTCTGAGGAATTTGGGAATATGAGCAAAGCTTTCATAAAACTGAGAAACTGTAAAACTTGGCCAAGCAGATTTCTAAATCCATCTGGATCTGGATACCACAAAGACACTATAATGCTTAGATCATTGTGAAAAGGTACAGAGGGCATCATTTGAATAATACAGTCTTAAAAAGTTTGACAAAAAGATACACATTTTCCCCAACTCAAATGTAGATAGTCTGCTAAGACCTATTTTCTGTCTTAAGGTTTTTGCGCAAGAGCTATGAGTCTAATGTAGCTAACAAGTAATTTGCACATATCTTGGGAATTCAGGAAGACTCAGGAAGTGAAGGGGAAGTGTGTGTTTGCTTTAGGGTGGAGTTTGTATTTTTATTTTATGTTTTATTGACATATTTTTTAAACCTGATTTAGCTACACAATGTTAACACAAGACATTGCTGCATTTACATTACAATGAGCCAAATCACTATCCTCACAAACTGCTAGCCACTCTGAGGGTGTGCCGCTAAAATGAAAACAGGTTTATGTAGAGTTGTAAGTTTGTTCTGAGCCCCAAAGCAGCCTCACATTGCTTTTTTAACTTAATAAATTTGACTAATGTAATAGATTATTTTTTCTACCACTATATCTTCCGCTTGGTGTGTGTTTAAGTATTGAAACTCAGCGTGTAGCTTGACTATGGGCATGATCAATTCAGTTAAAGTGGCACAAATCAACAATCAGATTGTTCACCATTCAGCTCATTTGCATAAAGTTAATCCAGAATATATTATATGTCAGTTATAAGTGTATATTTAAGTCTCTCATCAGATGACACATAAATGCATTCTGTTTGATGCAAAGTATCCAAAAAATGCAAGTGAAAAAAATTTACATATATTTTTTCCAGTATGTTAAATGTATGTTATAAATAGAGATGCATGAAAATGTGCAGACAAATGCCTTAATTAGGTTTGTTCCAGGTAGAAGATGTGTTAACTTATATTTACTTACAAAATCAACAAAACATCTTTTTTTTTACTGGTGATGCTCAATGTTTTGCAAACTTTTAGCACCCCAACTCAAAACACTTTCTCATGTCCCTGGTGCCTATATTATCACACACTTAAATATCCATTACAGTATCGGAAACTACATAAGCAAGTCTACATTAGATAATTTGACAGCTGGACATGGTTCAGGTTCAGGATGATTTTGTGCTAATGTTAGCTACATTAGCTCCAGTCCAAAATAAAAGAAGCAAACTTTGCAAGTGAAACAAGACTTATTTGACAAATTACCTTTACAGTAAGGGGAAAAACTGATTTTGCCACTGTGCTGTCACTTTAAGGATGTGTGGTTTTGTGTAGATCATTATAGCACAGATCACGGAGAATCCAGTGTATGTATTCCCTCCTCACCTGAATCTCGTTCATGCTCATGATGGCTCGGGAAGGCCTCTGAGTGCCCAGACGGTAGCGCAACCCCTCATCCAGAGTCATCCCCCAGAACTGACTGTAGTTGGCTGCCCTCCAGCTGAAAAATCCATAGACATACAGGAGATCTGTTTTGTTCACTTGTAGGCTGGTTTTCAGACACAGATTAAGCCTTGTCCCAGACATATCATATCAGCGTCAGGCTGAACATATTGCTTTATAAATGTAGTATCTGTTTTTCTCACAGTGATGAATGTGCACTGCGTCAGTGAAGCTGGAATGAGAGTGTGAGTGGGTGAATGAGTGCATGGCTCTCACCCATAGTTTCCTCTGTTCACTGCCTGGATCGTGTCAGGTTGTATCAAACAAGCATGCTGCTCACAGTTCCACTGCCCATTCGGCCCACACGTACTGCAGGAGAGAGAAAACAAGACATCAAGAGAATTAGCACTACTGGCCCCATTAACACTCGTTCAGCAGACGTTTTTATCCAGAAGTTGTTTTATGCTCCCTGGGAACGTAACCTGTGACCTTGACCTCGCTAGCACCAGCGAAGCTGCAGGAACAGACGCTACACAGACGTGTTGGCTGAAATTGAATGTCTTTCTGAAATAACCTTAGTTGATGAAATACACAGTGCAGTATCTCTGTAACTACCATTTGCTTCTGTGTTGTAGTCCACAGAACTGAGGGAATGTAGACGTTTGGCAAAATTTAGGCAAACAGTAGGGAAAAAAGGATAAAAGCACTGGAATAAAAGCAGTGGAATTCCCCTGAGCGACACAAATGAAAATGAAGGAGAGCACTTGGCTGAGTTGGAAAGAGGGAGGAGAAAAGACAAGAACTGTCAACCTTTTATGGCTGCCGTGCTCAAAGAAATATCCATTTTTAGGCAGCATGAGGGAGAGGAGGGGGGCCGACTAAGCCTGCTACTTGAAGGGATTTTGAATGTGAGAGGATTCAAAGAAGAATATTCCAAACACACAGGATGTTTTCTTCCTCTGAGTCCCTGCTGTGTGATTAGTTATGAGGCTAGCTCATAGCTTTCAAATAACCTCCAGTGCAAGAAGGAAAAGTGAAAAACAAGGCCACAATTATTAAGGGTCAATAACAAATAAGGTGTTTAAAATGACAATGTTTAAAAATCTTATTAAAAAGGACATCGTGTCTACACATATATTTGCATTTATTTTCTTTATGGTGCAATACTCTGGCCCTTCTTTCATCAAAGCATGTCAAAATAAAAGTCCTTTGTTTTTGCTTGCGCCGCCTGACGTTTGAGGAAGTAAGAACTTGCGGACAGACGTTTTCCAGTGAGTTGAGCAATTTTAAAGTTGCCTTATTTTGCTACATGGTTTTTATTATAAAGCTGTAAAAGATAAAATCATGCCAAAGTATTTTATTTAACATTTTACATAACTAAATAACCTTTTTTTTGATAGTTTACCTAATCAACATATACAGTTGGATAGTTAGAAAGAAATTTTTTGTTTAATATGGAATTGTTTTTTTTTTTTCAAACAGAAGAGGTACTGTTGAGTAATTCGATACATCATGTATTTATAAAATTATTTTTGGGAAAATAAGGCACTTGGACAAAAAAATGCATATCATGTCAATGACCCATATACCTCTATTTAGGAGGATAAATAACCTAGCAAACTTACCACATACAATAAAAGTGCCAAACTTGGGTGTCTCTCTTTGGAGCGATGTCATAGAAAAACCACTTTAGCTCCCTAAAGAAGCTTTTAATAAAATTATGTATTTCATTTTTTCCATTTAATGTGTTTTGTGTGGTTTTGTGTACCAAAAACATTTTAATTCATTATAATTCATTTTTACATGACCATTTTCCAACCTCTCTGTATCCCATAGAACTAAACAGGCTGTGTTTCTTACTATTCCTTTTAGACTAATATACATAAGTGACCTGTGTTCTGATTGGCTGTCCTATATTTGTACCTTATTGAAAGGCACATCCAGGCTGAAGTACTCCTTATAACTTCAGAGTGAATGGGTGGAACTTAACTGCTGTGGACTGAATATGTGGATTTGTGTAAATGTGCTGGTATTTTTTACTTCACAATATAATGAATTCTAAATATGCTGTTTTGTGGCTTAGTTTCAATGTATGGACTATAAACTGGTCCAGTGAATGGTTGTATCAGTATTTACATACTAAAACAAACATTTTTTAAAAAAAGCAAGGGAAATTCAGTTTTCCATATGGGCCCTTTAAAGAACCTCGACATAAAACAGCAGTGTCCAGTCTGCTAAAGGATGATGTGGCTGCATGTGTTCACAAAGCATGGCCAGTTGTTTGAAGGCCAACTGATTAAACAAGTGGAATCAGTTGTGCTCCTGGAGTGAAAACCTGCAGTCACTGGACGCTCCAGATGTGAAGGTCCTTTACTAGTTTAAGGTTTTTCCTGGAAATGTACATCCAAGCCAAGAGCCATTCTATTTTTTAAGAAAATGCCAAAATTCGTCCAGTTCTTCAGGTTTTTCAGTTAATCTAAAGTATCCAGCAAACCCATCCTCAGTCATGGAACTAACAAAAGATTCATTCAGAAATAACTCACTTCCGAAAACCATTATATCCCTGACAAGCACATGCACACACACAAAAGAACATGAGAAAGATTGAATTGTTGAATTGGTCGACTCCAATGCCCCTCCATCCACTCCCCTAAGTTGAATTTGATTAGAGGAAACAGGCAGGCTCCTTTGACACTGTGCTTTCTTTGTTGGATGAAAAAAGCAGTTCCCCGATGGTAAAACCTGCTCTTATTGGTTTGGAACAGACATACATTCACACGGTAAACATGCAGAAACACATCTGACAGTTGGTGTGGCACAATGCAGCAGGAAAGGCCACTCAAATCTCTGGAGGTTGAGGTGTCAGGTGGCCTATTGTCAGTGGGAAGCCATATTTTTTCACATTCCTCGTGACAGCTCACCGTAACTGCTCAATTTTCAGCATCCTGGGTCATAAGCAGTGATAGTACACACACCGTAACACACACAACCCCTGTGACCCCCCTTGTGAGAGCACAGGGTGTTTGTGTGCTCTCTCCATGTTTACACACCACAGTAAGCTGCGGAAGATGACAGCGGGATAGACGGAGGGGGCTCTAGATCTCAGACCGTGGGCTGCTCCTCCACTCCCCCTTTGAGGCCTGCTGATAGGGGCCCATAGGTGAGCTATGGAAAACATAGATTTCTGTGGATAATTCTGGCTGATTTAAACTCATGCAGGCTTCTGACTTCAATTCAGGTGGAACCAGAAAGATGAAGATATGTCGTGTTAAATCACGCAAGAGTTCATGTATGTATTCAGACTGATACTGCACATTCAGTCTGGTGATGTCAACTATATAATTGTTCGTTACAGGGCTAAACTACCTTGTCTGTAAAGCAGCCCAATAACAAGGCAGCAAGAAAGTCCGTTTTCAGTCTAAATAAAGTGACCAGTGAGTGTACAAGGATGGCTGGGGTCCAGCAGATTTGCCATCACGCTCCATCTCTAGCACATACTGTAAATTAACATTCTACTTATAAGGAGTGCAGCGCTCTCTGATCTGTTGTTCTAGACTACCTAAAAATACAGCACGCTAAGTTCTCTGCTCAAGCTTGAGTATAGTAGAAATGGGACCACTGCAGGACCACTCGATCAAGTGTGTGTAAGAGGGACAATGTCTAACTTTCAGTGGTTGAGGGTCATTATTGTTGTGTTTCTGTACATTTGATTTATATACTTATTCATATCAGCACTGTCAAAAACATGTATCTCTAAAAGAGTAACTTCACAGGTCAAAGCAAAAGCTTTCTTAATTTTAATGTGTGCTACGTTCAAATGATGTAAAAAAAAAAAAAATGAGATACAGGGTTAACAATGGGGTTGTTATTTGATAACATCATACTTGGTTTAAAGTTTTATTACACACTTCTGTAACCTAAGAATAGCTCAGCCAGTTTGCACTGAAGTGCCTGTAGTTACTGCATAATAAGCCTTAGTAATTAATAAGACTGGGATTTTAAGGGGGTCATCGAGTTTTTGAATAAGAGCCTGAATAAGTGAATGTTAAACCTTACATGTTTTCTGTTTTAACACCTCATGGATTTGGCTAAGGTGAAGGTTTCAGTCATAGAAATGACACTGTAGCACTTTAACACTGTGTGCTCTTCTGTACTGATAATATGAAATATTTTCTCACTGAAATTTGTTAAAATGGGATGAAATGGAAATTGTATATTGTTAAACTAAGACAAAATGTACTTGGGTGGCCATCAGCACATTTGAGAGCCCACCCAAATACATCATATATGTGGGAAACATTGTGGTTATATACTTTATAACACTTACATTTGATTTTCATGCTGCATCGGCTCACTTTTCTGTTTGTTTTAACATCAAATATTACAAAAAAATAAATAAAATGAAAGAAAGAAACCGGTTTTCTTTCCACAAAACAAGACTGTCCTCATAACAGTAACATTTCCCTCAGCATCTCTGCACCTGGGCTACAAGTGAGTAATAATAGCCAAAATGCAAGAAAAAATGTTTCAACTCATACACACCGTTGGGGTCCTGGGAGGGTTAATAATCATAGATCTTCACTATTGAGCCTGGAACAGGTGACCTTCATGCCAACACGGTCAGGCCACCCCAGACAGCCCAGCCAGGCTTGAGCTCAGGAAATCTCTGGATTACAGAGGTGAACAATACGTCTCATGTGAAAGAATCCCACTGGGACAGATGCCAGTGTTTCCCCAGCCTCCTTGTTCACAAACATCATATTAGTGTACGTCATCTCTGATGAACGAGAGAGTTTCTGCAGGAAAAGTGCTGGATGAAGAGAGTGAAGACAGGGCTGAAGAGGCTGAAGGTGTCAGCACAGATAGCACTGTGGTCTAGCAAAGTACTATCACTCTGAACCAGCTGATAATCCTCCACCACCGGGCCCTATCTCACCTACAAAAGCTTATCATACAAACACGAAAACCTTTCCACATAGCAAACATGCAAACTCACGCACATGAGCCCAGCACACAGGCAGTAAAAGTGTTCTAAAATGTGTTGTGTAATAAAAAGCCTGGAGACATATAAAAATGTGTACTAATCAGTAAACAGGACATATACGGGTGATCAGAGTTTGCATTTCAGCAATGACAGTTGTCATGCTGAGGATGTCTATCTGGACCACTTTTATCATTCACTATCCTATCACAGCTTCACATTTCTGACAGAGATTTTCACATTTTCTTAGAAAGATAACACTACTGTCTGTTTTTCTTCACATCATTTGAAATGCCAGCTGTGAAATAAAATTACATTAAAATCACTTTAACAGTATGCTAAGTTAAAAACTCTTTTTTCTTTATCTATAAAGTTACCATTTTACCAG